GCTAGACGAAGACTCTCGCGGAACGGATTAATTTCGTCTTGCGAGGCACCACTGTACACATGGCTGTTTCCCCGCTTAACAAAAGCAGTTGTGCTGGGTTCATAGCAGGATGAGGGTCACAGTATGCAGAGAAGTTTTTTAAAACCTTCCCTATGCCACAGTTCCATCAAAAATGCCCTTCAGCTGCTTTTAGCCCCACGAATGATGCTTCTATAGCTCAGTCGGCAGAGCACGACCTGGGTCTCAGGGTCCTGGGTCTGAGCCCACATTGAACAAAAGATTCCTGCATTGCAGGGGGTCGGATCACATGACCCTTCCAACGCTAAAAATCTGTGATTCTATGAAAACATGAGCTTCTCTCCTATGCCAAATACCAACTTTGGGAAATGGAGACATATTTTTGGTGGGAAAGGTTTTCAACCTCATCTCCCCGCATGTCACAGTCCTAATCCTGCTTGCTCCTAAAGGAAAACAAACAAACAAATGCATCTACACATTTCATGACACACCTGTTTTGGCCCTGAATGATGGAAAGTCTGTGCTAATGCTGCCCCTCAATACGGGTGTTTGTGACGGAGCCCTGTGGTCTAAGTTTCTATAAGAATTATATAAGCTTTGTAGCAACTCAATAAAGCCTAGTGAATCTGCAGTTACTGATCTGACACAGTCTGTTCCTTGCTTAGGTCTTTGATATATAATCAAAGACAGAGATGTTGCCCCTGTCTGTCCATGAATAGACAAAAGCTATGTATTGGGAAGAATGAGGAAGGTAGTGGGTTGGAATCTGATAATTGCTAATGCCAAGGCAACATAAATGGAAGCATTCATTTTGCACAATGTTTCCATAGCTTTCAGCTGAAAATGAGCAAAAGTTGCTATTGATTTAACCCCAGTCACTAGTTAGCAGTGAAATTCACCCATGTTATGTGATGGTGGATCTACAGCCAATAAGAAGACTGCCTTGTAATGTTTCCAAAGTCCCTCCCCCATAAAGTACTCACTGCCCCCAAATCTCATTCTGCACTTGTAGGAACTCCAAAGGTTCTTGCTACTTACACAGAGCCTTGTTAAACACTTATGTTGTGGGATGTCTAAAGCCTGGACTGTGCAGAAGAGCATCTGAGCATTTTAAAGTAATATATTAAGTGTATCTTACCTCCCCGAGTAGTAAGAGGTTTTATGGCCTGCACTGTTGGATTTAGTTTCCTTTGGGTAAGAGACACCCTGGAGATTTACAGTGCAGTGTTTCAAATATTGAAGTAGAGTGTTCAAGAGAGCAATTAGGCTCTTATATGGAGATAGCAAAACTACTGAACCTGTTTAAGATTCCCAAAACTGACTAGTTGTCTCCTGTACAGATTGGCCTAACCCAGGGGTCAACAACCTTTTTCAGCCATGGGCTGGTCCACCGTCCCTCAGACCATGTGGTGGGCCGGACTATATTTTGGAAAAAAATAATGAACGAATTCCTATGCCCCACAAATAACCCAGAGATGCATTTTAAATAAAAGGACACATTCTACTCATGTAAAAACACACCGATTCCTGAACTGTCCGTGGGCCGGATTGAGCCACATCCGGCCCCTGGGCCTTAGGTTGCCTACCCCTGGCCTAAGACATTTTGCTGCCTGAGGCAAAGGACAGGATAGTTTCCTCTCCCGATTCTACCTGCGGAAGCCACCTGAACTGGCAGTTAAATCTTACTGGGCCTGGTCCACACTCCTTTTATCCTCCGGTAAATACACTCCCGACGCACTGAAGTGAGATTCAACAGCCAGGATGGTCATCTGCTCTGCATGAAATAGAAGCAGGCTCCTTTCTTCACTCCAGGCAGCCAAATGCCTTGGGCCAGCCTGGACTCCCAGGTTTCTTTCTTAAGTCTTTTGTCTCCTAATTAAAACTTGCCACAAACTAGTTCTATGTGTATGTGTATGCATGCACTGGACTTTAGAAGTTTGGGGATAAATTCCAGGTCATAATGGGACATTAAATTTCTTTTGTGAAATTCCTGGTCTCCATCAGACAAAATCATAATCATCAACCCATTCACAGTAATTAAGATGTTTTAATTTCATAATACCATGCAACTTTTTCTAGATTAAAAAAAGTAGTTAACTCAATTTATTGGTAAATTATCTTATGATGAAGCTCAGAATAATTGCAATGAAAGTCTGACATTCACATCATCACTACCATAATTACAGGCATTATGATTGTTCTTGCAATGAACACCCAGTAATTTAATAATAATAGAGGATATAAATAATTTAACTAAAATTTGGTAGATCCATCTCATTTACAAATGAGAACATGACATCTTCTTTTTCTAGTCACCTTGGACTAGTCTGCTGTAGATGAATCACTTCCTTCTGCCAAAAGTACTTGAGTAATTGCACTGGAATTTCTTTAGTAGCAATCAGTAAAAGGAAGGCGAAAGCAGGCCTCTTTTGAAACACTCTTCAGTGAATTTCCTTGCACATTTGCTTTTAAATCATAGCCTTTTAAAAAGAATATTGTACTCATGGTGGTTCATATTTGAACAACAGAGGGGTCAATGCCCTGCTTAAAAGTTGCCTCATGAAATGGTGGGTCAGTGTAACCCAGTATTTTCATGACAAAATCTTAATGGAAAGTAAGTCCCTATCCATAGTGAAGGAGGTCAGATGTTTTCCGCCCTATTTTAAGGGTGCCCGTCATGCTGTCAGGGCTCTTGGTACTGCCTGTGATGAGTGTGAGACCATTTAGGTAAAGGTAAAGGGACCCCTGATCATTAGGTCCAGTCGTGACCGACTCTGGGGTTGTGGCGCTCGTCTCGCTTTACTGGGCGAGGAAGCCGGTGTACAGCTTCTGGGTCATATGGCCAGCAGGACTAAGCCGCTTCTGGCGAACCAGAGCAGTGCACGGAAATGCCGTTTACCTTCCCGCCAGAGCGGTACCTATTTATCTACTTGCACTTTGATGTGCTTTCGAACTGCTAGGTTGGCAGGAGCAGGGACCGAGCAACGGGATCTCACCCCGTCACGGGGATTCGAACCCCCGACCTTCTTATCAGCAAGCCCTAGGCTCTGTGGTTTAACCCGCAGCGCCACCCGCGTCCCTGTGAGACTATTTAGGCAATCACAAAATCCTGACAGGCAGAAGAGCCTGAAGCGGGGGTGGGGAGGGCAAGTCTGTGGCCCTCCAAATGTTGATGGACTGTAACTCCCATCATGTCATGGGTGGGCTTGGGATTCCAACAACATCTGGGGGTGGGCACAGGTTCCCCCCCCAAAAGCATAGTGGTTTTAAAACACTTTCATTTATTCTACAGTATTTGCATACTGTTTCTCAAATGATAGTGCCCTCACATATTGGTATCAAACTAGGCTGGCAGCGGCACCCAACTTCCTTGGGCAGATGCTGGGTCCCAAACTGGTGATGCCTGTCCTATACAATCCCTTTAAAAAATCCTAAGTTTTGTGGTCACTAGCAGAGTTCTCAGCAACTTATAGGTGGCAATTCTTCCTGTCTCCACCAACCCCTCACTTTAATGTTTTGCACTGGGATCCTGAGGCATTGGGTGGAAACCATTATGGCAGCTGGAAACCACTCAAGGAAGAGTTCTGCTTCTTCTGCAACTCCCTACAAGCACCAGCGGCAAAGTTTTTTGTAAAAAAAAGGAGGGGGAGCCATCTGGAGGCTACTGAGAAAGGCCTGCAGCCACCATTGGTGGTGGAAGCAAAACTTAAATCCACTGTAAGACTCTCCCAAGGTCCCACTCAAAACTGGAGAAGGCCTTGGTATCAAGTGCTTTTAACTCACAGAATCTCGATTCCATAATGCATGCAAAAATAAAGCTCACGTTTGGGTTACTTACTTTTTTGCTGCTCTTGAAGATAGGAGTGAAGCCTGTTAATACAAAAACTCCTTTAGTGAAAGGCTATTCCACTGCCTTGGTGCAACTGCACTGGCTGCCACTTTGCTTCCATGCTGAATACAAGCCACTAGTTTTTACTTTTGAAACCCTGGGTTCATTTAGGTCTTCTGGAAAGGGATTCCTCTGCATTCCTTCCTTCACTGTAGTGAGAACCTCTTCCCATGAGAGGCGTGACTAGTTCCTCACAGTATTGACTTGAAAGACATCTAATAAATATTATGTTATGGTAAGAAGGGTTGGGCTGGACCTAAGGTGGGCTGCAGCAAACTTTAGGTGTCTGTTGGAGCGGATAAAGGCTGTATCTCCACCTATGCTCAACCTGTATACTTGCAAATAGGCACAAACATTATAAAATGCCAGAAACCTTCCAATGGCCTCATTCCAAAGGAAACAAATCCTGGAACTTCTCACTGCTTGGAAAAGGGAAGTGAGCATAACAAATACAGACAAATGGCCGAACCTGTGCAAAGGTACGGGGTTTGGATCTCTGTCAATGAGGGAAATCAGACATGTGCTTTTCCACACATAGGAAATGAGACATCAGGAGGCAGGCTTCTAGTCTAGCCTTTGTCCTGACATGCTAGCGCTCTCTCTCTCTCTCTGTGTGTGTGTGTGTGTGTGGTGGGGAAATTTATATGGAAGGGCATTCAGTAATGCTCCTCCAGACGACCTGTTTATTGAGCATCCATTCCGATCTGCTTCTGCAAAGCTTACACAGACGGTTCTGGTCTTTATCGAGTGTTCATTCTGATTTGCAACTAGCATTCATCTTGAATTTGTTTGTGCAGTTAAAATGAAACCACTGTGTCCCGTCCCCCCCAGTAAGTTATACATAGTGTCACATTTTGAACTGGCTGCATCTTTTGATTTTATTGAAAACTGCATGTGCATCTAGTCATTTGCTTTGTAGATTATGAACTCCAGCCAATCCAAACGTTTCTGAAATTTGGACTCATTGGTTCTGGAATCTGTGGAACCTGATACCCAGGCAGGCCCCTGTAATTTTAAAAATAATCATCATCTATGTTCAGTGGTTTGGATACCATGTTTCGAAATGGAAGTTAAATTAAAATAGAAAATAACCTTTTGAGCTCTGAACATTTTATTGAAAAGTAGAATACATCAAGACTACAGATACATACAGAGGCTAAAAAAGTTTTGTCAGGCATAAACATATATGACCTATAACACAGAGAAGCATCCCCATAATGCTCAGTTGAGTTCCTACCTGCCCCAACTTCCATGCCCAAGGAATGGGAATTTGTGTGCCTCCCTCTCTCTACACTGACAAGTTCTTCAAGTTCTGGGACTCCCCATTCACTGCTCAGCTCTTTGTGGGCTGATGAAGAAGGTGGAAAGTGAGAAATGGGGCTTTGTGGAGCCCCAAGGAGATTCCTTTGCGTGTGTTTAAGCTGCACCTTCAACGGGGGAAGCGTGAAGGAGGAGGAATGATAAAAAACGAGCGTCTAAATATGCAATTACATTTTTAGGCAGATTACCATAAATTTAATAATACATTTCTAAGAATCTATCCTATCTGAGTTTATACGAAATAGTCTAGGTAGCAATAGTAAAGTTCAGTGGTCACTAGTTTACCTTAAAGGATTTGAGCGTCACACTGATGCCTTGTTCAATACATTTTTAGATATAGGCTGTTCTGGGATATCAAGCAGGGAACTGTGATTTCAAAGGAAGACTCACCCCCCCATCCATTCAATAGGTAACAATGCTATCAGCTGTGTTGAGTAGCAAGCAACCGCTCCTACTTCTTCTTCTTCCCTTTCTTCTTCTTCTCTTTCCCTTTCCCCTTGTCTTTCCCCTTCCCTTTCCCCTTTCCGGTATCTTCATTCACGGCCAGCGACTTGATTCGAGCTTTCCCCAAAGGAGTCCTTGCATACCAAGCCTACAGAATCAGACGGAAATAATTTTTTTTAGAAGCTTGAAAGTATGCAAGTAACATGTATTTTCCTGCCTGCTGTAGTCCTTTTCTGATAAGAACCCTAATTGTGGGTGGCTCATGTAGAAGCGGCATCACAGTCTTTAGATCTCCTGAGAACGCTATTATAACGAGAACAGTAGCAATCATCTGCTTGAAGTGGCTCATTAACATGAATACATAGCTGTGGTACTTAAGTTGCTATAGTTATGATAGCATTACAATCTCTGTGATCAACCCTATTTCCCAGGGTATATAACTGTAGTTGAAAATTCTGTTCTTTGAAATTTGGCAATGTCGCAAGATGAGTGAGTTGGGTTATCTGATTTCAGTGAGCGGGGAAATCATTAACTGTTTCCTGATTTTCTTTCTTTCTTTTTTTTTACAAAAATTAAACAAGGAATGTCAGCTAGGAATTTTAATACTGTTTTCATTTTTTACAAAAGTGTAGATGCAAGCGGGCAATGATTACAATTAGGTGATAGAAAATTTTAAAATCATTTTGCAACACTTGGTTTTCAAATACTACAGTATATGGGAATTCTTTGGCCTTAAAACACTGCCGGTATCCCAAGAAGTAGGAAATGGCTGCTTTTGAGATGGGTCTCTTTCTTGACAGAATGAATTCATTGGGTATTCATCTCAACAAACTTGGGATAATGGATATTTCTCATTGTGGACTGGCACTCTTACTATAGGCATGTCATGTAAGGCATGTCATGTTTTGTACAGTAATAATAGAAAGTACTTCTGTTATTCTAAAGTGGGGTGCCTGATTCCATAGAAGAAATATTCATTTGAAATGTGACTGTGGACTGGACTCAGGAGAATCAGAGGTTGCTGGAAGAAAGCTTAAATATAAACGTGATAAAAGAATAAAAACTATGATGTTTCTACATGTACTGATGAGACATAGGCTAGAAGCTAGATAGTTGGTTTCAGTGCATGTTGGTCATCTTCAGTGGGATATTTAACTCTTTGTAAATACGGGACAGTTGTATAACCAATTAGTCAACAAAACATTTTCTTGCACCAACAGATTTTGCCCTCTCATCATTTTCTCAATATGGTTGGTAGAGAATATCAGCTTGCATTCCACATTATTGTATTTCCTTCATTTATTTTTAAAATTTGTTTCCTGCCCTTTGCTGGAAGACTTTCTGGTGGCTTATACAGTATGTAAAACACGGTAAAAGGCTCATTCATATATTGTGTACAGGATGCAGTGGGACATCAGGATTGACCCCACTGTACCACCCTAGTTCACCTCAGTAGGGGAATGTAGTATCTACATGGAATGTGTGAGAACTGATTGCAAGGCAGGTGTGCAAGATGCTGCGGAGTCTTTATCCCTCTAGATCAGGATGGTCAAAAGATCACAGGTTATCAGGCATATCTGCGCTGCATGCAACACACACAGCATGCCGGCATCATGCCAAATCTGTGGAGGTGAAGGGAAATCAGGATGTTAACACACACCTCCAAATATATGTTGAGACCCCGGGGGCAAACCATACTCTTGAAAGTGCTGTGCAAAACTCTGTTTTTCTGTTTAATTAAGGCAAAAAGGATTATCGCCAGGCAAGCACTACCTTGTATGTTTCTTCCTCCTCCTTGTAAACTGGATCCTGCCTGGCTAGGCACACCAGGAATTCAGCAGCAGTCAGTGGCTTCTTGTTCAGCTGCATCAGGCGTCGTTCAGTTAAGACGGATTGAACGGCTTTGACTATGTGTCCCTGAGTGTAACCATCAGAAACCTGTGCCAGGCAGCTGATGTTCAGATTTTTGGAGAATACCCCTCCATTCTGCTCAATGACGTGTTTCCATAAAACTGTCCAATAATAAAAGACAATCAGGTTATGACCTGAATGTTCAGAAACCTGCTTGTGTAGCAGTAGCAGCTCTAGCAACACAACAATCAGTTTAAGCATCTGACTGCATGTCTACTAATTTAAGAAACAACGAGAATGTCTGGTATCCCATGCTGACGTTCTTCAGAAGACTCTGAATGGACGCTACAATTAATCTCAAAATTGTGGTTCCACATATCCTGATGCAATATTTTTTAAAAAAACTGATACAGAATGTAATAAGCTTTGTCTGCGTGTGCAAAATCATTCCCAGGACTGGCTCATCCTGCAAAACTCTCCCCAAAGGTAAAAGTACAATTGCTTCAGCAAAGGTCATATGGCTGCAGGAATCTGCTCTGACTGTGCTTATTTCAGTTGCTTGCTTTTAAAATGAAGGCGACCAACTATGTGGCAACTCTACAGTACTGTTCTATAAATTGTGGTTATATCACCCCTAAAACCCTGGAGAAAATTTGGCTACCCATTTCTCCATATTAGACTAAGATCCCAGGGCAAATCATCAGTATGAGAGTGATCAGTCTTATCAGCACTATGCAAATGCTGCACAAAGAACCTTCCCTCTGCAAAAAAATATAAACCTTGGCCTACTCTGCACGTACCATAAAGAATGGTTTAGGACAGAGGTTCCCAAATTTATTTGGCTTAAAAAGGTAAAGGTACCCCTGAACTTTAGGTCCAGTCACGGACGACTCTGGGGTTGCGGCGCTCATCTCGCTTTACTGGCCGAGGGAGCCGGCGTACAGCTTCCAGGTCATGTGGCCAGCATGACTAAGCCGCTTCTGGCGAACCAGAGCAGCGCACGGAAACGCTGTTTACCTTCCTGCTGGAGCGGTACCTATTTATCTACTTGACTTTGACGTGCTTTTGAACTGCTAGGTTGGCAGGAGCAGGGACCGAGCAACGGGAGCTCACCCCGCCGCGGGGATTCGAACCGCCGACCTTCTGATCGACAAGCCCTAGGCTCAGTGGTTTAGCCCACAGCGCCACCCACGTCCCTCTTATTTGGCTTATGGACCCCTTAAACAAAAACACAACTCATTGCCCCCCTGTGCTCAGTCCAATTCACCCCAGGGGCAGGGCAGGTTTGGTGTTGCAGCCCGCCTGCCAAATAGTCAGGCAAGCTATGATCCACTTCCCAGGCTGAGTGAAGACGAAAAGGGTTCACCCAAACCCAGGAAAACCTCTTGCCTTGAGAACAAGTGCCAGATTCAGGGGAGGCGTCTCATCCCGCAACAGCACCCCACTGGCAGGAAGTGTCATTACACAACAGATGAAACAGTTTTTCAAAATTTTCTCCTTTCTTTACGCTTCCATCACCCCGTTATTATTATCCAATTCCCCCCATTGCATCCGAGGCTCCTGCCACCCTTCTGGATCGTTCCAGCGCCTCCCAGGGGACGGTATTGCCCACTTTCAGAAACACTGGTTTAGGGCCTCCGGGTTTGCATGCTCCCTCTCTCCTTGTCTCCTCTGGAGATCAGAAACTTTCACTTCTGTTTCAATTAATGGTGGTGACTTGCTACATCTGAACACAAACAAAGTGCACCTCCTCTTAACTTTGATTTAGTGAAACAAGCCAACGGTTGACTTTTACTGTGCAGCCAACTACTGTATAGTCTGCTACTCCTGATGGTGTTTTTTGGAGGGGGACATGTTACAATGTGTAGTCCAGGGGCCACCAATCATTTTGTGCCCATGGACACATTTGAAACCCAGAGAAACTCTTGTGGGCACCACACACGCTGCAAACAACTTTGTCTAGAATACATTTCTGACAGCCTATTTAATATAATGCACTTTACAAATGTTTTGAGCATGTTTGCATAAATTAGCTTTATGTAAACAGCACATTCATCCCGTTTTCAGATACTTGCCAAATCTTGATGCGTAGTCTGGCCTTGGAACCAGAATGATTTTCTTGTAAACTCTGCAAAAGGGTTTGAGGTCTGCATCAAAGGGACGCTTACTGGTTCCTACTATCAATACTCTGTCTTCAATTTTCAGGGTTTTCAAAATTTTAGGAAGTTGCTTTTTCAGTCGTCTGGGCTCCAACTTCCAGATCAAATACAAGTAAGTGAAATGTTAGATAGGAGTAGGTATCATATATGAAACTTTTATTTGGACCAATATACGATTTTAGAACAAACTCACTTGATTTTATGATTATGAAGGCATAACTTAGTATTAGACTTCTCATATATTTGCAGGAATAGTCAATTCTATTTGGCAGGACTTGCTTTGATTACAGTAAACCAAAAGCTTTTTTGGGTAGCCTGTTCAATCTTCATAGCACAAATATGTGACATATTTGCTAGGATTTGTCATAGTGATTCTGTCCTTCCTTTTCTTGCTTAGGCTCATTTACAGGTTCAGACCCACCCTTGTTGAATTTACAAATTAAAAACTCTGCCTTGAGACGCTTGCTAAAACTCAGGTTAATATTCTTGGAATAATTCCTAGACATTCTGTTTATATATCTGCTGAGCTGCACTGATCTAGCGACAGTATCAAAGTAATGTTCTTACACCATTATTGTGATGTTCCAATGTTACAGTAAAATATATGCTGCTACTCCAGCAGCCTATTTCCTGATGGATCACACTTTGGAACAAAGCTATTAATATACACAAGAAAGAGTGTGTAAACAGATAACAGTTTTAAAGTTATGGAATTATTCCCATACCAATTACACACAGGTCCTGCTATCTGCACACTCACTATCTGAAAATTCACTTATCCTCACTTAAGAGAATTATGCCCAAAACCCACTATATGCCCCATAGATTCACTTATCCAAACAGATGAATTCCTTACTTCCTTTTTTTGTGCTTTGCTGGCCAGCGACAGCCATTTTCAGGCAGAAATCAAAGGGTGGGGCAGATCAGACGAATCAAAGAGGAGGAAAAATCGGATAAATCAGGGAGCTCAGACATTCCCCCCCTTTATCTCTCTTTTGTGGATTGGCTGAAGCCATTTCAGGAAGAAATCATTAAGAGAGCGGGGCAGGGAAGAGATCAGACAAATCCCGGATTGGAAATATTTCAATAGGAAATAATGGAAATTGTGGACTCGTTATGTGAACACTCACCCAATGAACGATTTCCAGGAAAAACATTGTGTTCGCTAAGTGGGACCCACATGTAACTATTAAGTTAAAATACTGTGGCATACTTAGGAATAAAAAATACTCAATCCACAAAAGAATATACTTGATCTCTGCTGTATCTGTGGAAAACTTGGCTTAGATAGGGAGAAGTCTTGTGTAACAAGATTTCAAGGCTTGAACCCAGGAGTCAAAGTACAGCCCTAATCTTTACCATGGTCCTCCTGTCCATGCTAAAGAAATGGTTATTTTCAAAGCACAACTCTGAAGCTAGTTTTTGGTTTAAATTAATTACAAGTTTGTAAATGCTGCAACTAAATTTGATAGATACACTAGTAATTAATTGGGTGGTGCTTTGGTATTCTGGATTGGGACTGGAGTAAGGGTTGCTCCATTCACATTCAGGGGACTTGAAAGGCTCCCCCTTCAAGCAGCAGCCCCCATACGCCAGAAAACCCTACCTAAAGTTGGGGCCTCATTAGAGCAGCATCTCATAAGGTACAGAATGATGTTTCGCCCATCTTCATCTCTTACAGTGCTATATGTACATTCATTCAACTAATTAATCCCCCCTTTTCAATATTTCAAATTGAATTAACTGCCATGGAAAGGAGAAGAGGAAGTGGGTAAGAACCAGTCAATCAGCACTCTGAAGCTTCTGAAAACAGGAAGAAGAAGCTATTCCTGTATGTCTGATCAAAATGCCCTTGGATGACTTTAAAGGAGGATAGGACAAGTCCTTGGGGGAGAGGGCCATCGATGGCTACGAGCCAGGATACCCCTGCTCTACTTCCACGGTTTGAGCCAGCCATGCTTCCGAAAACCCGTTGGTGGAAACCAGGGGAGGGGAGAGAGTGGGGGGCTCATGTTCTGCTCCCTGTTTGGCCACTGTGAGCACAGGATGGTGGACTAGGCAGGCTATTCTTGCATGTAACACGGCCACCACTGAATGGACTCTTAGCTTTAACCAGCTTTAACAGCCAACTCTAAACACTTATTGCGTTCACTAATATTGATGGCTGAGATTTAATCATTTGTTAAATTCTCCCTTTGAAATCAATGTGCTTCATTTTGACTTGACTGCCTTCTATGAACCTTCAAACGTTTACACGCAAAGGGTACAAAATCAACGCTTGGTCACAGTTTAAGTGTTTATGTGGAACAGTTTGAGATTAATGGACTCTTTCATGTTAGGGTATGAGATACAAAACATTTAATGGAGTACTTTCTGTTGCTATAAGAGTACATGAAAGAGTTTGTGGAAGAACATTGGCCCAATAACACATGCAGCTTTACTCCATGAGATCAGTGTGGCAAGCTGTTTATGCCAACTTTAACCAGTAGAGGGCATCAGTCACCTCAAAGCCAGGTTCAACATTTACATGCAATTTTTGAAAAGCTTATCTCATATGTCTCTGCAGTTACACCTAGAAACAACCAAATTTAGAACTAAAATCAAGGGGTAACATCTGCAGGATTAAAGCTTCTTTTCAACTAATATTTCACTAATAGGCAAATTTGCTGTTTTCATTTTATCATGAAAACAAATGATGAATAGAAAGTAATTAAGACATATTAATGAGTAGATAAGAGTTTCAAGATCTGAAGCTTGATACATCTGTGCTTGTTCAAGACACACATTTGAGCGTCTTATATGTAACTGATTTCTAAAAAGTAAAAAATTCAGATTCTAACATCAATACAAAACTGAAAATTTGGTTTCAATGTTCTCCATAAAGTCACCATTACCTTTACTTTTAAACTCGCCTCTCCTTTTTGCCTTTTAAAATGATTTGGTTTTTCCATTTCCATAGGGCCCAGTGAAGAATTCTGTATAAGCCAGAAATTAGCATATGTTTCATGACCAACCAGTGGAGGATGAGGCAGTCTGTTTTTCAAAGGAAAAGCAAAGGCTAGCCACTCAGTCTTGTGATGCTGTGAAATGTACCTTTGTTTGTGAACCTGTGATTCTGCTACTATAGTATGGAAAACTGGATTTACCTCCTTTTCAGCTTTAGGCACCTTCTTGTAGAAAGTTTTCTCCGCGTCTCCAATCCATATGACTGATGGTTGTAGCTGTTTGGCGACCTGAGAGGTGAAAGAGTTTCACGTCATAACACTACAATATACCAGTCAGGCTAAGTGAAGACGAGAGTTCTGCATCTTGACCCAGCGCCATGTTCCAGGGATGGGAGCTTCTTTGTGCCTTCCCAGACCATGCAGTATCTCCCTCATTGACTTCAGTCAAAGGAGTCACAGCCAAGGGAACGACTTTCAAATGGGGCTCCTTTGGCTGCTGAGGAGGAAGAGAAGGAATCTGGACGGGACTGCAATGCAGAGAGGAAAAGGAGCAGGACTCGGGCTGGGCCAGGGAAAGAGACAGAGAGAGAGGGATAAAGACTCAGAGAGATTTGCAGATATGAAGGAAGGATGGCTGATGTGAGGAAGGAGGAGGGGGTAGAGGAGGACCTTGACCATGGGCATAGCCAGGATTTTTGTTGGGGGAGGGCAGGCCTCTTGTTTGGGAGGGGGGGGCAGAACCTCAGTTAGTTTTGTATTTTTACTGATTTTTATTGAGGGGGCAGCTGCCCCTCCCCACGCCCCTGACCAATCATTAAGTCACCCAAGGGTGCTGAGGCACACAGGTTAAAAACTTCTGCCATAGCCTTTTCTTATCCCAAAGATGCCCCGCACCAAGGTAGTGGAGGTTTAGGATCAGAGATTTCCTTCTCCTAGATGGGCTCCTTTCCCAGGTTGATGAACCCCATCTACCCCTCACTCCCTCTATAGAATGTGCAGAAACAGCCTTCTTGACCTTGTCCACTCAGTCTTCACATGTAGTGGAAGTCCCTAACTCACTGAGGGTTTGAGATGCATCAGCCACCCTCACCTGGGTGACTAGCCAGCCAGTCAAAGGCATTTCCTGGGGTGTGGCTGCAGTTGCCTGCTGACAGCTTCCAGGAGCCCCAGGTGAGAGGTGAGTGCTCCTGAGGGTGGGGGCAAAAGGTGGACAAACTACCCCAGAAGGAGCACAATGTATCCCCTAACACCCCTTTACCCTGCTGAACCCAAGAACATTATAAAATGCACCCTTTAGCCAGTACATAATAAATTCACTGATAATTCTACCAATTTATTCTGTAAATAATTCTAGTTAAAATTATGGATTTTTAAACTATGTGACTTTGGAATTCCTATTTTTCCTTCTCTTCCTGCATTTTCGTTTTTTAAATACATTTGTTCTAAGGAGCTGATCAGTTATACACACTGTACAATTAAGCTTCTACAGTATAATCAATATTGTTAAATAGACAGGTGCAGATCCTAGAATATTACTGTTTGTTTTGCTGTTAAATAACCTAAAGCAAAACAGGGAGTGTTCCCACTTTATATTAACTCAGATAAATCATCTATCTGATGGTCTCTATTTTCTAGTTTACAAGCATTAACTATTAATGAGCAGATTAGCCTATGTGTAGAACAGGGGTATTCTGTTGTCTTGATCTGATCAAGATTCTGCTGTTCTGCTGTATTTTTTAACCAAATGAGACACCCACAATCCATTGGTATCTAATTGAAATTGTTGGCAGATATGTAGCAGACTGTATGTTCCAATGAAAGTACTTCATTTGAATTATCCATGAGTAGTTTGAATCTATGTATAATTAAATGGACTATGCAATTAATTTATAATTGAAATTTTATTAGAGTGCTTTGCTCTTCATTTTGTTGCAGCCACCAGCAGATGGCTCCTTAACCTTTCTAATACTGCTTTAAGTGAAGACTCTGATAGCATTTCATGGCAGATGAAGCTTGTTGTTCTCAACTGTTCAGCCTTTGTTTCCAGGAAGTGTTCTGTAAACCAGCTCTTTAATGCTTGTTTAGCAGAAGTTTATTCCTTTGTTGCTTGTTCTCATGTTGTGATTGCAGTCTATTTCTATTACAGAGAAGTAGCAATAAAAACAGCTGTTTGAGGCTTCTATTATGTGTGAGCAATTTGTAGCCTCAAGACTATTTCTTAATGTTATATTTTTAAACTCAAGGTTGCACAGAAATACTTTACACATCCAGCGATATCAGCCGAAAAAAAGACTCAGAAACCAAATAACCATATAATCATGCTTTTAAGCAGAGAATTATCTCGTGCTTTGCTCGATATTCACAAGAATAACATTTATACTCAGAAATCTGGGTGTATTGTGGTTTAAGTGTTCAATTGGCAGACTGGCGCTGTGGGTAAAACCTCAGTGCCTAGGACTTGCCGATCGCATGGTTGGCGGTTCGAATCCCCGCGGCGGGGAGCGCTCCCGTTGCTCGGTCCCAGCGCCTGCCCACCTAGCAGTTCAAAAGCACCCCCGGGTGCAAGTAGATAAATAGGGACCGCTTACCAGCGGGAAGGTAAACGGCATTCCATGTGCTGCGCTGGCTCGCCAGATGCAGCTTGTCACGCTGGCCACGTGACCCGGAAGTGTCTGCGGACAGCGCTGGCTCCCGGCCTATAGAGTGAGATGAGCGCACAACCCTAGAATCTGGCAAGACTGGCCCGAAAGGGCAGGGGTACCTTTACCTTAATTCATCAAATACTGATAATATTTGCAATTATTCAAATTATTTTTCTACTACTACTACCAGATACATTACAAATACATGGTCAGAAAAGACCAAAAGGATTGCAAGTTATCATGAAGTTAAAAGGCAAGTCTAATTATTTGCTTATATAGATATAAAGTGATATTAACTCAAGATTTATTCTATGGATCTGTTCCCGTACGGGCCAGTCTTGACAGACTCTAGGGCTGTGCGCTCATCTCACTCTATAGGCCGGGAGCCAGCGCTGTCCACAGACACTTCCGGGTCACGTGGTCAGCGTGACAAGCCGCATCTGGCGAGCCAGCGCAGCACACGGAAACGCCGTTTACCTTCCCGCTGGTAAGCGGTCCCTATTTATCTACTTGCACCCGGGGGTGCTTTCGAACTGCTAGGTTGGCAGGCGCTGGGACCAAGCAACGGGAGCGCACCCTGCCGCGGGGATTCGAACCGCTGACCATGCGATCGGCAAGTCCTAGGCGCTGAGGTTTTACCCACAGCGCCACCCGCGTCCCATCTGTTTCTTGTACATATGTAATAAAGTCTGTAAATACCAAGCTGACTGTGCCGGGGTGTTAATGTGAAGGGGAGACACCACCTTGACAGTTGGACTCAGTGACCCCCAGGGTCCCCTCAAACTCTACAATACTATGATTCTATTAGTTCTTGAACAGCAGCCACAGTATTGCTACTAACTGCTTTGGAAAGTTTCAAAAGCAAATTCTGGGCAATTTTAAGTCCTAATCTGCAATGGTGGGAGGGCAGAGGTTTCTGTGGGGAACCAGGAATGCAATTCCTCTTCAGGTGATGGAGCTGAGGACTCCCAATTCGGAAGGGGTGGGGCAAGCAGAAACGCTGTTACCTGACACACCTGTGAGACCAGCAACCCTCTCCCAGATGGTGTGGCTCTACTGTGATGGCTTGGGACTTGGGCTCAAATTCGGACCCAGAGGAGACTCAGTCTGCACTGGATCCTTTGCCTCAGGCATCATCTGTACCAAGTCTAGGGCCAGTCCCAGTCTGCACAGGTTCCCCTGCAACAAACACCAGCTGGGCCGAGTCAGGGGCCTGAGCCTGCCCTGGCTCCAGATGCGGGGATGACCTCGTTGCCTTCAGCTGGGCCATCACTTACAGCTGCTCCACTACCAGTTGGATTGAGGCGGCCCCTGGGTCTAGTAACCCACCAACGTCTCCCGAGCTGCAGAGACTGAGGTCTGAGAGAAGGAGAGACCTGAGTACTCGCAGGAGGAGCGCTCGCCTTTGGGCGAAACAGGGAGGTGAGTCGCTGGGGGATCAGGACCGGCCGCTACCCCGACAAAGATAAAAGGCTGTCGGACCCCGCCCCAGGTTGCGGGAGCAACATTGCTGTATGCTAGATCCTGTCTGAGATCCTGTACCTGTCCTTGCCTGGTTTCCTGCCTCGTGTCCTGCCTTGACCCTGTCGGACTGACTCCTAGCAGAACCTTCAGATTCTGGACTGGTCCTGGACCGCGTTTCCCGGGTTACCCCTGGACCCAGCATATCTACTACCCTTGGAATCTACTGAAGAACCTGTGAGGCTAGAGTCTCCCCTGCTCTGCCACTCTAGGAGACTGCTGGAGAGGGCTGAGTCCCTTTAGCACCTTTCAGTACAGGTGGTGCTAACCATTAGATGCAGCTGTGGCTGCTATACAGGGCTGGCAGGGGTCACATTTGTTCCTTGCTAATGCAACATTGGAGCTCTGTGTTCCTAGAAAACAGCCTGAGCCCTAAGATCAGCCCAGACCCTTCTCGCGCTTGCCTTGTCTCAGTCTGCCTTGCACTCAGCGTGAGTTCTGCCTTGCTTTGCCACAGAGCTCTCCTCTTCCACCAGAGGCGCCTGATGCAAACACGGAGTTGAGGACGAAGCTCTGGGCCTCCTTGTTTCCCCCATCTAATTCCATGAGCTTCACATGCCCATCATTTTTATTTAGAAAGCCTATCAGTTCAGCTTAGGGGTTGGTTGCTCACCCTTCATCCGAGGCTCACAGGGCAGTTTACAATATAAAAACACAAAATTACACAACATAGTTAACGAAGTATAAACCCTCCTCACACAATTTAAAAGGACTGCTTAAATAGCCAAAGGGGTGGGAGAAGAGGAATGTTTTTGCCTGGCGCCTAGACTTACGTAACAAAGGCACCAGGTGAGCCTCCTTACTTGTTTTTTCACAAAGCTTGTAGCTTTGAACAATATTTACAAAAAAAATTATAAAAATAAATATCCAGATATTCTACATCCAGTTTAATGACTTGGGCTCTATGATCACCGCAAATGTGACAGCAGTCACAAAATGAAAAGACGCCAGGACATTCATTCCCGAAGAGCTTGCTGGATCAGGCTAGCAACCCATCTAGTCCAGCATCCTGTTCTCACAGTGGCCAAACACAGAGTAGAACCTGAGCACAAGAAACCCCCTCCCCTCCTGTGACTTCCAGCAACTGGTATTCAGAAGCACGGCTGCCTCTGACTGTGAAAGCAGAGCAAAGCCGTCCATCACGGCTAGTAGCTACTGATAGTCCTCTTCTCCATGGACTTGTCTAATCCCCTTTGAAAGCCATCAAAGCTGGTGGCCATCACTGTCTGCTGCGGGAGGGAGAGCCATAGTTGGATTATGCACTGCAAGAACGAGTCTTCCAGTTCTTGGCTGCACACAAGAACTGGAATCAAGAATAGTCAAATGAGACGGATGGATGCCAACAACTAGGCGCCAGACACTGACATCTAGCGATCACTAAAGTGGTACACCTGCATCTGACATGATGTTCCTCTTTTCAAAAAATAACCAACAACATTGAAAGCTATATGTTAGGGAGAAGACTATACCAGGACATTCATTCCTGAAATGCTGTTCTTCTATGTGTAGGATATTAATGATTTCTTTCGTATGTAGGAGCATCCATCACAGATTTTCCATCTCAATGAGACTGTGCATTGTTTCTGACACACAGGTTAACCTCGGGTTAAGAACTTAATTCGTTCTGGAGGTCCGTTCTTAACCTGAAACTGTTCTTAACCTGAAGCACCACTTTAGCTAATGGGGCCTCCCGCTGCCACCACATGATTTCTGTTCTCATCCTGAAGCAAAGTTCTTAACCCGAGGTATTATTTCTGGGTTAGCGGAGTCTGTAACTGAAGCATCTGTAACCTGAGGTAAAGGTAAAGGGTGACCGACTCTGGGGTTGCGGCGCTCATCTCGCTCTATAGGCCATGGGAGCCGGCATTTGTCCGCAGACAGCTTCCGGGTCATGTGGCCAGCATGACTAAGCCGCTTCTGGAGAACCAGAGCAGCGCACGGAAACGCTGTTTACCTTCCCGCCGGAGCGGTACCTATTTATCTACTTGCACTTTGATGTGCTTTCGAACTGCTAGGTTGGCAGGAGGTAACCCGAGGTACCACTGTACAAAAAAGATGTTGCTAATAAATAGGCAGTTAAAAAGAATGATTAAAATGTTAGTAGAATTCTTACTATTTACTTCCCAAGTGTGTCATGTGCTCTGTCATGTTTGAAACTTTAAGTTGGTAAGCAATTTAACACTCTCTGCTAGAACTGGGGTTACTAGTGAATGATTAGTCCATGGGTCGGCAAACTAAGGCCTGGGGGCTGGATCTGGTCCAATCGCCTTCTAAATCCGGCCCGCAGACGGTCCAGGAATCAGCGTGTTTTTACAAGAGTAGAATGTGTGCTTTTATTTAAAATGCATCTCTGAGTTATTTGTGGGGCCTGCCTTACAATTTTATTTATAATAATAAAATTTTATTTATAATAATAATAATAATAATAATAATAATAATAATAATAATTTTATTATTTATACCCCGCCCATCTGGGTGGCTCCCAACAGAGGACTAAAAACAGAATGAAGATTCAAACATTAAAACTTCCCTAATGTATTATTGTATTATTATAACAATGAATCAAAATGAGATACACAATAAATCACCTATTAGCATATGGAATAGAATACTTACTGTACAACTAAAATACAGTTTTATATAAATTTGCAGAAAAAATTAAAATGAGAGGATCTTTTGTGTTCCTACCTTAAACACAATGTGAAGCATCATTTGCAGACCAGCCTTGCCAGGGTATTTGCCAGCAATATTAGCTGCAGATAAATTGAAGAGGTTGGCTCCCGTTTCCGTGCAGAGAGCATGAATAAGCATCTTTTTCCCGACTCCTTCAGGTCCAGCCAAAAGCAAGGCTTTCACCAGAGGTGCTTTCTCATGTACAGACTGAGAACCTATGAAGGTGAAATGGGAACAATATGACGATGTATAGGTACATATGTAGTCATTCCAGTATTCCACCATGTGATTCCCAAGTGCTGACCCAGGCATTAGTGGTTTTGGGGAAGACTTGACAGTCCCAAACCAAGAGCTTTTGTTTTCAGGTCAGCAGCTGGAACATGTAGGGGGATGTTTAACATTAGACATACTCTGAATAGACTCATTTCGCCCCCAACAAGATCTTTATTAAAGTTTTTCACAATACAACAGGATAAGAGCTACAATAATTACAAACGGAACAAGTAAAATATGGAGTCGTCTCCTAGAGGCAATTCCAAATAGTCATATTGAAATTTATGGGTTTAAGTAATTGAAGTCAATTGACTTTAATGGGTCTACTCTGACCAAACTCCACTTTCCTGGGAGTATGTCCCATTGAATTCAATAAGATTTAGTTCTGAGTAGATATCATATCACCCATAAACTTTTAAAAACAACTCTTGCTTCTAAATAGTTTAGAAAACAGACAAAGATAAGAAAACCCACCCGCCCTTCTACAAATAGTGTATCTAGTAATGCATCTGCAGAAATTCAGTATGGCAAAGCACTTGGCAAGTTATGTACTTGTAGGCCCCAATGATTTCAGTAAAAGAGCAAGTACTTAACTATCCTATTGAAATCAACAAGATTTCCAAGTGTGTAACTCTGACTGGATTGCAGTCTTGCTATCTGGGAGTTTCTAATTGTTCTCACTCCTTCTCTGGCCATGGCTTGTGAGGTGAGGGAATTCAGTTCAGTTCATACCGTATTGGCCCGAATAATAAGCCTTAAGCCACACCTTTAAAATTCAATGAGGAAAAAGAAAAAAAGACAATTCCTAAATATAAGCCTCTCCCTTAAAATTGGAGAGGGGGGAATTCCAAAAGGCACCCGCCCAACGAAGCGCAATCACACAACGAGGAACACACACACGACGCTTGCCCAGGGACGGGGGAATGAAAAGGGGGTCAACAAGCACCCGTCCCAAACAAGCACACTCTCAGCACCGAAGCCCATGCGGTCGTCCGCTGCCGTATACAGTAACCGGAAAACGCCCGCTGCCCAGCTGTAAAGGAACTGCCTCACAGCTGACCAGAGATTGCAGCGCGTAGGAGACCTTGCGTGGGCCGCAGCCGCTGCTCAGCTTGGGGGAAGGCTGCCTCACAGCTGAAAGGCTTCTGCAGTGCGCCTGGAGCCCACGTGGTCCCCAGCGCTGCAGTCAGGCTCCGCCAAATCCACCAGTGGCGCTGCCACAGACCAGTTCAATGGCTCCCCGCAACAGTGTGCCGCCTCACAGCCGATCTAAAAGCCAATTTTGGCAAGGTCGCGAATATAAGCAGCACTTTAACTATTCACGGTCAGAATTTGGGGGGAAAGTGTGGCTTATATTTGGGCCAATGTGGTATTTAAAGCTGAATTTACAAATTAGCACTTTGCGATATAATCTGAGAACGAAAACACAGCCATCCTTCGAAATACACACTTATCTGAATGTTGTGATGCAGTTCTCCATCCAAACTATGTTTAGAAAAATGCATGTATTAGGGGGAAATGTGCCTAAAGATGATTATATTCCTGGAAATTATATACAACAAGTATTATATTGGGAGAAACTGCAAACAAAAACCTGTTTATTGGGAGAAATTCACACAAAAATGCTGACTCCTCTTCACAATTTTTTTAAATTGCAAAAATCTTGCAGAATTCTAGATTGGAAAAATGAGAAACCGAAATTGACAGATCCTTCCATCCCTACTGCTAACATGGATTTGTTCTGAAAATCTGCAAACTGTCCCAGTTTGGAGGTGTGATAGGATGTTCTTTCTGTAAAATTGACTGGATCATGTTCAGAAAAGTGACAGGAGCTCTACTGCAGCCTAAGGAAAAGCCTCTCCGCCCCCCGAGAAAAGGTTTATACTTATCATATTTGAACAACATACTATGCAGATAGTACATATAAGAAAACATACATGTTTGGTTATTAATTTCTAGAGTTTTAGAAGGCAAGAACAATTAAAAGCACTTTCTCCAATATATGAAATGAGCTGACTAATTCCAGAAACGCTTCCATTGTTCAACAGCAAGACACATTAGCTGGCTTGTAAAAGGTAAATTGCAACCTTAGCCTTTTCCCTAACTTGATTAAATTTATAATCACTGGAGCTTGTATTAGCTATTACCTTTCCCAGGTGACTTCCTTTATGTGCTACAGCTCCCAAACTGTTAACATGCAAACAAGAAATGGCAACGAAACGGCATGTCAAACACACAGCAACCACGCTCCCCTTTTAAGTATGCTATTAAAACCATACTGTATCAGTTCAGAATACTTAATTGAAAAAGAATTCTGCAGAATGCTTTCAACCAAAATCAATCAAGCACTGTCATAGCTAGTAAAAGTATATGAGGCTGACAGGAGGCTCCTGTGATCTTACCTAATGGCAATATGCCATACAGAGCGATGAGCTGCCTGACATCTGTAAGAGAGGGCATTGGTTCTATGTCTTTCTGCCGAAGGGTAGACCCCAGATAGCTGTACTCACCTACAGGGAAGAGACAAAGGCTTCTTTATAGGTGATACTGTATTATTACAAAATGTGCAACTCCAGACATTAGAAACTGCTAGGGAGTACAAGTTTAGCATCCTGTTAAGCCGTAACAGATTCAAATCTATGAGTTCTAATAGTTATTAATATGGTTTTGGAATCTATGAGTTCTAATAGTTATTAATATGGTTTTGGAATGCATCCCCCAACATGAATACAAAATAAAAATAGAAGTGGAAATATTCAGCCGGCAATTTAAATGAATGTGGACTTGAATTTTGACCCTCATGCTATTTTTCTACAAATGTGTAAATTATTTCACGAGTATACCATCAATTGGCAAGTACATAAAAATGACAACTGCACAGTGGGCAGAATTCATGGACAAACTAAATAGATTGAATCCTTGCAGCACTGATGTGAGATAGGTTAACACTATTCCAATTTTATAGGTAAAGAACAAGGGCTTGATTGTGGGTGCACTTGACAGGTCTCTAAATGCAGCTGGCATCCAGTGTGCTATCTCTGGGACCACAGTGGCTCTCCTTGCTAGCTGAGTCATTCAGCATGGAAACGTGGATTCTAGCTGCTGAGACACCAGAGTATGTAACCCATGGACATAATCACAGGGTTAAGAAGGACTGACATGCGGTGAGGAGAAATGTCTTAAGAGTACCATTTATCATCATCAGTAGAAGCATAATCTGTACTGACGGCATACATTTATGCAAACTTTTTATTGCTAGTATTTATTTACATGAACATATTTTAAATGTTTTGCTTTTGAAACCTTTATGTGCCTTTGATAAATGCAAATTTATCAAACAGTAAATTAAATAAGACTGAATCATAAAAATAGAAAAAGTGGGCGTTTTCTTTACAAGCCCACAGTAGAGAGCTGGTGCACTGGCTAAGATAATGAGGTGTGATGCAGGAGGTTGTTAATTCAAGTCTCATCTCAATTACAAACTCACTTGGCCTGAGGAGACAAGTCACTAACTCTCAGCCTCCTCTCTTCCCTATGAAAATACTTATCCCCAGCATCCACGCAGGGTTGCTGTGAGGAGAGTGCGGCAATGGATGTGAGGCACCTTGAACACTGAAAATACGGCATAAATGACCAGTTTAGTTGCCCATTGGTTGTTAAGGATTTGTAAAGCTGGCAGATCTTTTTAGTGTTGGACAAATTTGGCAGCTTCTGGTATCTTATATAGCAATAGCAAATCCATTCTGTTAAAGCTGATCTTTGTATCACCCAAAAGCACAATCCATGCACAATCCGTACTCAAAGCATTTCTCCCATCACTTTGAATACAAGCTGCTTTCTCTGCAGAGGGGAAAGTCTTCCAGTTCTAGGGAGATTTTCCCCGATGCTGAGACTTCAAAGGGGCTCCCTCTAAGCAACCATCAGCTGACTGTCAGCTAAAAGGATTGAGGCATGCTCAGAGGAGGCTGCAGTGTAGCAACCATCTTTGAACAATTCCCTGATGTCAGATGATTGACAGGCAGGTGGTCCTGCCCACCTGATAAAGTTGGCCCTCAGTGGGTGGGCAAGATCTAGCCCATCAGGCTTAAAGGGTTCCCCCACCCCTGTACTAAAGGGAAGTGTTTGCAGGGTTGGATGAAAACCAAGGTGTGAGGAAGTGCAAACAATGTTTAGAAGACTAAAGCATAAGGAGAGGAAACACCCCTACACACACACACACACACACACACACACACACACACCAATGTTCAGTGGGCATAGAATACTGACTGTAGTTTGGGAGGGGGAATGGAAACTGACGTGCGGGTGGTGGAGAAGAGTATTCTGGCTGGTTGGAAGGAACCCTGAACAGGGACGTTCTACGCTGCAATCTTTTGCTGCCTTGGAGATTGGAGCACAAGGGATTTTGACGCTGACATCATCTGATATCCACGTGGGTTGCCCCTGCCTACCTGTTCAAATTTGACCCATGAGGCAGATCCTGAAAAGGGTCAGGCTTGTGAAGCCTGTTTCAGAGGGGCGCAAGAGTTAATAGAATATCCAGCTCCATGCCAGCAAGCCAGACCTGTTCGCCATTAAAAGCCTGAGCATATGTTGAGATTGTTTCAGCCAAAGAACCACTAATCATTTGCTTTACCAGATAAACTGCAGGAGGGTTTGGGTAATGAGCACTGGCTACCCCGAGTGAAACTTCAGAGGGAAGCAGCAGCTACTGGATGGTTCGGTTGGTCTTTTGCCCCCATACGCAGGCTGGATGACTGATTTGCACATCAGGACCCGAAGCGGTTTGCATAACTGGAGCAGAGTATAAAAGTGAATCAGAGAAGGGGCACCATAGCGGAATCCACTTATACTCTATCAGATGTTTTTAGCTTGGTCTAAATTATGCTTTTGAATAAATGCTTACATTCTTCTATATTTAGGGCTGATGTGGATGTTACTTTTCTCTGCCCAGGTTTTAAAAGCCTGTAAGGGGAAACAGCCTGGAGATGGCTGGTGCCAGTGCCTTTGCAACAGCAAGGGGGTCAGATTTAACTATGAGACTAGAATTGTGCTCAGTTCCTGTGGCATCTCTGAAGTGCACAGTCTGACCTTTGCAGCTTCCCAAGAAACAACTTCAAAATACAGGTAGGGAAATGCTATTGGAAGCATCATTTAATTTAGTGCTTGGTGCCAGCCAGATGTGCAAATGACGAAGCACCAGAATTAGAAAATATGAAGATTATAAATCACAGACTAAATCCTGAAGATCTCTGCTTCAACTGTCATACTGAGTCAGAAGTTAAGCTTATATTAATTTTTATATCTGGAACCAGCTACATCGGTATGAATGGTGCGGCTTGTCTTAATACTTTACCCACATAATCGCAGAGTTTCACTTTCTTGGCTCTTATTAATATCTGTGCTTCTACCAGCTCCTGGTAGAGAGAATCAATGGTCCTACAAAGAGATACATAATTTAACACCCAGATTTGCAGATAAAAATGCAAATCATCTCTTAAAAAACACACCCTCATGTAAGCATCTGTAATGTCTGCATATGGCTAAAATGTACAATAATTACATTTTCATTTTTAGGGAAAGCACTTGTACACTTATTGTAACATTAACAGCAATTTCCATCTATTAGCGGTATGAAATACTGTGGAACACTAACAATACAATAATGAAATTATTTCATAGAAATTTGGAGTTTAAACATTTTCCCAACACAAGTCCTCTCACATTGCTACCTCCAGGCTATTTGAAACATAACATCACTGTTCAACATCATTGCAAAGTTCCTGCAAGTCAGTAGAACAGGGTGAACAAGCAGTTCTTAGGAAGGTATTTTTTAAAAAGAAAGAAAAAGATTGTGTATTTTGAAATGCTGGAGGCAACTTCGTAGTACACAGATCTTATCTTGGACCTAGTTAGTGGTATAATACCACACAGGGCCAGCCCACCCATGAGGCAAGGTGAGGTGACCGCCTCAGGTGGCAGGATCCACAGGGGCGTCAGATCCAGCTGCCCGGCAGCCCTCCCAATGCCACCTCTACAGTGGCCTCCTGGTGAAGAGGAGGAGCTGCTGGTCTCCTCCCAGCCTTGTTTCTGGTGTCAATCTTCACCCACCCCTTCTTTGCTGGCAGAAGAGGTACCATTGTGCAGTTCACCTCAGGTGCCAAAATGTTTTGGGCCAGCCTTGTTTGTGAATGAATCATAGGGGCACTATTCTGTATTTAACATTGGAAATGGTAGTCAGTAATGTTCAGAGAGTGGGATGGCCTCCCCGCCGCCCCGCCACTCAGTGAATATGGCATTAACTCTTTTGCATGGAGATGGAGTTTAGTAATGTTATTTGTGGTAGTCTGGAAAAATCTAAATAAAAAACAACGATAGACATTTCGATTTGAAGTGTCAGGTAACTGGCAAAGGTAGTAAAGCTACAGCTATTTGTTGTTTGCTTATTTTTTAATGTCCACCCCACCAATATGGCTTCAAAGAGCTTCCAGAGCAGCCGGCAACACTATTTACCCTAAGCTTCCTACCGTCAGCCCAATGGGCAGCAATCTACAAGGCAGCATCAAGGATTATACTTTATGATTTGTTTTATATAGGGAATAAATGCTGCTTTGTTCAATTATTACAGAAGGACTAGCTAGTGTCCTATTTCAGGGATGTTAAAAACAGATGGAAAATCTGATACAAATCTGAAACTACCAGGTGTTCCTACACCTGCCACAAGGAATAAAATTTAATGACAATTCTTCAAAGAACCATTAGAGATATGATGAAAATGCACAGAACTAAGGTCCACAGTACATATAACCTAAAATGAACTCTCTGCAAATTGGTGGTTGACATTTCCTATCTAAATCTCTCTCTATATGTTATCCATTTTAAAAGAATTCTATGTTAGATTCTCCATAATTGCTAAGGAATTGGAGCTACCAGGTTCAGGCTTAGGCATACCAACTTTGACTCTCTTTTGTGTTTGAACAAAGCAAAGAGAGAGAGAGATGTGTCAATGTGAATCTCAGAGGAGCAGGTGCATTTTTACCTGTCAGGAGTCAGATCTTTCTCCTTCTTAGATTTTTTCTTCCTTCCACCCTTTTTCCCTTTTTTCTTTTTCTAAGGATCATAAATGGAGAAAGTTAGCAAAGGCAATACTTCTACACCCAGCTAAAAGTTAGCACAAGATTCTGAATAGTTTTAGTGGCCTCTAGTGATTTAACTCCTCCTGCCCATATATATATATTATACACATTGTTTATGCTTTCTTCACTTTAGTGTTTGCAATTTGTTCTTGGATGAAAATTGCAAGCACACTTAACTACACTCAAATACAGCTGTACCTTGGTTTACAAACTTAATCCGTTCCGGAAGTCCGTTCTTATACCAAAGCATTCTTAAACCAAGGCGTGCTTTCCCATAGCAGCGGGGGACGCAATTTACAAATGGAACACAGTCAGCAGGAAGCGAAACATGTTCTTATTCCAAGGCAAAGTTCACAAACCAAAACACCTACTTCCGGGTTTGCAGCATTCTTAATCCAAGTTGTTCATAAACTAAGCTATTCTTAAACCAAGGTACCACTGTACCTGTATTTTCTTGACCAACTCCCAAAACATTTAACATTTCCCTTGAGCCTTATTCTCTCCCCTTTGCCCAGTCTGCAGTGGCTCACATGGGACTGTTCTGGCTACACACTGGTGAGGAATTCCAGCCCAGCTGCAATTCCACCTGGTGTGTCATTATTTCCTTGTGATTATTTCCATGTTCTTCAACGTTACATGGTCCTCCTCCCTCTTGAGGAGACATGTTGGATGCATCCTCCAACACACAGCCTTCATTTTTCAAGGTGAAGTTCGGTCCCACTTGCAGGACACTTGTGTGGTCTGGGCTGCAACTTGTGAATCACTGCATCAATCTCATTAATTGGGGCATACAAAGATTTCAGCAGCACGTGCCGTATAGCCTATGAGACACCGTGGGCCTCAAATTTATCACATTTTTCTGTCCCCTCCGCTTCTGGCAGTGTAAGTACTGCTCAACAGAGAAGAGCACCCTTACCAGTCTCACAGCTGGCAGACCAAGCAGGCCTTGCCTTGAAAGCAAGGACAAGAGCTTAAAACCTCTTTCCATGCTGAGAAACCACAAGAGGACCTGGCATTGTTTAAGAGGGGTGTAGTGATCCCCTGGCGCTGTCATCCGACCAGAGGAGTCCCAGGAGTGTGATTTATAGAAGGTTGGGAAACTAACAGAAAGTATCAGACTCCAAATGTTAAGACCTAAGATGTAACAACTATACAATTACAGTGGTGCCTCGCAAGATGAAATTAATCCGTTCCGCGAGTCTCTTCGTCTAGCGGTTTTCTCTTCTTGCGAAGCAACCCTATTAGCGGCTTAGCGGATTAGCGCTATTAGCGGTTTAGCGGCTATTAAAGGCTTAGCGGCTAAAAGGCTATTAGCGGCTTAGAAAAAGGGGGGGAAAAGCGGAAAAAATCTCAAGACTCGCAAGACGTTTTTGTCTTGCGAAGCAAGCCCATAGGGAAATTCGTCCTGCGAAGCGCATCAAAAAACGGAAAACCCTTTCGTCTAGAGGGTTTTTCGTCTTGCGAGGCATTCGTCTTGCGGGGCACCACTGTAAGTTTAAGGAGCTGAAGTGAAATAACTGAAAAGAAGCTATGTGTTTACCACCTTGAGAAGCCTATAAGGTCAAGATAAAGGGACCCCTGACCATTAGGTCCAGTCGTGACTGACTCTGGGGTTGCGGCGCTCATCTTGCTTTATTGGCCAAGGGAGCTGGCGTACAGCTTCCAGGTCATGTGGCCAGCATGACTAAGCCGCTTCTGGCAAACCTGGCACACAGAAACACCGTTTACCTTCCCGCCAGAGTGGTACCTATTTATCTACTTGCACTTTGACGTGCTTTCAAGCTGCTAGGTTGGCAGGAAACAGCCACCAAATTAGAGAGAGAGAGAGAGAGAGAGAGAGAGAGAGAGGACAGATAGTTATCTGTTTCTTGAAAGAATTCTATCTCCTAACATATCTTTTGTTTTACCAATTGTTCTGTAAAATAAAACCTTTTATCTGTTTAGCTTCTCCCTAGAAGAGTCTTCTTCATAAAAACCAAAACCTGAGCTGTAGTTAAGAGGGGGTTTGCCACAACAGCAACTCCTGGCATCTGTATTACATGATTTTGCCTGGAACAGTGTTAAGGCAGCAGGGAATTGGTGGCCCACAGGCAGGAGCTAGACCTGAGAGTCTTTTCCACTGGCCTGACAGCCTTTGGGCTCAACCTCTGCCCTCCTCCGAGTAACAGCAGTGACATTCAGAAACAGTAGAGTGACATACAACCCAGACATTGCAGCACACACCTCTGCAGTGCCCTTCTTGATTTTTTGGCAGTTGGGGGGGGGGTTAAAGGTGAAAGCGTGCCAGGATCACTTATAGTGGCCCAGGTAGCCTGACGTTGGCTCCCAACTACCAGCATTTCATTCATTCCAGGAAGAGACAGCTGGAGACTCTGGCACAACGGTTTCCCCAACCACCACTCTTTTTCTCCTGCTAGGCTTAAAAACGTCGAAGACAAAATAAAACTGTGTCTGCCTAAGGGCATGAAAAGCCATTTTTGAGGAACTGGTGAAGCAGTGGATGAAGGAGGCAGTGGGGGCAAGATTCCCAATGACAGCACTTCCTGGAATGATTGAAAAAACATGACACAATAGAGCTATCAAACAACTTCTTAAAAAGCTTCATTATACATCTTTAGGCGCCAGGCGAGAACGTTCCTCTTCAACCAGGCCTTTGGCTGACTAATATTCTACCGCCTTTTAAATGTGTTTGTGGGAAGGGGGTTATTGTTATTGTTTTGCTTTTCTTCTAACTATTCATTTGTGCTTTTATCCTGTATTTTTATCTTGCGAACCACCCTGAGATCTTCAGATGAAGGGCAGTATATAGATTTAATTAAAAAAAACACACACAGTAATAACTAAAAGGCTGTTGATTTGAGGAAAGTGACTGATTCATTGAAGGCCGGGGATCTGCAATGGCCAATGATTCTGAGCGTTATGAGTGACTGAGAAAGCCAATGAATGAGGTGGGTGCTTGTGTGTGTAAATGGATGGATGTGTGGAGTTGCCTTGGGTCCTATCCAGTTTTGGCACCAGCCCCACCCACCATTGACTTGTATCAATTTCACTTGATGATCCCATAGTCCTGTCTTTGAACTTGGAAAGGCCCAACAGGAATCACATTACCATCTGTTATCAGACAGATGCACATTTATTAGCAATACATTTTGGATACTTGCAGAACATTCTATGACGCAAGGGATCTCTCTCTCTCTCTCTCACACACACACACACACAGAGAGAGAGAGAGAGAGAGAGAGAGAGACAGACAGACAGACAGACAGACACAGAGGCAGTCTGAGGTATCAATTAATCAATAAATAGAAGCTCTACTGATGCAAGATCGGATTCTATCATTAAAGCGGTTTGGGCATCACCAGAAAGTGCATCAAATATCAAACTGGATTTACAAATATAACAACATATTACAGTAACATTTTTTATGCATGCATCTGGTATTAGTAATCAAAGCTTCTTATGGGATACATAACACAATACATCTTTGTTTAGCACCGCAAAGACACTGAAGATGCACCAATTTCCTCTTCCCCATCCCTGTTTCTTTTCTTTAGGGTCTATTATCTTTTGGCCCATTATCTTTCCCTAATTTAAAAATGATCACATCATGGAGATTAGATCATTTCTGCTTACATAGACAATGAGCATATGTTCAGCATATTGGCCAACTGTTAGCTTCCTTAAGGCAATTTCTCCACTAGAGTAATTTGGAAGTTTTATATACAGTATACTGTGGGAAAAGTCTTTCTAATTAACATCAAGATTTACGGAAAAATTGGCATGTGCTAAGCAGAGACTGAGAAAATATTTTTGTTTGTGGCTTTCCTATGTGCGTTCATGCCATAGAAAAACTTCCTTTTGAGAGAAACTCTTTTAACCCCCTTATGAATTTAATGAAACACATTTAATGAAAACCACAAAAACATATCAAAACAGTTAATTAGCAGCAGTCCTCTTTATTTGCATCTTTGATTTTTTCTTTGTGGCTTTTTCTGTTGAATGCATGCACTTTTTTGCTGGGGGGAATCAAGGTGTTGGTGGATATGTGTGTTTTGAATTCTTCACTGAAGTCTCAAATTCTAAGTCCATGAAACCCAAACTCTATGCAACAATGAAATAAACCAAGCTACTTCCTAAGAAAATAATCGGGAATTGCTCAGATTATTTCAAAGTCAATCCAAATGTGGATATAAAATGAAATAAGCCCTTTCTAAAAGGTAAAGGTACCCCTGCCTGTACGGGCCAGTCGTGACCGACTCTGGGGTTGCGTGCTCATCTCGCTTAAGAGGCCGGGAGCCAGCGCTGTCCGAAGACACTTCCGGGTCACATGGCCAGCATGACGAAGCTGCTCTGGCGAGCCAGCACCAGCGCAGCGCACGGAAACGCTGTTTACCTTCCCGCTATAAAGCGGTACCTATTTATCTACTTGCACTTAGGGGTGCTTTCAAACTGCTAGGTGGGCAGGAGCTGGGACCGGACGACGGGAGCTCACCCCGCCACGGGGATTCGAACCGCCAACCATGCGATCAGCAAGTCCTAGGCACTGAGGTTTTACCCACAGCGCCACCCGCGTCCCCAAATCCCTCCTAACCACCTACTTAAATGTCTTCCAGTTTTGCCCCATTTTTTGCTGCACCAGCAAAATAGACATGTTTTCTGACACCTGCAAAGTGGTCCTCTCTTAGCTATATCCAAGATGATTTTCAATCATTAGACATCAGTGATCTTTCCTTCAAATCTGTTTCATATGGGAAGGTTCTGGCTAGTGAAATTATTTTATTTGCCATCTCTGTTGGGAAACTTTTCCACAGTCCAGTTGCTGCACTGAGAGCTATTTATGTTATTTATTTAGTCTAATGCAATGCTACTGGATTAGTAAATTAATTGATAATTTGCTAGGTAGTAATTATTATTACGATCATTCATTTTTTAAAAAATCTATTGAACTGTTTTGTGTCTTATTTTTATGAATTTGATATATTCATTATATTGCTTTTATAAGTTTAAGTGAAATATGGCTTGGTGTAGCTGGCGTTGTCGGGAGCCCTGCTCAGTATGAACTTGTTTATGGAAAGCAGAAGGCAAATATGAAATACAGAAAGACATCTGTGTTTTTGTTCCTTTCCAGTTCCACTTGTAAAGGGAACCTGCTATCAAGCTGCCCCAGAGCAAAATACTGGACTTGCATGGAATGCTTTCATTTTACACGGCTTTCCGAGGTTTAAATTACCATTTTATACTATTTTTGAATCCTGACGAAGGGAGAAACTTATCTTAGGAGAACTGATTTCTTACAAATAAGGTGTTTCTTACAAATAAGGTGTGCCCTTTTTAAATTATATTTGTTGAAATGTCCTACTTTCTTTATATATATATATATATATATATATATATATATATATATATATATATTATTGCTTGCACCTGATATGATACCTGGACAAATGTTTCGGAACTGCACATAACCCAAGTGCTTTATTATAAAAGGGATGGCCTCTATTTTGTTGTTGTTTCCTTGAATGCCTTCTGTGATACTGTGAATACTTAACAGAATAATAAGTCGTGAATGAAAATTAACAAAGGAAAATGGATAGTGCGCTTGACGAAATAAGTGGTAGATGGGAAGTCGTTATAGATGAAAGAAGAACTTACTGTGATTTGATGTAAAAACTACAGTTTTTGTTTTTCTGGACGAATTTCTGTTTGCTACTTTTCTTTCATTTCAATAAAGCATACACACACACACACACACACACACAGAGAGAGAGAGAGAGAGTTGTTATTTCTCCATGGTAAATCACTTATCCTAGTCTGTTCCTATTTTTATTTTTGCCTTCTGATCATGCCTTGCTGCTGCTGCTGTTATCATCTGTAAGTTGCTGCTGTTGTCATGATCTGTAAGTTGCTAGCAGGGATCAGCTCTTTCTGCAGGATCTCTTGAAGCTGCATCTCAAAGTAAGTGGGTGAGTGCACCTTGTCTCTAGTGCATGTGCAGATATGCATGGATAAAACCATGAAGTATCAAAATCTATGAAGCATCTTCTGGCACACGCACATTGTCAGAAGTTTTTAATATTTGATGTTTTATTGTGTTTTTATGTTTTGCTGGAAGCTGCCCAGAGTGGCTTGGGCAACCCAGTCAGATGGGCAGCATATAAATAATTTTTTTAAAAATAATTATTGTTATTATTAAGTGGTTCATTCACATCATGCTGAGGCTTATTTCCCTTCTTTAACTTGCCGCATTCCCAAAGGCATACTATTTTCAAGGTCTCCTGGCACATCCATAGATTCTGTATATTTCCAAGCTGACCAGCTGTTTCATGGATATGAAAATTGTAAGTGCAGATTATTCTATTTTACTCAAACTGCTTTAGGTGTTGGGTTCAGGCTGGCAGCAGCTCCCAGTAGCTGATGTTTATTTGAACATTTAAAGTGGAACTAATGTTTTATGAGCCTGTGGACTGTTGTGAGTTATGTTTTTGTTGTAGAAAGCTCTTCATTACAAACTGAATTAACTCTTTTTTCTGAGATAAACTACTTGGTGAATTAAACTTGTATTATTGTTTCAAGCAGAAATTGTTCTGGATAACAGCTAACTCTAGAAATGGAGAAGGAGAAGACAGATAGCAGACATTAGGAATAAAAGTTCACAGGAATGTGAAAAGCTGTCTCTTTATTTCTGCCCTATGGATAGCTGAGAAACAGGTCCAGTTCACACAGAAGCCTGAGTAAAACTATGACTAAGTGTGCAGGTACTCACAGGAAAAATCACAGACACGTTGCTCCTTTCCTACTTCTGCCATTACATCTGAATCTGGCCTTGCGGTTTGTCTCGCTCCAGACAAACCACATCCAATATGCCAACAAAAACTATTGGCTACATCTCACTGTTGTTTGAAGCAATATAAACCACAAGCAGTTATTTCTGTTGGGAACTTGTAGAAAACAGTGTCTGCACTGGTTCCTAGTTAATTAGTAATTCTGCTTCTAATATAGCTATAAACGTCTACTCACCTTTCCTTTTTTGCCTTTTTGGCCTTTTCTCTCTATCTCTCTATCCACAGCTAGCTTTAAATTCTTCAGTTCCTGGCGCATTAGCTCATCAACCTGTTTGGACAGATATATACAGGGAGTCTGGAAAGGCATGCTTTTTACTCCTAAAGTCTCTTTAACCAGAAAACACAAATCATGTGCTGGAAATAGGTGAACAACATGCACTATCAAATTTTGGTATATATATTTTTGTTTTTGCTATGTACTGTAAGATTGGGCGTGTAAAATCTTACAAGATCAGGAGGCAGAAGGGCAGGAACTGGAAGCCTGCTAATGGCAAAATTAAGCATATTTTTTATCAGATTCGACCAATCCCTTGTGAATTCTTTTCATCCGAGACTTCACATTATCCAGGGTCCATATCTGGTCTGAAATTAATGGAGTCTCCTGGGCAGTGCAGCTGCTGCCCAGAGGCTCTAGGCTTTATGTTGAGGTGATTAAACACCTCAGATACTACTATGGCATTCATGAGGGGAATGAAGTGATCTCTTCCAATCCTACATTGTGCTGAGGACCCTGGGAAGCGTAGCAAAAGAGCTGGTGAAGTTTAGTGGCTAAGGGTGTGAACTGGGAAGTCTACAGTTTCACTCTTACTCTGCAACTACCGGTACTCTGCAGGTGGCCTTAGGCAAGCCACTAAGGCAGCAAGAGTCTCCCGCCCTTAATCCCCATTAGAAATCCAGGGGGAAAGCCAGCTTCTGCAAGCAATCCTTGTTGCGCAGATTACCGTATTTTTCGCCCCATAGGACGCACTTTCCCCCCTCCAAAAATGAAGGGGAAATGTGTGTGCGTCCTATGGGGCGAATGCAGGCTTTCGCTGTGCACCGACCCCTCTCGCTCTCCAGGCTTCAGGAAGCTATCCGCAAGCCTGGGGAGCCCGCGGGAGTTCCCACACGGCTCCCTAGGCTTGTGGATAGCAGCCTGTTCTGGGGTCGGGGGAAGCTCTGGCTTCCCCCGCCCCAGCCCCGTGCCTGGGGGGGAAATAATTTTTTTTCTTTATCCCCCCCCCCCAAAAAAACTAGGTGCGCCCTATGGGCCGGTGCGCCCTATGGGGCGAAAAATACGGGACTGATTTACACATTTAGCAGAATGAGGGCATCAAGGTTCCTGAGGTGGTATAGTCTTACTTGAGATTAGAGATGGGGGATTATGATTTAAATACTTCACATTCAAAATGAAAACTGGCATATCAAATAGAAAAGTTTTATCCCACAACTCTCCCTGCTAATTCTTTTTGATTACATAGGAGAGCATTAAAAATCTGATCCCAACCTGAAAATTTATGGTACAATCTCTTCTGTCACCTAAGAACTCTATTATCTTATTCTCGCCTCATTCTACTGCATGTGTAGATCAGACCCGAGATAATGCATGTAATGTCCTAAAGTGCTATATAAATGCTAAGTAACTACTGTTGTTGGCATTTATTCAAATGTCTCAAAGCAACTTTCAATTGTAAAAGAGCCCCCATTTCTAACCAAAGGAACTATCAAAGGACTATACTTTAGCTACTTCATAGCACAGAGTGACTGGGGAAAGGCAGACCGATGTCAATCGATTAATATGCCTAACAAGCTTTTACTAGAAATTCTCTTTGGCAACAGCCAGTGTTTGTGGCCTGCTATTGGAGGTTCACCTGTATTCTGATCTCTTCTTCAACTTCTTTCCTCTTTTCCTCCTTGATCAGTTCAGGGTCATATTCCTGTGAGAAGTTCCATCCCTCATCTCTGCTTTGCCAAACATCTATTATCCAAGAGCAAAAAAGAGAGTGGCGTTTTCGCTTTGTTTTATATTTTTTTAAAGTAGCCTTACAGTGATGTTTATATTGCTATTATCTGACAACTGGATAACAGTAACAAGCCCTAGCATCTTTACACCGCACGCTTATACATCTCTACTCAGGAGTAAGTCCCATGGATTGCAGAAGGACTGCCGCCTTTATCAAGTTTACTGCATGAAATCATATTCTGAAATGGAAAACCAACATTGTCTGTAATGATTAAGTTTCAACTTTTAGTTGCAATTGTATTAGACTGATTTTTACATAGTCCATGGCAAATATAACGTTATAAAATTGCTTAATTTCAGCTGTTCTGTTGTAGGTTTGTGGCTTTTAATGAAACCTACTCATAATTTATATTATTAGTAGATTTTTTTTTTTAAAAAAAGAACCCTACAACAGAGCAGCTGAAATTAACAACCTTTTTAACTCCTCCATAAGAAGAGGAAAAGAATGACACATCTGTCTTCTTGGTGAAGGCAGACCACCAGTAGCATACTAGTGCACAAGGCCTGTTTGAATCTCAGTTCAAAGGAGGCTTGGGGCATATTATAGTTATAAATATCATGCATGGAAGATGCTTTTTCATGGTTTTTTTTTGTCTTATTATGATGTATATTATAATTTCCCCCATTATGATTTAATTCTGCCTATCCCTGCAAAGCTGTTGGAATAAAATGAGAAAGGCTGCTGCTCATTCCCTGTGTGCCTACAAAGAATAGGTTTGAGAATGCTTGGAGCAAGATTCCAAGAGTGCATGATCAGGTTCCTACCACAGTCCTTGGCCAAGCTTTATACCCAGAATATTGAGGAGAACGTAGTACTACTTAAAACGCCCAGCTCACCTCTCCTGATTCTCCCATGTTTCCTCTTCTGTGATGTTCTAAGATGCACAATGAAGGACTGGCACCAAATGCCAGTATTGCAAGCTGAACACAGGAATCAGCAGGGCAAATTTGTCCTGGCAAAATATGTTTGGGTATCTACTTTGTTTCTCCTGAGTCACTGATCTGGATCAGCAAAGGCATTAATCAAAGATGGCCATACTGCACTACCCCTCCCCCCCCCCGCAAAGGTTGCCCTGTTTTGTGAAATATGTGACTTAATCAGGTAGGTTGATAGTATTATGAGTTTTTCCCCGGGGGTGGCGGCGGAGGCTGTATTCCCGAGCCCCCTTCTAATTCCTGGATCCAGAATTGATTTAATTCCTGGAATAGCCAAGCTAGCTTCCTGGTGAGTTAATGGCCCTCTAAGTATAGGCCAGTAAGGCAACAAAGGAAGTGGCTCTGTGCTGGACGAGAAATGGTGTGTGTGTGTGTGCGCGTGTGTGATGTGGGTGAAAACTAGAAGTGAGAAACTGCAGCTGGGAGACAGAACCATGCCTGGTTTCTGCTGGAATCCAAGGCTGTGGCTGTGGAAGAAGCAGAACCCTCTTGGGGTATAAATGCTGTGAACCCCTCAAAAGACCTTCACGTTGTATATATTTGTAAATACTATACAAGTTGGAGGCTTTGCTCTACAGAAATAACATGTCTACAGAATGGCCACTTTGACCTGTGAGGATTCACTCGGATCCTCACTGCAACTGTTCAGCCACTGTGAGAACAGGAGACTCTTCCTAGGTTCTTAAAACAAACATTTAGTGAGTTTTTCTCATATGCAACCAAAATGGGTTATGCTGAAAAGCATTAATTTTTAAAAGTTGCTCTTAAGCTTTTAAATAATATGATGGATGCACTGAGATATATAAGCTGACAAAGCTGGCATGCAGTATTAGTAATGGTAGTGGTTAAAAAGACACTTCCATCAGGGTTACCAGAGTTTGGGCTTTAAGCCTGTGGGGAATATGACCATTATATAGATTATTTGATTTTTACAGAGTTTTCTGGGTGTTATGTTTTCACATGGACATTAGGACCTAGTTATTTGTTATTCATTGATGGACCACACTGGATTTTTAAAGAAAGAACTTATTTATTGTACTTATATGTAACCAGATGAATGATACCATTTCTCTAAGGACATGGCAAGCAAAGACTTCACTCTACCTCAAAGGAATGGTAAGAAGGTTAAGGTCACAATGTTCACATATTATAACTAGTAAGGTATGTATAGGGTAACCTTTATTCAAATAAATGTGAAATATGTTCATAGTTGTGACAGTATCTTGCAAAAAATCTGCAAAGTCATCTAGTTTTAGTACTTGAATTTCAGAAGGAATGTAATAAAAACACAAAACACACAGAATACTGTATACCAATGCTCCAACATTCCTTTCTCTTCTTCTCTTCCCTTCCCCCCAAAATGTTTATCTGTTTTACAAATCCTATGGACAGGATTCCTTGTTTTTTAAAATATTGTTATTGTTTTGCCATCACTTTTATTATTATTATTTTATGATTATTTGGGGTTTGGGGGTTGCAGGAGAGCCCTTTTGTGGGCTGCTGGGATTTTTGACACCCTAAGCACCCTCTCAGGGCTTTTTGGAGGGTGCACCTCGCCTTGGCGCTTCCCCATTTCTCTGCGGGGCTCAAGTCTGTCAGATGATTCAGACTCGCACTCCTTTCCACCATCTGCAGAAACTGGAAGGCCAAAAAATATGACACAATAAAATGAAAATTTATCACAGTTGGAACACCTCTTAGCTGTTATAGACTCTAGAAGTCTGGGATAGCTCAGTCGGTAGAGCATGAGACTCTTAATCTCAGGGTTGTGGGTTTGAGCCCCACTTTTGGCAAAAGATTCCTGCATTACAGGGAGTTGGACTAGATGACACTTGTGGTCCCTTCTAACTCTACAATTCTATGATTCTATGATTCCCTGTTTTTTCTGTTCCTCCAGAGATAATGTGATAACCAAGATTTATGGCTTGACTGTTATTAATCACCACATAATTATCTTTGTCAATGGAGTGTTGACAAGAGACGTCTAATCCACCATGATTCCTCCCCAGAAGTCCAATTCACAAAACAGTTCTTCATGACACTAACATTACGGCATTAGTAAGCCAGTTAACACAAAAAACGCTAAAAATTCTTTGTCTCAGTCAGTACACACGTGATGGCACCAAAACTTTTGACCATAATTCAACAGTTTCACACAGCTATGAATTACTTCTGCTAAAAACTTAATTATCACAATCTTTACTGCATTTCATTTCCTTCTAACCTCACTTTTTACAACCCCCATCTGTATATATCTCTGTGTGTGTACACTCCCACACCCACACTAACTTAGGATAACACTTCAAGTATTACACACCCTCTGTATTAAACAGTAAAAGCTTGGGGACATTAGTGTATTTCCACATGTAATCATCCCAAGCAGGAAAATTAAGCTAGAGGCAAATTCACCAGCTGCCTTCCTTTGTTCCACCAAACAATTTCCCAGCTCCCAGCATAGTCTTATAGAAACTGTGACTCATAACAAAGCCAAATGCAGCCTTCCAGCCCTACCCTGGCCTTTCAGCTTCTTGACAACCTGCTCTTTTTTCCAGCTCAAGAAATGCAGGTTTATGACGCTTCTGGTGGGCTGCCTGATATTTGGGTCGGTAGATCACAAGTTGTGCTGGCCTCCTCTAATATATGTACGGTTTTTATAACAATGGAGTGGGAGTTCCTATACTGGCAACTCCTTGAAATATGCACACATCTGTTTTCAGTTAGGTCTCAAGAAATTAACGCTACCCTCCTCTTGCCACCGTGTCTACGTGACAAATGGAATTGTTTGATGAAGAAATCCACCATACCATATCCTGTTAAGCTGCTCTGAAATCCCCAGATGCATATTTAGAACATATATATATATATATATATATATGTATATGTGCATATGTGTATATATATATATATTCCCCCCTAATTTGTATTTCTGGAGTCTTGCTTACATATTATGGTAAACAAGCCCTATGGTAAAGAACCCACATAAATTTATCTCATTAGGCATGTCTTAAAGCTTGAATGTTCAACCTACATTTTCATTTGTTGAATTAGGCACATGCTAAATGGTTTTGGGCTGTCATGATTGTGCCCAGCAATGGAGTATACTCTAGATCCACAGACTTGCCTGAATATCATGCATTAAATTTTACAGTCAACATTTACACTAACTATGCTTTCTCTACTTGCCTTTGTATTTGTTGTTTCCTGCTTCCATTACCGGGAGAAAATTACTAGGTGACATTTTCCAACCTTCTTCTTCTTCCTTAATTTACAAAATAAAACCTTGACCTCAATAACTTAAAAACACAAACAATTAAAAGTCGATGTTACAAAACAGGTAAAATCAATAGTGGGTGGTATCAGTGGTCCCCATACAACAAGATTCCACTTCCTTTCATCAGGGCATCAGTGCTCCAATTTCACTCTCATGGTGGCTGAAATTGGAGCACTGATGTCCAGAAGACGTCCTTGTTGTCTAATATTTCATGAAGTGATAAGTTTTCTTTTCCCAACCTAATCAGTATTGTTCTTCATCAGTTTCTGGAAACTGTGGTTGAGTGGATGGGGTTAACAAAGCTAGAGGTGCTGGTGTTTTGGAGTCCCTATGATCTGGTAAAAAGAATTAGGGGCTCAAAAGAATAGAAGAAGAGTCTACTGGGTCAGGCCAATGGCCCAACCAGCTCACCATCCTGTTCTCTCAGTGCCCATGGGAGGGAAGCTTGCAAGCAGAACAGCACTGTTTCAACCTGCCATTCCCAACAAAAGATATTCAGACTCTTACTGCCTCCGACAGATTCAGTTCAGTTTGATTTACTGTGTTTAGTGAGCAGCCATTACATGCATTAAAAATAATCATAACAAGAATACTGCTAATAATAGTGGTTTATATTTCTACTTCCCGACCTTTAAAGGGTAAACCATTTCCCATTCTCCCTTTAAGTTTTATTACACAAATTTGTAAAGCCTTGGCAAAAAATTTGGATGCTCCAAAGTACATATACCTCTCTACATCAGACAACAAAAAACAGGTCTTTGCAAGAAATGTCCTTCCCTTCTGCGATCTTAACAATGGGTGAATGCAATTGTTTCTAAGGTCATCATAAAAAGGGTATTCAAGGAGAGCATGAGTTATGTCTTCTATTGACATAGAGTTGCAGCCACAAACTCTATCCTTCTTAGAAATTCCTTTATGTCGGCCTGTCCAATCTGCTAACGGAAGGACATTTAGTCTTGCCTGCAGGAAGGCTACACTCATTTTAACATTTGGCAAATCTACCAGATATCTTGGTAGGATGGAGACAATGGAATAAAAAAAAAAGCATACAATTTGTTAGATTGACAGATCTTGATCTCAGCAGTTTGTGATTGCATCTTGGTGTCTCTAAGCCTTTGCTTTAACCGTCTCAAAAACCTGCAACACAAGAAAGGAGGCAGAGAGTCCCAACCTCCTGGCAGCAAATTGAATTTCACGTTTACATGAGTTTGGGGTCATGTGTTCTAAAGGTGTAACGAGGGATTTTGATACCTGCTTTAAAATAGCTTTTAACCCAAAAAGGAAGCCTAGTCTAAGGGGTTTGGCTTTATTGGACATTACACCCAGTTCTGCACAGAGTAGTGCTATTTTTGTAGAGGTAGGGACTGGCAGGAATCGGCACAAAAAATTGTTTTGCACTCTCTCCAGTGAATCTAAATTGGTTGTGGCGCTCCATATAACAACTTTGGCAACACCCTGGTCTTACAAAGTTCAAAACTGCACCCAGTTACCCCCTTTTGTACGGTGGAATTGTAGTAGTCCGTTTAAAGTTCTATCAGCTATTAAGAGTACTTGACTGGACCTGTGCAAACCACCTGCCTGTCCACTGAAAGACCACACTGAGATTAAATGAGAATACTTGCTGCAGTGTATTTCCTTCAAGCGACCAATTGTAAGTTTTCTTAGATTCGCCAAATATCATAACTTTTGTTTTTTGGTAATTTATAGTAAGATGCTCGTTCTTGCAGTACAAGCTGAACCAATTCATCAGTCTGTGCAATCCCAATTGGGTGTATGAAATCAGGATTGCCTCATCTGTGTAAAGGAGGACAGCAGCGGTGAAACTTGGCTCACATAGCTAGCAGCCATTGGTGGCTTTGTGATCTGTCTGATGTCACCCAAGTTGGTGGGGATCACTGCTTCTTATGAGAGCAAATCCCACAGTTTAACTAGGCACTGTGTGAAGTACTTTTGCCTGTCCTAAATCTTTCAACTTTCAGCTTCATTAGATGCCCCTGGATTCTCTAGGAAATGAGATTTTCCCACCCTGTAAAGTCTTCTCATAACACTCAATGTTAATGATCACAAATAGGAAAAAAAAATATGGGGAAAAAACCCACACACTGTGTGCTGTTTGCTCTAATGATAATGAAGTGGTATATAAATCTGGTTAAATAAAAAAAGAATAAATACACATAGGGGCTACCCTTGCAATTTAAAGGGTGGATAATCAGGGTTCTAGATTGTGCTGTAAGCCCTCACATGTGAAACAAGCTCTCCACAGCAAACATTACGTCTCAACATGGTGACGGCTGGAGGAGTCAAATAGCTTTGGATGTGGGGCTAAACTTGCAAATCCCAACCCCTTTCCTCATGCTTGGCTTCTTTATATCAGTGACAGCTGTCACTTGGGGAAGAGGAGAAATGGAGAAAGAGAGGTGGGGGGGGGAGGGAAACACAGATAGCTTTCCTCCTCGATTCTTCCCCTGTGCTTATATATGGCAATGTAAAGCACTCAGGTTTGAATCTGACAGCCTGCTCTGATCCTAAGGTTTTTAGGAACTATTTAACACAGTGGAGGAAAGTTTTAGGAGGGTGGGAAACAAAGAAAGGGTCCTCTGAGAGTCCATATGGCTCATATTCCAGGCTGGCTGGAAGCCTAAGCAGAAGCTTATTGTGGGTGTACACATAGTTCACATCCAGATTCTACCCAACATTAATTGAATCAACAAAATTTGAAAACAGTTGTGCATTAGCACTGCTTGCCTGCTCTTTCTTCTTTGGTTTCGGCTCTTTTTCTTTCCCTTGCTTTTTCTTTTTCCCTTTTTCTTTCTTTTCTTTTTTCCCCTTTTTCTTTTTCTTCTTTTTCAGTTCTTCTTCTTCTTTAGCAATTATTTCAGCAGCCACCTGGCAGAATAAAGAAAGGAGTCTAAACAAAACAACTAGCTTCATTCCAGCTATCAAACCAACAAATGTAACAAACATTTATAACATAGTTAACCCTTGCAACTTTATGCTATCTTGAATAAATACTTTCTTGCTAAATGATATAGAGTTCAGCCACAAAGATCAGCCCACCCTGAACAAAAACGAACCATCACTATTATTTTACTCACAATCAAATCATAACATTTCATGTAGCCACTCCTCCAAAGAAGGAACCTTTAGCAATCAATGTTCTTGCTACCACTATCAGATTCGTTATCAGTCTCCTGTTTTCTGATTCGTGTTTCTTACTGTGCTGTTTTAAAAAATACCTTTTCATTTTTTGTCTATAGCTAAAAAGATTACTTTAGAGATATTGGCACAGAATAACTGTAACATGAAAACTAGCCAGTACTGGTCCAAAACATCTGGAGGGCACCAGGTTAGGGAAGGCTGCAGCAGCCCGTTGCTCAGCAAGTACTCTTAACCTGGCCTGGGGTAGAAAAGACAGGCATGTGCCTCACCTTGCAGGAAGGCCTATAGGCTTAAAAGGGAGTGGGAAGTAGTGCTTTCCATGAACAGTAATCAGGAATGGGCACAAGGCAGATCAGGATCTACTGATAGATCTTTGGCTGATCAAATCAAATTGATGATCTGATTAGCCACCCCCACACCCAAAGAAGTAAATTATACTGCTGATATTTAAAAAGCTTGGGATGCGGGTGGCGCTGTGGGTTAAACCACAGAGCCTAGGACTTGATGATCAGAAGGTCAGCGGTTCGAATCCCCTCAGCGGGCTGAGCTCCCGTTGCTGGGTCCCTGCTCCTGCCAACCTAGCAGTTCGAAAGCACGTCAAAGTGCAAGTAGATAAATAGGTACAGCTCCAGCGGGAAGGTAAACGGTGTTTCCGTGCGCTGCTCTGGTTCGCTAGAAGAGGCTTAGTCATCCTGGCCACATGACCCAGAAGCTGTACGCCGGCTCCCTCAGCCAATAAAGCGAGATGAGTGCCACAACCCCAGAGTCGGTCACGACTGGACCTAATGGTCAGGGGTCCCTTTACCTTTATTTAAAAAGCTTGGGGAAGAGGGCGAGCAGAACTGAATTTTCCTGTGGAAGCGCTGTGAGCTCTGTTTAATGCTGGTACTCAAAACCAACTTCTAGGCTCAGAATTTTTAGTTCCAAGTGCCTGTCTTTTGCACCTGGTGGATCTGGGGTTCTAGTAAGAAACTGAGTAGATTCCTTCCCACCTGGAATCTTTTGCCTGGAGAAGCAGACAATAGTCCAAGCTGCACATGGGAGTCTCCAGGGTCACATATCATCCGTCACAAATTCACCAGAGTGGCTTGTCTAGAGCAGCCGACGCTATCTCAGCCCCCCAACGCACCCGTAACATGGAAATGATGACACTTATAATTATTTCAGAGGAAAAATAAAAACACAAGAGCGTAAGAAGATCCTGCTGGATCAGGCCAAAGGTCCAGCATCCTGTTCTCACAATGGCCAGCCAGAAGCCTCTGGGGAAACCTGTAAGCAGGATCCAAGCGCAAGATCCCCCTCCACTATGAAACGACCCCCCTCTCTTCCCCCCACCCCACATTTCCCAGGAGACGTGGACAAATTAGAAGGTCACAGCAGCTGAGTGAGGTTCATTTCTACAGTTGTATCTCCTAAATATGGACACCCAGTGTCAAATCTTCAACTCTGAGAGTCCCTATATATGTAACAAATTCCAAAACGCTGACACTATATAATCTTGTGGCTCTTTTAAGATTAATAGATTTATTATGACATGGGTTTCTGTAGGCTAGTCTTTACCAAAGAAACAGTAACTTCTGGAACACTGTCATGGGGCAATGTTAACACAGTACAGTGGTACCTCGGGTTAAATACTTAATTCGTTCTGGAGGTCCGTACTTAACCTGAAACTGTTCTTAACCTGAAGCACCACTTTAGCTAATGGGGCTTCCTGCTGCCGCCATGCGGCTGGAGCACGATTTTTGTTCTCATCCTGAAGCAAAGTTCTTAACCTGAAGCACTATTTCTGGGTTAGCGGAGTCTGTAACCTGAAGTGTATGAAACCTGAAGCGTATGTAACCCGAAGCGTATGTAAGCCGAGGTACCACTGTACGTAGTTACATGCTGAAGAAGAAGTGTGGCCAGTAGCATAAACCAGGGATAGTCAATGTGGTGCCCCCAGAGAGCCCCAGCCTTCAGTCCATGCTCAAGGCCAATGCGAGCTTTGAGTCCAGCAACATCTGGAAGGCACCATGCTGCCTACCCTGACGGAGATTTGCACGCCTAGCGTTCTGTGGGTATAGAAATACTTTAGGCTGGTTTTCGCATTGCTTTCCAGATGTGGGATGGGATGGGGAATGGCTCCTGTAATGTGGCAGAAATTGTTAATACATGTGTGGAACCTTCATGTGACTAGACTGGCAGATCTCATTAAAGGACTCCGCAGTGGAACTGTTTGGTGTCTAGAAATTGTAACCAGTGCCTCAGAATCAAATTCTCTTATGCAGAAGTCACGTAACAAGCTTTTTAAAAAGAGAATATGAGTTAGTAAGGGGGATAAAAAAGCCCTAGTGCAACTGTGTTCAGACCTCTGAGTTCCAGATGAGATTTTAATTTTAATTTGGGGTCTCCTAATATCCTTTTTGGCTGCACCTGTGGATCCAACCCAGTAAGATCAAATTTGGTACTATTAATCTGGGCCTACCATAGGTAAAGGTAAAGGGACCCCTGACCATTAGGTCCAGTCGTGGCCAACTCTGGGGTTGCGGTGCTCATCTCGCTTTATTGGCCAAGGGAGCCGGCGTACAGCTTCCGGGTCATGTGGCCAGCATGACTAAGCCGCTTCTGGTGAACCAGAGCAGCGCACGGAAACGCCGTGGGCCTACCACACATTGTTTCAAAAAGGGAATAAATAATAATCCTTTTTTAACCTTATGTCTGAAACAAATGCTACCTCCTCTGGAGTTTTTTCAGCAAAAAGAACAGCTGAACCGCCTTGTTCTTCGTCAGGGTAGTCCGGAAATCTTCCTGTCATGTGCCTGTGTGAAATAAAAGGCTCCATTTCAAAAACAGCACAAAGCCACATGTTGCTTTTAAGTATTAATTCAAAACAGTTAGATAATTATATATGGCTAATCAGCAAAATGGTGTTCCTACTCAAAAGCAGTTTGATGTGGGCAGGTGAAGCAAATAACTAGAGATGAAGTGTGATGTGGTAGAGACAGCTATATATTCGCAAGACCTGGATGCAACTCCTTTCTAAGGCAAGCCGTGTTCTCTCTATTCCAAATGTATGCAATGGAGATGGGTTGCTCCCATCTTAAAGGGTTCTTGCGATCACTCTCTTGCAACTGCCCTAAACATCATTTACATTAAGTCTTACTCTGTTATGTACCATGCATTTCATCCTATCTTCTAAATTACTGAGGCAAAACTGTAAGAATGAGATGTTGGACCACATTTTTATGTAAGTTAGCTTCCTGAAATTGCATTCATACATTGTTCCATCTAATTCAGAAATTCTCTGACAAGCTCAGTGGCCATACAGTACCTTTCAGTAATTGTTTGTTGACATGTGGAAAATGAAACTCTGTGTTTCATTCTTCTGAAGTCATTCCCTTGGTTCTGCAAAGTTCTCCTTGTCCATAAAAATTAAGTGTTGGACAAGGGGCAGAATCTGCTTAACGTGAAATATCTCACCCAATAATGGACATCTCTCTTTCCCTTATTTTCAACTTTTAGTAGAGTAAATCCCACAGCTGAGCAGTAAATGTCTCTTTCTTTCTTTCCCAGATTTTTTTTAACATGACGGGGGAAATGGTTTTTACATACAGAATTATTTCTAACAAAGAAGAACAAATATAAGGTACAGATCCAATTTTGTATTTAACTTAAATATTAAAAGTCATGCCAGATTATTCTTTTTTATTTTTTTACTGCCTTTCAATGCATGCATTTGAAAAATGGCACTTGGCACTAGAACTGAAGTACAGATGATTTGGCTTGCTTCATATTTAGGCCACATTAGAGAGAAATGTGTTGTTAAAAACAAGCATAACTAATGACTCACTGAAGCCCTTGATTGCCCCCCAGTCAATTCTTTAGCAGTTTCAGCTGTTCCCATTATTAATCTGTCATGTCCTCTGTGGGGAAAGATGGTCCAGCACGAGGCACTGGTTTCAGGCTCTGTACATCTGCGCTATGCTCCATTGCACTGTGCCTCAACATTATGCAATTAGTCAAATTTTAAACATATGTACACCAGCTGAATCTCTGCAGTGGCAAAGGCTGACATGCTGTTCTCTACTACATCCTGACCTTGCAAATATGTTCCAAAGAGCTAGGTGCAGATGATAAAGAACTTCAATGCAGAGAGAAGGCTGAATTACCTTTTGTAAATCAATAATGTAGGGCACAAAGAAGCCCTCTTCCTTTTTGGAACAAGAGTAATGTTGAGGTTCGGGAAACTGAGGAGAAGAGGAACATGGTGCTGACCTCCCACTGTGAACTGTATGTGTTGTGTGCCTGTGCCAAGCACAAGCAAGCTCGAGGCAGAGGGCTTCACTGGCCACAGCGCCTGCTGGATCCTGCCCAATGTTGGGGCATCAACTGGATTATCCTGTTCTCAAAATGCAGTAATAAAAATTATTTGCAGCCTAAAATGTATATTTAATATCTGGGGTTGTTTTAAGGCTGTGATTGTAATTTATTGCAGTTATGACTGCTTTTTAGATTCTGCTAGGCCAACTTAATGAGTTTGACCAAACTGCGGGAGGCAGTGGAAGACAGGAGTGACTGGCGTGCTCTGGTCCATGGGGTCACGAAGAGTCGGACATGACTAAACAACAACAACAACAACAACAACAACAACAAGGCCAACTTATTAATGGTTTAACTCAGGACAGTTATCTCCAATAAAAAAGGCTCAGTTTCAGAGGGCCAAAGAAACTTCTCATATTTCCATGGTTCACACACGTACTCCCTATGATGCTCATTTACTAACTTAGTGTTAAAGAGAAAATTTGGGAACCATTACTCTCCAAAAGGCTCCACCTTAAAAGGAGTTTTGTACAACATTGCCCAGTGTAGATAATGCCAGGGACACTGATCCACACTTTCCTCAGGTCTGCAGGAGTCCTGGCACTGCATAGCTATACCCCCAGAACAGCACATAAGAGACAGTGATCATTAGGGTTTAAATGTTCCGAGAAGCCAGAATTGTTCCAAAGGCAGTAGATTCAATACTGACTTTCTGAAATAATTCCTTATGTTCACATAAGCAAGAATCCGAATATCTTTTAGCCATCGTTCTATCTCACTTTTAGCCTATGTTAGGGTGTAGCAGATTAACTGAAAGCATTCAAAATAAGCACTTTTTCTCTCTTTGCCTCTAGTGTACAGAGAAGTTGCCCTCTTTGGGTGGCATCCAATACTAGTCCTATTCAGGCATGATTGATTTCGGGACATTCATTTTAATGGGTCTACTTATATATAACTTAGTTGGATACAATCCTTTCGTTTTTTACTCCTATGACTACTTTGACACATAAGACCTACTGTATTCCTTGGGACTCACCTGTAAGCAAGCACGTTTACAATTATACTGTAGGTCTCAAAAGAACTGAATTTGTAACAACATTCAAGTATTTTTTGAAAATCTATGCCAAAGAAAAGTGAGTAGTATAACAAAGAACTATGTCACAGTTTATTAAAGCAAATGAACAAAAAATATTCTCATTATAAATAATAGTATTATGATGAAGTTAAATTATTTTAACAGTACTTCAGCTACAAAGAGCTTTCCCAGTTTTTAAAAAATACCCAGCACTGAATTGCAAGGAAGTCTCTAATCATACTCTTTAGTCTCCAATTAGAGCATAGTTCTGAAACTCTTTCTGGTGCCTGGAAGACTTTGAAGAGAAAGAATGCTTCTAAAATTAGATTGGTATGCCCCTTTCGTCATTGCAGCCACCTTACAATGGAAACACGCATGAAACTTGGTTGTGGCAAACATCCCAGGTTCAATCAAGTTGTGAGGTGGCACAAGTCTGGCAGTTCTAAAGCTGTATTGCTCCCATAACCTCTGATCCAATAAACATATGGACCTCTACAGAGTGTGGCTTGCAGAATGCAGAAAACGCAGGTATGTACATATTGACTTGCAGACAGGCAGACCTAATTACCGTAATTGCCAGTACAACTGGAGGGCATTGGGAATACTTTTCACAGCCTTGACTCAAGGTAGCCAGAGGGCACCTTGGCTGTGAGGCCTGGAAGAGAAGACCTGCTCCCTGCCTTGCTAGCCTTTGCCCACCTGACAGACTCCAGCTACAAAAGCTAAAGCTGCTGAACAGACTCTTGGGCTGGGGTGCTGTTTAGGGGCTTTTGCTGGGGTGGGGTTGTTGCTGTTATTTTATATTAATTTATGTATCTTTATTTTTATGATGTACATGGAAATTGTTTGATTTGATTGTGTACTTTTTGATGTTTTATTTATGGTTTATGACTATTTTTGTTATGTTTGAAATTATGAGGTTTTTTCCTGTTGTAAGCTACCTTGAACATGGTTTGAACTATGGGAAGGTGGCATACAATTAAAACTATGTAAATATGTCCTTATGGAAGAATATGGCTTGTATTCATCCTTTTTTTTTGTTATTACAAGATGACCACTTTTAGTCAGTAATGTTCATTCCCCTTTTTGAACTTTTTGTAAAATTTTGTATTCTGTATGCTTTTATAGCTGTAAGTCACTTGCAAACATTTAATATAGTGAGTCACAAATAAAGGAAATACATAAAAAATAATTAAAATATGGTTATTTGTAATAATAATAAAATAAAACAACAACAACAACACCACCACAGGTAAAACAACTTAATTTACTGGCCCTTCCTCCTCTTTGTCCAATAGGAAGGTGCTGCTGAAGTACCACCCCTGGTGATCCCTGAACTAAAAAGAGGGAACCCAAGCAATACTCAATCCTGGGTGTTTGGCTGCAGCATATGTTGAATTGATCTCCAAAAATTGTATGTAGTAGCAGAAGGATCTCTCTGTGGAAGGAGGGGGGGTTCACTCAAAGAATTTGTAATAAATAAAAAGGTTCTGAAAATTCAACATTGGTTGTATTTATTATTAATTTGTTAAAATGTGTATCTTGCCTTTCTGTGTGGATGCCCAATATGGCTAACAATAAAATACACAGTAAAAGGTGCAACAGCGTGCAACTCACGGAAAAGTTGGAAATCCCTTGAATTGTTACAAAGTACTCTCAGTTCACACATTATATTTTCACATCCAGGCTGTTTCATGAATACAATTATAAAGTCAGTGTGAATATGGCAAATAGAGGTTTGTAAATACTTGCATTATATAAATATATGTCAGGGAGCTGTGATTACCTGTGATTTTTCATGGCTGCATTCATATACGTTTTCCCAATGTTTCCCTAACATTAATTTCCCATTATATTTGAGCTTTCACATGAATACTAAACCTGCACTGTATTTTGCTATATTTACAAAGTAGCATTAAATAATGTGAAAGCTCAAATATACTGCTGAAATTAACAATCATGGAAACATAATAAAAACCGAACAAACGATTGTGTTCAAGCAGCCTTGGTGGCTAAAGCTGCCATCTTAACCTCACTTACCTGGGAGGAATTCCCACGGAAATACTGGTAAATGAGACTTATTTCTGAGAAGACATGGTTAGGATCCGTGCTTTCTTTCTGGAGAACTGGCACCTTTTTTCCTAGAAGAAAAGCACTGCTTGGGGTTGCAGCGTAAGCCAGGTTTTCTGCCACACAAAGTCTGAAATAGCTAAGGCCAGCCCCTGCAGGGTTCAGTGCGCAGAAATAGATGCTTCTTGAAGTGTTTACAGTATGTGTCAGATGGACAAAATTGGGGTGGAGGGAAGGAATATTTGACAGCAAGGAGTGGGGAGGGAGGAAAGTATTAAATAGCAGTTGAGGGCAAATAAGATGGAGCTATAAAATATTTCAAACAATGGGAGGCAACAGAGTTCCCCATGAGTGAATGTCTGGCTCTGCCACAAGCATATATAACAAATATTTCAAAACACACTCTTTTATAAATTGAAAAGCACAGTGAGATAGAATAACAGAGACTCTTTTGGGTAAAGATATGAGGAATTCTCTGTGTAAGATGTACATATTCACAGTTTTGTAAAACAAAATTCCAATGTTTACATGGAGTGGTCTTCACTTTGTGAAATAAGCTGGTATGCTATATTTCCCTCCAAATACTTTCCCCTCCCTTACCTGTATGTAGCTGTTTCATTCTGCTTATGAGTTACTTGGAAATTTGGTTAGAACTGAGTTAAATGTGTATGTGTTTTTTAAAGCATATTATTTACCTGGACCCTCAAGTGTAATTGGCAAAAAATGCCCTAAAGACAGCTAAGAATTCCAAATTATTTTAGTTAAGATATGCAGTGAATTAATTGTGTCAAAATACACAAAGGAGCTGCACACTGTACACCCCAAATAAAGCTAACAGACTTCTCCCTACCCACCTTTTTGCAAATCATTCTCAGTTTAAAACTTACTCTCTGTATCCTTCAAAGTGCGGTACTGATGGAGATTTATGTCAGTACAACTCTAACCTAAACATTTCCCTAGTAATAGACTCAACTGTGTACTACCTAATCTCTATATTTCTGCATGGCTTTACGTGTGCTGCTCCCTTCTCCCTCTCGCCATAATTCCTCTCCCTAATTGCCTAAAGGGCTCTGTCAAATAGTTCTTCTGAGAATAAGGATAGCTGCACTCATTTTCAAGATTATAAGGAATGTTAGATTTGTTATGAAACAAGACATGAAAAATTACTGTGCAATGTAAGAAGCACAGTCAATCTTTCTGGGGAGTAATGGGCTCTGTGTTTCAAAATCCCACCTTTTAGTCATTCTTTATAACCAGTTATGAGGCAAATTCTATTTATTTTTGTTTTTATTGCATAATTTTATTACATAATAAAAACGGTTTGGGAAGGAGGGATTGTTATAGCACTGAATGTTTGAGCAACAAAATCCTCCTTCTGCTTCAGAAGGGCCCAGGGGCCACAAAAACCTGCGTCTGCTCAGAAAAATAAGTCCCACTGTATTCAATGCAATGTCCGCCTGAGTAGTAAGTCTAGGGCTGCAGCCTTAATATAGAAGAGTGAATCCTTGGAGAAGACTGATAAAGGCCGAGACTCAGGGGCACGTGAAGGAAAGAAGAGGGCTGCTTAAACTCTAAGCTATGCTCCAAAGCCCAGAAAAACAGCTTGGAATGAAAGCCCCCTGCTGTCTAAGAAAACCCCAAACCTTGAAGAAAAGAGAGGGCTAAGCAAAAGGATTCCAAAAAGCTGAAAAGAAAAGATCTTATTCAAAAAACACTAATGCATTCAAGGACACTAACGCAGGCGGCAGTGAAGATGGCACTGCCCTCAAGAGGCTACTTCCTCTTTGGAGAAAGAAAATGGTAAGAATATCTAAAGGGAAGAGTTTGCAGCACAACAAGAAGCCATAAAGGAGCTTATTGAAAACACTTGGAAAGAGCGAATGCTCCCAATGGAAACGAAGTTGGCAGAACTCAACACAGGGCTTGACTCTTTAACAGAAACTACAGGCAGCCCCCCCCCCATTTACGCATGTTCAGTACGTGCGCAACCATGTGTAAGTGCATCAGGCCGGACCCGGAAGTGACCCAGAAACATCATAAAGACGTCACTGAAACGTCACTAAAAGGGCAGAATGGGGGCAGGCTGGGGATGGGACGGGATGCTTGCAGCTTTCCAATGGGTTTCAATTTTACATGATTTCCCCGACACACAAGGTACCTCCGAACGTAACCCCTGAGTAAGCAGGAGGCTGCCTGTACAGCAACAAAAGAATTAAGCCAAATCCATGACAAAAAGATCAAAGAATGAAAAGAGAGATATATGCAACAAGTTTGAAGATGCAAATTGATTCTCCTATTTTGATTTTCTACATTTCTGGGTTTTTTTTGAAGAAGGAGCGGAAGAGAATGATTCTGCACAATTTATTGCTTCGTGGCTTAAATCACTGCTTCCAGACCTCATAATCTCTGCTGCTGATTTTGAATAGGCACACATAGCGACTGAACTCAAACTGAGAGCAAAGTTCACCCCCCACCCTGCCTGTGATATCATTGTCTGCTTTGCCCCTTACATGGAGGAGGAGAAAGTGTGGAACAAATGGAGAAACCCAATATCTGTAACTTATAAAAGCATCCTAGTTATGGTGATGTGTTTCACATCTGGCTTCTGAAACACCGAAAAAGGGAACAATTCTACATGCCTGCACTATTAAACTGCAAGAGACTAGAAATTTCTGAAATTCTGTCATTCACTAAAGAACCGACTTAAGAAAGCATCTGACACATCCAAACCATTCCCGAGATGGAAAACCAGAAAGTGCAGCAGTTAAGATTTCAGTCTGATGTTATCAAGTAAGAAAGGGATATTGGGGATATCAACAATTGGAGAAGCCAGGCTCAAATGAACAGCAGCTGGCCTCTCCAGAAGCCAACCAAAAGGCAAAGGGAAATGAGGTCAGAAAATCCTCTCGCTTTTCCACATTTTGTGGAGTGTTCATAAGGTATGAAAGATTTGCATGCTAAGCTATGCTATGAACACAGAAAGCCGTCTTATACTGACCTAGATCATTGGCTACTGCTGCCAGAGGTAAGATGCCAGGGATCAGAACTTCGGCTGCAATATGTGATCCCTGCGATTTCCCCAAATGCAGGAAACTCGACTGCATAATTTCACTGAGCTATGGACTATGGGCATTTGATGGAGAAGTTGCCATGGGTGCTTGCTTGCAGTGGCCTCCAAGGATGGGGTCAGGACTAGGGTCATAAATGTTTCTGTCATGAATCACACCTCTGACTACCTCACACAAATAATGGACAAACTATAAGCCTAAGCACTGAAAAAACAATCGAAACTGGCTATGTTAGATCCTTCCTTTCTTTTTTACAAGAACACAACATTGTGATGAAATGAAAAGAACTGTGCAATTTTGGATTTCTTTGCTTTTCAGTCACTAACACATAACCTTCACTCAGCCCACTGAAAATTTATTTTTGTGCCACCAAGTCCAGCCTATATTTTAATGCAGGTCATAAGCAAATTTACCAGAATTCGAAGTTTGGCTTAATATGATATGTGAACTAAACTAACTTAAACATTAATTCAATTCTAATGGCATGCTATAAGAATCCCCCCACCCACAAATTCCCAGCACAGCAAATACAGTTTATTTAGAAAATATGGATGAAACCAAGAATTTATTTACCTCACAGCCAGTAACAATAAGCTATTTTGCTATGTTGATTCTCTTGAAGGCTGCTGTGTACTTCTGTTCTAAATGGTTTCCTTTCTGACGTTTTTGAAGAATCATTTATGCCTCTAGATTGTCTATGCTTACAAGTGACTGTAATTTATGCCTGGATTAAATCTTTTATAATCAATATTTTGAATTGTGCAAGGCATTTTTTAGCCTCATGTCAGTGTTGTGCTAATGACATTACTGTTACGCTTGAGAAGGCACTTTGATTAAGGAGGGTTACAAGTGCATTTTCTACTAAAGAAATCGGAGAAGGCAATTTACCATTAAAAAAAAATTAGATGACTGTTGTTCCTATGCTTAATTTTTAGCACACACTAGACATTATTATATCAGAACATTACACTGCATGTTAAGAGAACTATTAAGTTTCATTCATGGTAACAGTGATTTTATTCGAACAAGAATGGAATAAATAGCATATATACAAAAGCGGTTACAATGGTTTCACACTATCTTGTTTCTGGGGCCTGCTCTAAATAAACCATTATGCTTAGGAGAAAAGAGAAACTAGACTATCAGTTTAGTTATACAGAAATGTAATCTTGAATTTATTTATTTTTCAGGGATGCTGGACAGTGAAGATCAAATACCTTCCAGATTCCTAATACAAAGCATAAGCTGATACAAATTGCCCAGAACCTTGGCGTGCTTTCTGTGACTTCTGAAGTGTGAAAGATGATGAAGAGAAATAAACCAGATGTCTTCAATTAGAAGCTAGCCCTAGTCTAATGCGGAGAGCCCATTTATCAGTGCTGCTAATTGAAAAACTCTGTTAGCTTTGCAGTCCAAAAAACACATTAGAGTGCCTTGGGATGCCAATCTCATTAGCTCCCACTTTTCATATTTGCAAAAGAGAAACCGACAGCTTTGTGTTTTTATCCATGTAGTTACCATGTCTGTTTCCTCAAATAGCAATCTCAACTGCCTGATTAGGAGTCAAAGCAGGCATCCCTAAAATAAGGTAAGGTTTCTGTATACTTGGGGGACTCCCTAGGTATGCAGAAGCATGTGGTCTGCCAGCTATGACCATTCATGGACAGAGATCGTTTGGTCTGGTAACCTTCAGATTGGGATATTGCCCTTTAGGTTGATTGCACTGAGTGCAGAATTCTGAAGATCGGCTTCTGGTTGGAAAGTTCTGTATCAGTACACTACATTGGTGTTGAAAGCTGTGTATACCCAGTGCAATACTGAGCTAAGTTCCATGTCCTACTGTCAGTAAATCAGGGGTGCCAACTTGAATAAAATATGGGGGGCATGTAAGCCCCACCCTACATAATCAATCACATGACGGGGCTCTCCCATACCATTTAAATACCATCGACTGGGGGGGGACCTGGCCCCCTCAAATATTTTATTGGGAGGGTGAAGAGACCTTGGTCCCTAGGAATTGGCTGTTATGCAGTACACAGAGCCAAAACAGCTTAGGACCAGGTTGCCTTATCACCTTGTCCCTTATACACCTTGTCCCTTATACAGTCATACCTTGGTTCTTGAACGGAATCTGTTCCGGAAGTCTGTTCGATTTCCGAAAACGTTTGAAAACCAAGGCGCGGTTTCCCATTGGCTGCGGGAGCTTCCTGCACTCAATCGGAAGCCGTGTAAACTGTGTCAGACGTTTGGCTTCCAAAAAATGTTCACAAACTGGAACACTTACTTACGGGTTTGCGGTGTTCGGGAGCCAAAGCGTTCAAGTCGCAAGGCGTTCAACTTCCGAGGTACAACTGTACACTCAAGATCATCCAAAGCACCTCTCCCGATTGTCCCACGGACAAGCAAAGACTTTTAGCATAGTGGTGCCATTACTCTGAAATGCAATTCCTACTGTAATCAGACATGCACATACAGATGTTGTTTGCTGGTGATGCAGCCGTGACAGCGCACTCCAAGGTAGCTATCAGCTGTTTTACCCAAGCCTGCAGGGAGTTTGGAATTACCATCAGCCTGACAAAGGCCAGTATCCTGGGTCAGGACGCCACCAATACTCCACACATCAGCGTTGGTGATCACACGTTTGAGGTGATAGATGATTCTGTCTACCTGGGCTGCATCATAAGCAGCAACCTCTTCATCATTGCTGAGTTGCACAAGTGTACTGGCAAGGCAGCTACGGAAACAGCTTGCCTCTCCAAATAATGTGAACATAAATATCCAATATCAAGATGAAGGCATACCAGGCTTGTGTGCTGAGCACTCTGTTTAATGGAAGTGAGCCATGGGCATCACATTTCAAGGCAGATTCAAACACAGATGAGCACTCCCAAGCCCACATTCCCAACATGTTTGCACTCCTGTCCCAGTGACATCTAGCTGGCTTGGTCATGTCCATCTAATAGAAGATGGCAGGATCCACAAGGACACGCTGTACACAGATCTGCCAGGCCCCCTGGCAGACCAACGCTGCATTACAAAGATGCTTGCAAATGTGACTTGAAGGCTGGTAATTTGTTCTACAGAGGTTCTGTGAGCTTCCAAGATATATGGAATGTTGAAGTGTCAGTTGAAAAAGGGACAAAACTGGAAACTGGGAGAGAGAATTAGCCAGATCAGGGATCTAGGGCTGCAGGGCTCTGTGCTTCAAAGTAAAAACAACACCTTTCCCCACACAATACAGGGGTGTGTCAGGAGATAGGAATGAAAACAGCACATCTTTTTTCAACTCTACAGAAGCCTCTACCCTACCATATAGCCCTCTTGATCTCTGCCCATCATGGCTGGGAAAGTCCACTACAAGGTTGACTGGATGGATCTACTGCCTTGTAAGATGTGGTGGTACAGCCCCTCTTGAAGAGGTCCTCCCTGGATCCAAAGATTTAGAGAACACCCATCTAGCCTTTAATATTCCCTTCCTGGGGCACACACACATTCTGTGCATTCAGCATTGAATGCGTGAAAAGGATTTCAGTTGCTGCTGTTCCAGGTTGGCTAGAATTATGGCAACCCCAGTTCATCTCTGGATATGTACTGTTTCACTACAGCACCGAATAAAGAAAATGCAAAATTAGTGATTGTAATACTTGCTTAGAAGTCTTCTTTAGAGATCTGCAGGTTAAACCAACAGCACAGGTCTCCAGGATAAATCTACTTTTTACAGGAACTTCCCCAAAACAAGAGACACAACCTTAGCTAAGCATTGACAACATGGAAATGCACCACCTATCAGCTGAAGTTGTGGTTGTATAATCAATGTTATAAAAACAGAGAAAGAAAAAAAAGAAGAGATGAAAACTATAATCAATGCCTTCCCCACACACAAATCAAACAAAACAAAACAAACCCTAGACCGAAGTTGTGGCAATTAACACTATTCAAGGGGCAATTTACAAGTTGCTCATCACTTAAACCTCCACCCACACTCATCAGGAAGCAATAAAATGGGCAGACTTGAAGTGTTTAATAAAAGGCAAAGCAGCAATTAAAGGCCTTAATACTACTTTGCCTGCCCCAACTAGACAAGCTGGTGCTGCAATTGTAATACAATTCACCCAGCTCACACAAGAAATGAGTTCTGAAAAACCACAGGAGTCAACACAGAAAACAGCAGAATTCAATGGGCTGATATTGTCTGGATGCACTGTAGCAAGTGAGTAAACAAAGGATGTCAACTCCAGGAAAAAGCACATGTGAAAGCCTCAGGTGACCTGGCAGCCCTGGATTTCTCCAGGGATGGACATTTACCCTATTTTGGGTCCATGTCAGTTTTACTTGAGTTTGTTCATAAGACAGTTTGTTCTTAAACCAAGGTACCACTGTATTTACCGGTAACTACACATTTAATCTTAATGTATGCATTTCTATGCATGCTTTTATGCATTTTGGTACAATTTTTTGAGCTGAGAACTACGTCACAAAATTCAGAGAAGTGAAAAATCCAAATGATAACAGTATTATAATCTGCATATTAGTCCAGGAGGTGAAAATCTGGTTTGCTTAAAAATTGACATGTGATCATTTTCAAACACTTAATGGAATGGCAAAATCAAGAAACTATTTACAACTGTTGTGGTGACACAACTCAGCATTTCAAATTTTGTAAACGTTAATGCAGTAGGAAAAATATTGTATCTGGTGGCTTGACTCTGGTGTTCAACAGGCTATATGACTGCAAAATAACTTTTTCTATTTGTTTAATCAAGTACAGAAAATGTAAGAAACAGGGGCTTCTGGCTGATCCTCTCCTAAGCCCCCAAGCTGCCTCCATTACTGTCGGAAACCCCATATATTTATGTCTAGACTAAAGTAGGCAACATTTGCCATTGCACAGAAGCTACATCAGTGTCTCTGGCCTCCTGTAAATCCCACAGCACTCAATAAAACAGATTGACTACATATGGGCTTAACTACCTTCTTTTTGGAAATAAACATGATTCACTCTAATGGTATGAAAAGGGTTATACAATTAAACTAACAACAATTGAATATATCTTTCAGGTTTCAAATTGAGTAAAATTTTCCTGCAAAGCAATTCTTAGATGTTTCCCTCTTCAATGTGTTCATTCTTTACAGTGCTCTCCTAACCTTCAGTCTGTTCCTTCTGCTCCCCCTAAAATACTTCTCTTCTGTTCAGTGGACCAACACGCTTAGCCATTTGTTTTGACTGCTTATCTATTAATCAAGAAATGCATTATCTAGCCAGGCATTTATTCTTTTCCTATAATGATTAATAATACAATCATTTTCAAACTTTCTACATTCAGAGAACACTTTCCACGCAAATTGTCTGCTAAGGAATTGCCCATGAAGAAAATGCTAGACGATTACTGGTCAATATGTGGCACAGCCAACAGTGCCAACTCCAGATTTTGGGATGTCCACGTGAAAATGGGTCTCCTTCAAATATGCCTTCATGTGTCATCACTCATCCTACTTCAAATACGAAGGACATTGCTTCTCACCCAGTAGGGTGGGGCAAGCCAGATGCCTAGTGCTCTTTTTGGCTTGAGCTGTTTGCAAAATGTAAGACTGCTCAGTGTCACTGTAGGGGCCTCTGGGGCGATTTATATTTCCTAGTGGTACCCAGCCACACCAGTACAGCTGTACCCATCTGAAATGTAGGGACTGCAAGGAGACCAAGCAGGATATATCTGAGGAGGGACAAAATGAAAACTAACAAAATGAATTTCAATTGGGACAAATGTAAGGTTCCACACTTAGGCAGGAAGAACCAGCTGCACAAATATAAGATGGGGGACACCTGGATTGCCAGTAGTACACGTGAAAAGGATCTTGAAGTCTTAGTAGATCACAGGCTTAACGTGAGTCAAGAGTGTGATGCAGCAGCAAAAGCTAACGCTATTCTAGGTTGTATCAAGAAAAGTCTAGTGTCTCAATCAAGGGAAGTAATAGTACCACTCTATTCTGCCTTGGTCAGACCACACCTGGAATACTATGTCCAGTTCTGGGCAACACAATTTAAGGAGGATATTGACAAGCTGGAATACTTGCAGAGGAAGGCAACCAAGAAGATCAAGGATATGGAAATCAAGCCTTATGAGGATTGGTTGAGGGAGTTGGATGTGTTTATTCTGAATAAGAGGATACAGTGGTGCCTCGCAAGACGAAAATAATCCGTTTCGCGAGTCTCTTCGTCTAGCGGTTTTTTCGTCTTGCGAAGCAACCCTATTAGCGGCTTAGCGGATTAGCGCTATTAGCGGTTTAGCGGCTATTAAAGGCTTAGCGGCTTAGCAAAAGGGGGGGAAAAGCGAAAAAAATCGCAAGACTCGCAAGACGTTTTCGTCTTGCGAAGCAAGCCCATAGGGAAATTCGTCTTGCGAAGCGCATTGAAAAATGGAAAACCCTTTCATCTAGCGGGTTTTTCGTCTTGCGAGGCATTCGTCTTGCGGGCCACCACTGTATTGAGAGGAGGTATGACAGCCATTTTCAAATATCTGAATGGCTGTCCCCAGCAATCTTGTTTTCTCCTGCTCTGGAGGCCAGGACCCAAACCAATGGCTTCAAATTACAGGAAAGGAGATTCCGATGAAACATCAAGAAGAACTTTCTAACAGTAAGAGCTGTTCAGCAGTGGAACAGGCTCCCACAAGAGGTTGTGGACTCTCCTTCCTTGGAGGTTTTTAAGCAGAGGTTGGGTGGTCTTCTGTCGTGGGTGCCTTAGTTGAGAGTCTTGCATTTCAGGGAGCTGGACTAGATGACCCTCAGGATCCCTTCCAACTCTACAGTTCTACAGTCTTTTCCTTTGTTTCTCAGTCAAGTGGGCGGCACTCTCAGTCTGGAGGTTTGGCAAGTGCTTCAATATGATGACTGCTGACACCAGGCTCACCGGGCTTCATAGCCACGCCACATGAACTAAGAATGCTCCCTAGAACAGGGGTTTCGCAAGCACTGCCTACTTTTCCTCCTCACTTATCTGCCTCTACCTCCAAGCTATGCTATAGCTCTGGGTTGGACCAATTCCTGAACCAAGAATTCCTTCTTTGGTGGGTAAAGGCGCCAAGATATCTGGGGGGGGTGGAGTGAAAGTTTTCCCTTCTCTGAGAGGAAAGAGCCATAGGAGGTATTGAGGGAAATTAGAAAGTGAGATAAAAGGAGAGGTAAGAGGAGGAGGAGAAGGAGAAATGGGAAAGAAAAGGTGGCAAGGAGGATTAGAAATTAAGGTGGTAATAGAGGAAAGCTCTTACAGAGGGAAGAAGTGAATGCACAACAGCCAGAGAGGAGATGAAAGAAACTGGCCATTGCAGGGTGGAATGAAGACTAAGGCACAAATGAAGTATGAAAGGATAAGGGGGTAAATTATAGGGGGAAGGGTAAAAATACTTTGAGAGGGATGTGGGGGTGGGAAGGCGAAAATGCAAAAGAAAAAGCTCAAAGCTACATGCTTTAAAAAACATCTTATTACCACTACAGGAAAAAAAGACAGTAAACTTGATTTAATTGCACAAGTGTGAAGCTATAGTAGGGCTTATTTCCTAGACAAAACAAATACTTGGTAAAAGAAAACATTACTAAACTCTCTGAACTATGGATTGATTGAATCAGATAGTATCAAGCACTTATACTTAATATTACATTTATCTTTGGACCAAGAATGTACAAGTATGGTGAAAAGAAATACAGAATTCACATCAGCACACAAGCACTATTATTTTATATTTTATTATGGAAAACATTCTTTTGTCTCCATCCTCCACTTCCTCTCCCCATCTGACTCCCGCTTTCCACAAACCTCTGAAAGCTTGTTGACATTGCACTTGGCCCGCCATCCATTTAAACCTAGTCTGAAAGGGCATTTCTTTCTTCTCCATCTAAAAAATTAATCTACATTTGTCAGAATAATGCATAGTATGTACATGAAAGCTACTATTACTTAGATCCTCTGTTATTAGGTCAGGAATGCCAATTTAGAGTTCCCCAGGGCACTTCAGAAACACATAAATCCTCCATGAAATTCAGACTAATGTGTTCTAGCCAGAGGCCACAGGATGGGTTAAGGCCTTGATTGTGAATCTGGCTGAGTCGCTCTCCAAAAGGCCCAGTGTTTACTTGATTAATGTTTTGATTCCCCTTCAGATATATCTAAATCCCGACATTCTACAGAACTTTGGGTTGCTTTAACTACAATGGGAGCATCTTAATGCTTAACTCTTCAGAACCGGTGAAGACTGACCTATTTTGAAGAATTGATCATAGTAACTTCTGCAGTCAGACTGCAGTTCACAATCCCTAACACGGTGTTGCATTCAGCACATGGGGGGCGGGGACAAACTTTCTTTTAGCCAATGTGGGTAGAGAGGCAAAAGACCAGTGGAGACTGTATCTTTGTACAGTAGGTATTGGTACAGTGGTACCTTGGTTCTCAAACAGAATCCGTTCCGGAAGTCCGTTCGACATTCGAAAACGATCAAAAACCAAGGCGTGGCTTCCGATTGGCTGCAGGAGCTTCCTGCACTCAACCAGAAGCCGCGGAATCCGTGTCAGACATTCAACTTCCAAAAATAGTTCGCAAACCGGAACACTCACTTCCAGGTTTGCGGTGTTCAGGAGCCAAAACGTTCGAGAACTAGGCGTTTGAAAACCAAGGTAGGACTGTATTTATATTGATTTATACCCCATATTTTTCCCCGAGAGGACTCAAGGCAGCTTACAGATGAAAACAAGAACTGCTACAAATATAGAAAAACCTATCATTAAAATACAATTAAATCTGTTTAAACACACCAACAATTACAATACAAACAAGCACAGCACCAACCATTTAATCAAAAGCAGCCAGTTCCCCAAAGCCTGTTGGAACAAGAAGGCCTTCACCTGCTAGAGGAAGGACAGCAACCCAATCTAGTAGTACTAGAAACCTGTAAATAAGCAAGTGTGCGGGGCTAGGAAGCGATGATTGCACCAAATCCCCCTTTATGCAGGGAAGCAGGGAGTGTAGATCCACATGTGCAAAAGCAAAAAAGCAATCTGCTGCTGTAGATTTCTGAACCAGAGTTCCTACAACATGAGCAACTCTAGGCTCATGAAGTAACGATGACGCAAAGAAATGAGATGGCCTAATAATCTACAAGTGAATAACGTGTTTCTCCAAAACCGTAAAATGAACAAAAGCAGTTCCAATGGGATTAGATAAAATGACAAGTGTAGTTGCTGTGGTAATATATATAAATCTGCTAGTTCCTCACCGGCATTCAATGAACCACTGGCGGATCTGGTCCTGGAGGCTCTCTTTGATGTCAGGACCTTCAATTTCTTTCACACGCTCTTTGATGCTGACTAGAGCTTTCTGGAAGTCTAATTCATGTTTCTCCTGAAGTTCACATCTTATATTATCCACCTTCTGGGCACGCAGTATTGAAATGCTAGGTTTTTGGAAATGAGGAGGTGGAATCTAAAAAAGAAGCAGGAATAAACATCAAAATCAGTCCCATGTTGTATTCCTGGTTTTATTAACTGTGTTATTCTGGTACAGTGGTACCTCCGTTTACAAACAGCCCTGTTTACGAATGATTCAGGTTACGAACTTCCGCAAAACCAGAAGTTTACCTCGGTCTACGAACGTTACCTCGGTCTAAGAATGGAAGCCAAATGGTGGAAGGGCACCGGTGGCGGGAGGCCTCATTAGGGAAAGCAAGCCTCGGTTTAAGAACTGTTTCAGTTTAAGAACGGACTTCCGGAATGGATTAAGTTCGTAAACCGAGGTACCACTGTACTAATATCAGAGGCAATTATTTCAAGTTCTGTCACAATCAAATGTTATTTCCCAGTTTGTCTTAATATGTTCACTTATGTGTCTTGTTTTGGATAATAGCCCATTTCCTTCATTCCACTTCTCCTTTCATCTTTAGCATCTGGATTAGGATGAGGTCACAGCCTACATCACTCACTCGTGTGACACTGGCAAGCACTACATAAGAAATGCCTGAATGTGTGAACCACATGGATATCAGTTATATGGCATGGCTCAGTGGTAAACCAAGCCATGTTCTTTGCTGAGTGGTGGAAGGAAGGCATGCTTTGCAGGTTCTACCACAGCGGAAAGTGTGCCTGTGACTTTTGAGAGCTGCCACCATCTGAGTAGACACTGCTGAGCTAGATGGATCAATGGCTAACAGCTCAAGAGAGTTGCAGATGATCAGCTGCAGAGAGTGGATAAGCTGCCACACAGCGTTTCCTTTCTCAATACCATGCTATATGTGGGACCATCGATCACATTTTTTACTTTAAACAGATATTGGAAGACAAGTTTCTCATAGTCTATGATAGCACCGTAAGCACTTAAAGTCATCAGTTAATTCACAGATTGCTATGGAAGATTGTCTGATTAGTGTGCATATGATCGTCACATTTCCATTCCATAAATGGATGCAGTGTTTCTCATGAGTAAAGGGTATTTCAACCAATTATCACCATAAAAGACACGTCTCTCCATCCTTGAACCACTCCTACCGATATTTTTACTATCAGTTTCACAGAGATTTTTGGAACTACAACTGGTCGATACAGCACTGACTGAAATGAGTCCAGTATCAAGTTTCCATATTAAAACAGTAGTAAACTGCCTGTACTATACATCTAAGGATGCATAATAAATGCTGCTGGATCAAATTATTCCCAGAACTTAATTTTCTCAACATCAGGAAAGACCTGCTTCTTTAAAAATAAAACAGACAAAATCCCTGAATGTACACAGTGGATTACTATGAATGTTTCATTGTCAATTAGCAATACTGTAGAAAAATGCTTTAAGTGTTGGGTCATGGGACGCTTCATAAAGGCGGGTGAGAAGACTGCTGTTTAACAAATGCAATGTTTATCCATGTCAGAAGGGTGCCTAGGATTTTTAAATTGAATTTCCCAATGTTTGCACTTCCCATTGGTTCTGTTTAATTAGTGAAGTATTGTTTCTAATTTGTTCACTTAAATTTTATGTGCACTGTTTAGTCAGTTGCTTCCTGGCATTTTCTTGCAGCTGGTAAGAGACTGTGAGAAAATCCACTTCCCCTGAGGGGGGAGAACTGTGGTAAAATGGATAAAATAAAAATTAAAAGAGTAAAATGCTTTAATAAAAAAATACTATAGATGTTTCCCATTATTTTAATAGCTTCATCTAAGAAAAAGTAAACCAGCATAGGGAGCAAAAGCTCAGCCTTCTTGCTGCTTTTATTACAACATTTCAAGAAAAGATGTTCATTTTTACCTACTACTGTGACTGTAGATGTTTTGGAAAAATTAATAGTTGAATCCTGTGCTCAACTTCACACTAGCCAGAGTTCTGCATTGGTTCCATGTAGCCTCTGCTGACCCATCTGGACTCCCTGGGGAAGGAGCAGCCTTAGCCTGAGTATTAAACTCGCTCAGATTTCACTCCCAGCCACCATACCAACTAAAATTACATTCCCAAATGAGGTGAGGTAGAGCATCAACACCCTTCCACTCAGTGCCCAAGAATCAACTCCTGCACTGTCCATACCACAGCAGAGCATAGGATTTCAACAAAATCTGCTGCACTCAAATCTAAATCCCGTAACAGATGATAGGGATGATGGCCTCATATCATACACACAAGTGGGAACTTTGGTGACAGGAAGTATAGTTGAAAAGGCACTTGGCACAAAAAACTCTAAATAATCTGGCATCACAATAAATTCAGAGCACTGCCACCACCTCTTCCTAGCTGCTTCCCCCCGCAAGAGCAGTTTTTGCCTTAGGGAAGGAAGATGGATGACTAGTTTAGGGACCACAGCAGAACTGCCAGTCATTCAAAGGGAGGGCTTGCATATTCAGTTGCCATTGCTTGGAATAGTTGTCCCATGCCCAGTCCATCTAGCCCAACATGCTCCCAAAGTTGACAGCAATGCCTGAAGCTAATAATAATCTGCTGTTGCTTTCTAGTAAATAGTACTGTGTTCAGTTGTCCATTTGCTCAATTTGGAGCAATGCTATGGGAGCTATTTAAAACCAATTTAAATTTGCAGTATCCAGAATAATTGGAAGTCATCAATAAATGTAGCCATTTCACTGTTAAGGAGATCCCATCTCTCCATTATTCCTGCTGCTTCCTGTTCTTTGACCGGTTAGCAATCCATGAGCCTATCCTCGAATTACTGGTACATACTGTTAATTTCCTCAGGAACCTTTGAGTTTGTTACAAGTTTTTTGAAAGTCTAAACATGTCTACTGGATCCACGTGGTTGCTAATACTCTCAAAGGACTTAAATTTGAGGCAGGATTTTCCTTTGCAAAAGTGATGCTGATCCTTACTCAGAAAGAAATGTTTTATTGTATGTTTGATAAATTTAATAATGTTTACCACCAATTTCCCTAGGACAATAAACTAACTGCCCTGTAATTGTCCATATCTGCCTCTTGATATTTTAAAAAACATTTACGTTACATTGGCTATTTTTAAATCCTCTAAAACATAAGCCAATTTAACAAGTTGCTTTCTTTTGTTAGACAACCAGTAGTTTCACCTTAGATTCCTATTAGAATTCTGGGATGGGTGCTCTCTGGGCCTAGTAACATCGATTTTAATTCATTGGTAAGTCCAATAACTTCTCATCACTTTTTCACTCAGTTCCCTAGTCTCCATGCATTTGTAATATGCTCCTTAATTTCTGCCCCACTTCTATTAGTTTTGCCAGAATTGTGCTCCTTTCCATTCTCCTGACTTAGACAGGAATTCACTTTTCTGGAAAAAAAATATAGTTCCTTAGACATAGCTTATGAAGCACCCTGGCATTCTTTTGAACTTGTTGGTACTTTCCCTAAATTAAAGCATGCATTTTGAACTTCTACTGCCATGGTTCCAAACAAGGTTCTTGGAGATATCTGTTCCTATTGATGCCTCCCTGCCTTTGAATGTCAGAATTTAAGGGTTAGATTTAAAAAGTATCTTACAATTTTATTTTATTTTTACTACTGATCAGTGTTGCTCCCATTCAACAGAGTAAGGAGACTGTGGCTGAGGCATCAAATGAAAATGTGGAGGCCAAACTAGAAGTGAGCACAGTATGTGAGGCAGCAGAATGTGTTTCCCTCTTACATGACATGGAAGCTTAAGTAGGCACCGTAACTTAGCCTTTTCCCGTGTATTTTGATGCATGAGTGAATTTGTTAGTACCACGTGAAATGAAATTGGCTTTTTGAAATCCTAGAACTGAATTCTTCATCTTCTTCTTAATAACCTGCTTTCATTGTGCCATTTTCAATTGTGCCCCAAGCTTCAGAATGCCTACTAAAATCTGTGCGTAAGCTATTGTGGGTATTCAAACCAAAGAAAACACTTGATCCTTTTACACTCTACCCATTATGTAGATTTCCTAAACCTGGGAGGTATTGCACCTTTGCTTTTCCTTTAGAATTGCCTCATATTGTTACGTTCAAGCTTTTTCCTGGTTGTGCAAATTTCAAATTTGTTAACTCACTCTATGAGCAGTTACTCATTTAAAAATAAATTTATACATCTTAGATGCAGGCTGCATATTTAGTAGTATGTGATGGTCATATCAGCAGTAGAATAATACATCTTAATGAAGGTTTCCTATGTGAATAGAAACCATTATGTTTACAAGCTTCCTACAGTTAATGACCCAAAACAGGATAACGAAATTCACATATTTAGCTGGGTCCTCTGTCAGCAATAATATGCCTATTAATAATTGATGTTTCTGTAAAAATAGGCTGCAATATGCACTTCTCGTGTTTGTCAAATGATAGGACTATATGGCCCATTAACTTAAAATGCTTATCTAATGTTTGATGAGCTTTGTCTTAAACTGTTGTTTAAATTGATAAGGCAAAAGTGGACATTAGTCCATGAAACAAACCATTCCAGCCCATCAGTCACAAAGTATGCTTTGTTCTCGAAAAAACTCCTTATTTTCATTTTTAAAAATGGGAATTAGTTGAATTTCATGCATGATGGTCACAGTTTCGATTCACCTGAAAAATAAAAATAAACTCTGGTGTTGGCCCTAGGAATCTGCAGGTTAGCTGATAATTAACTCAGAGCAACAGTTCTGAATGTAGGGTGCTCAATAATGCAATAAAGAAATAGTTTACCAATGTAATATGACAATGAGAGTTCTTGCTAAATTCACTAATGTTGCAATGTAATAGCTGCTTTCTTGATAACGTTCTAGGTGTGCTCTGGGTATGCTGTTAAACCTCTTTTACTAATGTAACCCCCTCATTCAAATGAGATTACTAAAACAGTGCATGCTCAAAACAGGCCTGCCACACGCAGGAGCATACCTAGGGGTTGGGCAGTTTGGCTCCTGCCAAAGGCGCAGGCCCAGGGAGACACAAAAACCGCCCCTCTCCACTCTGGTTCGGAGCCCGCCTGCCTGCCTGTGCACTCCCTGGGCCACTCCACTGCTCTGGGTGCCTTGGCAGAGGAATGAAACGGACAAGGCGGGTGCTGAAACAGCTCCTGGCCAAGGGCACATGGGAGCCTAGCTATGCCTCTGGCCACATGGGTATCCCAATGGGGAAATGCACACAATTCCAAAGGTGTTACCCCTTTGATAGATAGGGCTCCTTTTTTTGCATGGCGGCAGCCTCTTGCTCACTTTTGGAAAATGCATAATTTAGAACTAGTGGAATGTCTTTTACCAGTTTTGTATCTTTTAAGCTGCTTTCACTATATCACTAGTACAATAAGACAAAACCATATTTCTTGTACGCCTAGCGATTGCTTATCTCCTGAAAAGTAAAAAGGTGTCCTTTCCCACTTCCTCCCTCTCAAAAACTGCCTTGCCTCTATGGGAGTTTTAAAAATCTAATTTCACACACACCCAATCCCAATTCCCGCAAAGTGTTGCAGTTTAACACCAACAAGAAAAACCTTGCTAGCCTGCATCAGAAGTCTTATAGTGCTCTATCCTTGTAAAGGATAACTTTTTCTTCTTTTCCAGGCTTGTGCTGCTAAGCTATACAGAGCAAAGGGGCTTAGGACTGGGGTTGGCTGTCACACCTGAACATGGTGCAGCTTGGGGAAAAGAAGATTCCTAAATTTGGAATGCAGTGTGAATCTCCTCCTCCTCTTTCTTTAAGGAACAGGTTTCCCCAGAATTTCATTCCTCTACGTCCTCCGGATTCCAAAGGTCCTGGTCCAGTTTATTTGACACAAGTTTTTTTTTCAGGGAGCATCCTACTTTTTTGCGAAATGAAAAACCAGCAGATATATAAACAACGGTTATTTTAGAGTATAAAAAGGATGTAAAGTAGTCAAAGTTTGGATTAATGAGATCAGTAACACAACAAGGAACTCTAGAGAGTAACTGCAGAAAATAAATAAAGCCAAAATGGCATTTTCAGATATGCTTAATGAAACAGACATCTGACACCCCTGAGCTATCTTATTTTCCCGTTTGCAGGAGCTGAAGAATATTCACGCTCTACTTATTTATAGAGCTTGAAGTTTTGCTATAAGGAATCTAATTATTTCTTTGACCACAGTTTATATTATTTATAATGAGAGCCATTCTATGGAGAGATTTACTTTTCTAACTAGCTGAAGCACAAGAGGAAATAAAATACATTATTCAAGCCATGTAATTATATAAATATATATAAGATACACATTAAAAGAGACAGAGAGGAAAAGTTACTGATGGTCAAATTATGTCCTTTCACATGAAAAAGCTGCATTTAAGTACATTCTAAAAGTGATTAAGAAAATAGTATTTGTATATGGCCATCCATAGCTCAGTTAGTCAAGAAGGGCTTGACTTTTTCCTGGACTTGAAACAGCACTTGGATTGTTGCATCTTTTCTAGGCAGCCACTCTAAGACTGTCTGCATGTCACACAAGGCAGACAGGAAATCATGTTTCCATGTACATGAGCTAACAGCAAAATATCTGACCTGCATGCAACTAACACCACCCATCCAAAACTTGTCTCTCCTCTCCACTGGCAAGGAATAAGGCCCTCCTACATGTTGAGGACCGTCGTTCGCTCCCAGCGCCTGCCAACCTAGCAGTTCGAAAGCACCTCCGGGTGCAAGTAGATAAATAGGGACCGCTTACCAGCGGGAAGGTAAACGGCGTTCTGTGTGCTGCGCTGGCTCGCCAGATGCAGCTTGTCACGCTGGCCACGTGACCCGGAAGTGTCTGCGGACAGCGCTGGCTCCCGGCCTATAGAGTGAGATGAGCGCACAACCCTAGAGTCTGGCAAGACTGGCCCATACGGGCAGGGGTACCTTTACCCTTTACATGTTGAGGGCTGCTCTTGAGTGTTGAAGGTCTTGGGCTGGCTGGAAATGGCTCCTTCATTATGCCAGCAAGAAAGCCACACGGGCTTTTAACAAGGAAGAAAGGCAGAGAGAAGCAAGGAAGAAAAGTGAAGTGAGAGATGGAGGAAAACTAGATTAAGAAATAGGGAAGGTGAGGACATAGTTTGACCCTGACTCCTGGAGCAGCAAGGACAGAAAAACTGTGGGGGGAGCTCTCTCCCACGCAAGGAATAACGATGGCCTGATTTGTATAGCCCAGCCTCCTAGAGCAGGAGAAGCAACCCAGATGAGAATATCTTCCTCCCTCATAGGAAAAATTAGTCATTCTTCCTAGACACGTCAGTATTTGTTTGAGGATAAGTTTAAAACAACAGAGGACCATGTGCAATTCATGTAACTCTGAATGCGTAAGAAAAGCAAGCCCTGCAAATTATTTTATAGTAATAAAAAAAAAATGCTGGTACAATCATATATCAAAGGGGGCTTGACCACTACCTGCTGCCCCACCCCACATGAACATCAACACGAACGTGTATGAGACCTACCAGGTTCCCCAAGTGTTCATGGAAGAGAACATAATCTTAAAGAGGATCACAACCAGGACTCATGAATAACAAAAGGCCATTTTTATTCTGAATTAATCCCACCCATACTCTCTTTACTGGATATTAATTGACTGGCAAGACACTAAGTGATTTAAATCTAGCATATCTAGACTAGCGTCCACTTCCCTGGTTCATCAGAGGGCCTTCTTGGCAGTGGCGCCCTCCCTTCAGATGTCAAGGAGATAAAGAATTAGACAACATTCAGAGGACATCTGAAAGCAGCCCTGTATCAGGAGGTTCTTAATGCTTGATATTTTTATTATGTTTTTAGATATGATGTAAGCTGCCCAGAGTGGCTGGGGAAACCCAGCCTGATGGGCAGGGTATAAATATTTATTTAATTAATTATTGTTTAGCAGGACACATTCCTCTACCAATGGGAAGGCATCAGCCTATGGTTTAAAGGAGTCATCTTCCTTTTCCCACCCTGGTTCCTTGCAATTACATATGGGTGGGGAGTGAGACACTGTTGATAGAAATTGTGTTAATGCTAAGTATCTTTCTTTCTCACACATTTAGAGAGTATTTTTCGCCGCTCTTTGAATATTTTTCAGAAACCCATTAGGCAGAGGAAGCTTCCTTTAAATGTTGGGCAGTGATAATAATAATAAATAACAACAACAATATCCAAATCATTTCTAGTGGGTGGCAGGGGTGTATGACTATGAGAAGTACCATTGATCCAACTTTTGATATGCTCTTCAATCACACCAATGTCATTTACAAGATTGGTTTGGAATAAATAGCACATTAAAACCTGCTTGTAATTTTTATTCTTAACCTCATTTCTGTAGGTATAGCGTATGGGAGAAGTACCCATGCAAGGATTCCCATGGGGTTCAATAGGAGCCAATGTGGTGTAGTGGTTAAGAGCGGTAGTCTCGTAATCTGGTGAATCGGGTTCGTGTCTCCGCTCCTCCACATGCAGCTGCTGGGTGACCTTGGGTCAGTCACACTTCTCAGCCCCACTCACCTCACAGAGTGTTTGTTGTGGGGGAGGAAGGGAAAGGAGAATGTTAGCCACTTTGAGACTCCTTCGGGTAGTGATAAAGCGGGATATCAAATCCAAACTCTTCTTCTCTTCTTTCCTCGCTCTCACATGCACTAGGAGTACACTACTGGTATCAGGCCAGTGACTTTGCTGTGTTCTTTTTGGCCCTTGCCAAACAGCTTTAATCTGTTTTAGTCTATTCTATTGGAGTTTTAAATTATGGCTGTAAAATTTTTAGAGAGAATTTTATTGTTTTACCTTTTTAAAATTCCACTGTGATGTTTTCTCCTACAACAAGTGGTATACCATGGTTAAGAAATAAATGGATGAAGTGTGGGGAATGAGCAGTCCCTTCCCCTGAGATGCAAGATGTTTCTGCCCTGGGGCAACAAAGTGTGGGTTCTACTAAGCGCTATGGGAATCCTCCCTGAGTGCTACCTCCGGAAGTGACAGAAAGACAGGCAAAACATAGCAAGGACTGTGCACTTGCACAGATATCAAAGGAAACTGTAATATTTATTAACTTAAAAGAGTCATATTCAATACTGGTGTGGGAGAGAAGCTACTCTATCATCAATGTTAGGTGATGACTTAAGGAGCAGCAGTGCAGCTGACAACCCCACACTTCTCTCCTCATTTGCCACTTAGTGGTAGTAGTGATATACTACATTCACCCCCGACCCAAATTATCACTTTTCTGTTCTTATTTTGGTTAGGTATACAGGATACAGTATTCGTAATGACAAGTGGGAACTGTTTTGATGTAGACATTTATTCTTGTTAGCAGGTAACCTTTATAACACAGAGTTTTAGAACACCCATTTGATAGCATCTAAAATCTGGAATTATTTAAAATGGCAAATTGGAAGGAAAGGTACATGAAGACTCACCATCCCTAGAAATACCATTTCTTCTTCTCTGAGTTTCAAACTTTTCTTCCACTGGGCATATCCACGCCAAAGCTGAATTTGGAATACAAACCTAATGAGATTAATTGCCCTTTTTACAACTTCCTGCACAGCAGCAAGGGGAAAAACAAATAGAGGAAGGAAAAAACAGACTCCAAATCTAGCAATGTATCATTAACAATTACCATCTGGGGGTTTTGGCATTGGGTCTTAATCTTTCCTGCTTTGTTTGTAGTCTAATTTGGAGGTGATAATTCTGTGAATTCATTTGAAATTTGTATGATTTATCTTTTAACCCATTTTAATCCTTTATTTCTCTCTGTCTTTTCAAATAATTTTGCACAACACTATGCACACAAATGCTATGTAAAGAAATGACTTAATCATTGAAGCTGCATCCTTTTTTCACAAAAATACTTTTCAAATGCAGAAGTAATGTAAGAAGGGATATGTACAGTTGTAAGAATTGAAGGAAATTCTTAAGCTTTCATCAAAAAGCGTTTTACGATCATAGGGTAACATCCAACTAATTCATACTCAGGGTAGGCACATTCAAATTAATAATTTTCCCCCAATGAGTCTGCTCCAAGGATAAATAACATCACCCACACATATTTACATAGAGTCATGTTGTTGAGAAACATGTGCTGGTCATATAATCTAATATGAAATGAATGCTCCTTTGATTGATATCAAGAACCCTGCTGGACAATTTTCCCATAACACATTTTCTGCAAATATGAGGGTTGGATTTATATTTTTAAATGAAAACTAGAATGATTTTCGATCTTCTACCAAGAGCCCATGGGTTTTCCAGCTGTTTCAGGGGCTGCATGTGCTCCACAGGGCTGTGGTTGCCCATTCTTCTAGGCATAAAAAAATCTGTTTGCCATTTAATGTCTTAGGAAGCTTACTCCTTCAATATTATCACTAGTTTTTCATTTAAAAACAAAGACAACTCAGCTTTCATTTGAAATATTCCCAGTCAGTGGGGGGGGGGGGGGGGCTACAAGGAAGATTAGAAGACACGAATCCTGATGGCTTCAAGTACCATCCCCTGAATGCATTCAGTGACACGACTTCTTACAAATATTACAATATTACGATATATCTTTCTTTATATCTTATAGTTACCTGATATATTTGCTTACTAAAAATTGTTAAGTGAGCAGAATATTTTTGGCAATTTACAATTCTTCCCTATTGTTTTAAGTGCCCCTATCCTGCCAAAGATGCCATTTTTATCAGAGAAACAAACAGCTCACCAAACAGCTGTTTGGAAACGTCACAGCAGATTTCAGTATTGTAGAATCCATTGTCTTGGAGTTGTTGTTTCCCCCAGTTCCTCCTGGCTCAATCAACTGAGCCAGGAAGAACAGAAAACTATAGTGCCTGGGTGTGTCAAAGCATACTCTGGAGCATGGAACGTGTGCAGAGGAGGGCAACCAGGATGATCAAGGGTCTAATAGCCAAGCCTTATGAGGAACAGTTGAAGGAGCTGGGTATGTTTAGCCTGGAAAAGAGGAGCCTGAGAGGCGATATTATGGCCATCTTCAAATCTCTGAAGGGCTGTCACCTGGAAGGTGGAGCAAGCTTGCTTTCTCCTGCCCTGGAAGGTAGGACTCAAACCAATGGCTTCAAGTTAGAAGAAAGGAGAGTCCGACTAAACATCTAGAAGAACCTTCTGACAGTAAGAGCTGTTCCACAGTGGAACGGTCTCCCTCAGGAGGTTGTGGATTCTCCTTCCTTGGAGGTTTCTAAGCAGAGGTTGGGTGGCCACCTGTCAGGGATTCTTTAGCTAGGATTCCTGGATTGCAGGGGGTTGGAGTAGATGACCCCTGGGGGTCTCTTCCAGCTCTAAGATTCTATGGCCAGATCTAGACACATCAAAGAAGCATTTCAGTTAAATGTGTTGCAAACTGTGTACAGTGGTACCTAGGTTTACAACCATAATCTGTTCCGGAGGTCCATTTGTAAACCAAAACAGGTTGTAACCCAAGGCGCGCTTTCACCAATGGGGCCTCCAAAATAAATTTGTTTGTAATCCAAAAAAAAAAGGGGGGGGGTGTAATGCAAAAAAAGACTGAAAACCGGGACACACACTTCCGGGTTTGATGTTTTTGTAATCCAAGACGTATGCAAACCAAGGTATCACTGTATAAGAAATCGCGTTGGAAAAAAATGGAACTCCACAGCGCCATCTGGTGTCACAGTGTTATAATGCATAAACAAGACATATAAAACACTTTTTCTTTACCAATCTAGCGGAGTCCTACAATTCTATGGTCACCCTCCAGCACCAGAGTTGTGTGGTGGCAGCTTCCAGAAAGATCTTGCAGGAGTTCCACAAGACCTCACCAGAAGCTGCTGCCTCCACAGCCACACAACCCTGGTAAGGGAGGTGGTAGCGCATTTGAGGAGCAGGAAGAAGTAATGACAGCAGGGGGCTACTGGCAGCAGAATAAGGGATTATCACAGATCCAGGCTTTCCAAGCTTTTTCTTACAGAACTTTCATAAAAAACCCTGAGCTTTCTCCAAGAGACCTCTAAAAACATCTCAGAAAAACCAAGTCAATTAACAAAGCATGCCAGGATTAGAAGAGATTGTGGATTACTACTTTAAATATAGATTATTATCTTTTCCCAAAGGCAACTAAACATGCATTCCATTTTTATAGCAATGTATCTCTGATTAAAAAGAAGATATTTTACCTTCTGAATGAATAACACAGCACCATCTATATCTAGGGCTTTCTCACCCGTAAGCCTTGCTAGCCTCTCTCTCTTTTCTTCCAGATAGATTTGCTTCATGAATGTAGCCCGGAGTCGGCCCTGACGAGCCCGCTCAGCTATCTGAATGGTTCTAATAGCTTCTTCTAAGGGCATGAGCTTCACAACTTTTTTCTATAACATAAAATGGAAGCATAGGACAAAAATAAATACATCTAGAACATTGTCTTTATCCTGTCCCAGAGGAATTCCAATTAAACAATGTTGCTCTTTCCTATTTCTTTGCAGAAATGTGTCAGGTGCACAAAATTCCATCAGAATGCATGTATTTTATACTCCTGCATTTATGCTTCCCACTTTTTCTTTGCTGCTATGGCAGCATACTAGGTATCAGAAGCCAGGGGAAGCTTTTCAGCACACCAAAGTCCTGTCAGTGGATGTCAGACACCCTGGAAACATTTCCCAGGTTCTCTAGAACCTATGAAGGCAGGAGGGAGACATGGAAAGAAGTGTCCTTTTGACTCAGATTACAACATGCACTACAGAACGGCTCACATGGCTGTAATGTTTGCCTCAGATTAAAGGCAAATGTTACAAATAAAAAAACCCTAAGGTTCAGAAGAAGGAGGAAGACATTACAAACTTCAGCAATGTCAGTAACTTCTACTACATGTTTTATTAAAATTTACATGCATAAACTTCCTGCTTCTTCCAAACCCCTGTTAGAAAATCTATATATAAGTACATTATTTATAACTAACAAGAAAAAAAATGCATGTGGATTCCAAGGTAATCAGGAATGGGAAATCAGGGAAGTCGCTAGGGCTGGATGGACTGTCAGCCTGCTATTGCAAGAAAATGAAAGAAGCTAGATCTCAACTTTTAAAAGAAGTGATGAACGATATACTAACCAAAGGAAAAATAACGGAGATTGGAAGGAAGCCAATACAGAACGCTAATCCCCAAACAGGGGACAGACTTAACACTCATCTCAAACTACAGACAAATTTCATTACTTAATAACGATTACAAACTCTTTGCAGCCATCTTAGCAGAAATACTAAAAAAGACCCTGAGAGCAATAATCCATGAGGACCAAGCAGGCTTCCTTCCCGGACGACAGATAAATGACAATATAAGAAACCTTATTAATATACTAGAATACCTAGAAGCTAGAAACGAAAAACTAGCAGTACTTATTCTAGTAGACGCAGAAAAGGCATTTGACAACATCTATTGGAGCTTTATGAAAACACAAATTAACTTAATGGGTCTTGAAGAAACATTTTGCAGAGGAAAAGAGCCAATAAATTTTGAGCAGTGAGTCAAACTTGTCATAAACAGCAATATCACAGATAGTTGCAACATAATGAAGGCGACAAGGCAAGGGTGCCCACTGTCCCCACTGCTATTTATTCTAGTATTAGAAACCCTGAATAGGAAAATAAGAGAGGACGAGAGGATAAGAGGTATCAGGGGAAATCCTACAAATTAAAAGCTTTTGCAGATGACCTCATTATAACCACAGAAAACCCAAAAGAAAGTTTACCAAGACTGTTGGAACTGATAAACGAATTCAGGCAGGTGGCGGGTTTTAAACTCAATAGCAAAAAACCGAAATTACTGGTAAAAAATATGGGGATCCAGGAAAAAAGTGAATTACAAGAAATTCGTGGTTTGGAAATTAGCAAAAAAGTAAAATACCTGGGTATATGGCTCATGACAAAAAATATTAATCTATTTCAGGATAATTACTGTATTTTTCCGTGTATAACATGCCCCCGTGTATAAGACTACCCCCCCCTTTTTAACATTATTTTTTAGTAAAAAAAACCCTAGTCTTATACATTGAAAAGTACGGTACGTTAAGACCTGGAAGGAGATAAAAAATTATTTTGAGATTTGGAGCAGGTTAAACATCTCCTTTGGGGGAAGAATTTCTACAATTAAAATGAACGTGCTCCCAAAAATGATCTTTCTGTTCCAATCAATTCCAGTGATCAGGGGGAGCAAGCTGTTTAAAAGATTGGCAGAGGGACATCTCAAGATTTATCTGGCAGGGTAAAAACCGCAGGATTAAGCACAAACTATTAATTGATGTTAAGGGGGGGGGGGTCACTGCCAGATCTGAAACTGTATCATGAGGCGGCTTGTCTCTCCTAGATCTGGGAATGCTTGACACTACAAAACACTGATTTGCTGGATCTGGAATGATTATCAGTACGGTTGGCACACTTATCTATGGTATGAAAAGGCTTCTTGAACCACATGGTTAGGAAATCATTATATGGTGTGGGCTAAGTATAAGGACTTACTAGAACCAAAAACGCCATGGAGGCTATCCCCGACAGAAGCATTCTTGGTAAAGAAAAAAACACATGAGAGGTAATTGTCAATTCACCAAGATTTATTGGAAGAAAAGGAAAATAGGCTAAAATTTTAAAAATTGGAAGAAATTCGAACCCATTTAACAGATTGGTTGCAAATGAACAAGACATTCCAAAAAGACAAACAGAAAAGGCTTTTCCACAGAACTTTCAAGACTTGAGAAAGATTTAATTAAAAAAAACCGCTCTCTTAAAATGTACAGACTTCTCCTTGACTGGGAGGTCAAGGAGGAAGAAGCAAAATCAGTTACAGACCAATGGGCCAGAGATTTTGGTTACAATATCCAAATGGAATCATAGGAAAGGTTATGGAGGGAGGACCTGAAATTCACTGTGTGCTATGATTTGAAAGAGAATTTCATGAAAATGCTTTACTGATGGTATCTAACACCTGTAAAATTGGCCAAAATTTATAAAACCAGGTAAAGCATTCGTTGGAGATGCAGGGAGGTGGAAGGCACGATGATCCACATGTGGTGGAACTGCCAAAAAAAAGGGGGGGGGAATTCCGGGATACAATATATAATAATCTTAAGAAAATGTTTAAATGTTCCTTCCCTAAGAAGCCTGAAGCCTTTCTGCTGGGTATAATGAGTAATGAAATTCTGAAAAATTTAAGGAGAATTTTTACGTATGCAATAGCAGCAGCAAGAATTCTAATTGCAAAAGGATGCAAAGGAGACTCCATTCCTTCCAAATTGGATTGGCAGACCAAAATGTTAGAATATGCAGAGCTGGCAAGAATGACAGCAAGATTCCGAGATGATACTGATCAAATATTTAATAGAGAGTGGGACATTTACAGAGTATAGCTAAAAGAATATTGTAAAAATCTAAATTCTTTGGCAGGCCTGAATTGACTTCTGCATGAAGTAAGAGAATTTTACAAAACCAATACAACTGAAATAACTTAGGAGAGATAAAGGAAAGTGCATAGTCGAAAATGTAATATAGGAACCACAATGGAAGTCATGTTGGAATTAGTTATGTATGAATCTAATTTTTTTTTGTAATATGTATCGATTTTCGATTGTTTTTGTAGACTGTTTTGTTTTTAAAATCAATAAAGCATTTTTTAAAAAAAATTCCAAGGTAATTCACAGCCTGATCTAAACAGATTATTTTATAATATTATTTTTGTATTGGACCATTTACATGGTGCATTATATGAGACAATAAAAGCAACACACTCCTGAATGAAGGGGCTCACCATTTATAATTTACCAGAGGGGGAAATACTAACAGGAATATCTGTCTAGGACGCTGTAATCACGCAACCATCTGACAGCACTCCCCATTCCTGGATCATAATTTTGCTTTGTCTCCATCAACTCAGGAAATAGCAAGATAACTTTGTTACCTAAAAATCCTAATATCTGCTCTCTGTCCAAACGTCTAGCACTCCTGCAGTGAAAGGTATGCTGTGCAGAGAGTCAGAAACAGGATGACAGATGTAAGAGGTGAATGGATCATGGGCCTTCTTTGGGTGCTCCAGAATCTGTGTATTAAGGGTTGGTCTAATCATGTGGCAGAATGAGACCACTACAGTGGTGCCCCGCAAGACAAATGCCTCGCAAGACGAAAAACTCGCTAGACGAAAGAGTTTTCCGTTTTTTTAGTCGTTCCGCAAGACGAATTTCCCTATGGGCTTGCTTCGCAAGACGAAACGTCTTGCGAGTTCGTTTCCTTTTTCTTAAAGCCGCTAAGCCGTTAATAGCCGCTAAGCCGCTAAGCCGTTAATAGCCGCTAAGCCGCTAATAGCCGTGCTTCGCAAGACAAAAAAACCGCAAGACGAAGAGACTCGCGGAACGGATTAATTTCGTCTTGCGAGGCACCACTGTATTTCAGGTGGTGTTGGGTGGCATCCATCTGTCTCAAGAGAAAATGGAGTGCACCTCCAGGGGTGAAGTCAAACCGCTGCATCAGCAGCACCAAAGTGACTGCTCCAGGATGCAGCGTGTATGGAGGTCCTGGGCTGCCCAGATGACAAAAGCCCCTCTCAGCCTCGCTGATGGGGTCCAAAGGAAAGCAGAGTAAGACATTTGGCACCAGCATGGCTGTAGGACTTGCCATACTAGGCGCCATCCAACTGTCTTAGGGACTCCATTCCAGATTTGTGTCGGATTTGCTCCTTAACCCTTTCTTCTCCCATAAGTCAGCAGAGGTTTAAAATCAGAGTTTTCCTTCTCCTAGAGGGCTACTTTCCCAGGTTGATGAGCAACATCTGCCCCTCACTTCCCTCTACAGCACATGCAGAAACCACCTTCCTGACCACTGGGTCCACTATTGGTCTCATCTGCTCAATGCGCCAGAGCCTCTCTTTGCATGTAGCGGAAGTCCCTAACTCAATAAGGTTTTGAGATGCATCAGCCACCCTCACCTGGTTTAGCCGGCCAGTCAAAGGCATTTCCTGGGGTGTGGCTGCAGTCGCCTGCTGACAGATTCCAGGAGCCACAGGTGAGAGCCGAGTGCAGGGTGGGGGCAAAATGTGAACAAAGGAGTTCCCTCCACAGAGGCACTGCCCTCCCCTAACACCCCATACACCTCTCAGGTGCAAACTGGAGCACTCCTGGGCCACCGCCTTGCCTGCCTTATTACTGCCTGGTTCTCTCACCAGCTGGCCCTCCTGCTACGGCTGGTATCCCTGGTCACCCAACCTGGGAGGCCTTAGGAGTCGTTACTAAATGCAATATATTCTGGGCAAGGTGGCCAAGAGAGTGCATGAAACATCACTGTGGTTTGCCACAGTCGCTAAAACTGTGGTTTAAACTTTGGAAATGTTATAACATTTTAAAGTAAGTTCGACATCTTTTTTTTACTAGGTTTAAGCATGAATTCTAGACATTGCACTGATGGCAGCGCAGGCACTCTCCTGGCACCTCTCCCAGAAGGCCTGGCTGCGAGGAAGGATGCTCTTGGCCCTTCCAAGAATGAGTAAGTGAAGAGCAGGGACTAGAAGAGAAACTGCCTCTGCTATCACCACTAAGGCATCAGATAAACAAGGGTGGAGAAGATGAACAGGAATAGGAATGGGTCAGCAATGGCAGTGGAGGAAGAAGAGGACAGCAGGAGGTAGAACCATCTCTTTCAGCAGCTCTGCCTGAACTGATTACATAGATATACTCACAGGTTCGCCATCATACATCCCAGCATCAAGCATTATCTGAGCAAGGATTTTCTCCCTCTCTTTCAACACCTTTATTTTCTCCTTAATAAAATACCTTGGGATTGGAATTTCAATGTTTTCCTATTGGAGAGGAAAAGTTAATTTTGTAAATCATGCTGGTCATTCAATGAATACAATTTCTCTACAAAACAGTCAAAAGTGCCCATATTAAACATACATTTCTGGGAATGCTGAATTATGGATGTGCATAAAAGTTGCTATTATTCTGCAATTGTCTTAACTTATTTCAGCAATATATAATCCCAAAGAAGGGATTCCTGAATCTGGTTATGTTGCCTTTCAGTTGTCTTATACTGAGAGCTCGGCTATGAAATGGGTTATAAATCAACAAGATAATGTGATATATGAACACTTGAAGATGCTAATAAAAGCACAAAAGGTACTGCATCAGGCTGCAGTACAGAAGATACCTGTTGAGTGTACTTATTCATTACTAATTATTGCATAAGAAATCCTTAAGTGCAACCCACTGTTGGAAAGAGCAACTTATACTAACATAATAGGCTGTAGAATGCCAAAGCTTTATTATTTATATTTGAACATCACTCACAAATACTATCTTGGTAATCTGCCTTTACAGGTAAAATAAGAGAATGCTATAACTTCAATATGTTGTCTAGAAATTAGCTATACAATTTCTTTAATCTGTTGTATTTCTTGCTTGGATAAAGTGCTTACACGGATTAGGGCTAGCCAAAGACACAGATGTGGGTATTTCTGCATGTGGGAGAAGAATGAGACATTTATGGCTTGCTAACCATTAGTACAGGAGATGCACCACTGATAGGCTATTTTCCCTCAAACCACCCTGGTGAAAGAGTCTTTTGAAAACTGCTTTTGGAACTTAGGGGTTCTCAAGGAGCAATGTGAAGGTTCTCAGTAGCCATCTTTTGTAAAGGTAGCTTTGTGTGAATGTAAACATAGCTTATGTGCCGAATTTACAGTTTAACATCTTTTTTTAAATGAAAGTTTGATGCAGTTCATGATGTGGGCAACAGGTGGAGCTGTATGAGAGAAATAAATTAAATCCGTGATTCTCAATGAGGCTTGCTGGGGTATTATCAGCTCCCCACCCCCCCCAACTCACTGAAGCCCAGTTTTTGTATGTGTTCCTTGATTACAGGTGAAGGTGATATGTCTCCGCTTAGGTCCATCCTTACTATTTTCTTTGCACTTGGTAGCCAGGGCTTAGATTTAACCTGCTGTGGGTTGGAGCAGCTTTTTGCATTTCTATGGTGAAACTGAAAAAACCTCACATACTATAGTTGAAAAATGGAAATGGAATAACAGTTCAAGAACCAAGTATTCAATGGAGTGGGGCTCTTTGAATTTTTTTCATGTGATTTTTACAACTGAGAACAATTGGACAGCTATATTAAGATGCACAAAAGTCAGTTATTTAAAGACAACAAACAGTTATTTAGGATTTGATTCTACAATATGAAAAACAACATGAAGGGACTATACTTACAGGAGCCAGCTTAAGATCTTGTAAAATGTCATCAAAGTAATGATATTCTGACAACTCCAGCTCCACCATTTCATTCTTTAACTCCAAAATACGACCCATTACTCCATCAAGCATTTGCCGAATAATTAAACGCTTTTGTGGGTGAACAATCTGGTCATAAGCAGCTTCCAAATTTCGAAATATCTGCACATACTTGATGTAGAAAGTGCCTAGCATTTGAAACACTACTTGGCGATCTTTCAATGGTTTGTGGGATTTCTCTTCTATCTCCTTCTGCAACAGGCAGTTGAGGGACTCCTGGGCTTCCGCCCACATTTTATTGTAAGTGCTAATAAAGTGGGTTGGGGGGTTGGGGAAGAGAACACTTTAGTATATACAAAGAGAACAAAGTAAAATATAGCAAATAGTGCAACCCTATTCATGTCTACTTAGAAGTAAGCAGCACCAAGTCTAAGGTTACCAGATATTTTTCAATGAATCCGGGAACACTTTTCAGCTTCAATGGATTTTGTATGGGGACTGACTTGTAAATCTGGGGACTGTCCCCAGGAAACGGGGACGTCTGGTAACCTTAACCAAGTCCGATGGGATCCACAGGTACTTACATTTAACCAATGTTGAATGGGATTACCGCTCCCCCCCCCCGAAAATGCAGGTCTGTGGCTTAGTGGTTTTTTTGGACCTGGCTTTGACCCTGGATGGCCAAGGGTCAGCTACAGCCAGAGGGCCTTGGCCCAGCTGAAATGGGTGTGCCAATGACACCTGTTTCTGGAGGAAGCAGATCTTGATTATTGCATTGCATTTGAAACTGGGCAACTCCTTGGTCCAGAATGTTAACAGGGGAAACTTTTCAGAGCATGGCTCGCCTAATGGAACAGCTGCACTGGCTTCAAAGTTGGTTCTAGGCAGAATTCAGAGCATTTGTGATGACGACGTTTAAAGGCCAAAGTAATTTCGGATTGCCTTCTTCCGTACAAAGCGATCATCTTCAAGGAGCACTTGAGCTCCTGGACCGTATTGTAATATGCGTCTCTTACATATATGCACCTAGGGGAGAGTTTTCCCTTGGGGTTTAACCAGAGGCTGAACTCTGCCGGGATCGGGCCCTTCCTTGGAGGCGCCTCTGCTAGGAAAGAGGCTTCCGGGCCCCGAGGAGCGAGCGAGCCAGCCTCCTTCTCCCCGCGAGCGAGGCGCCGGGGCAGAGTCGCACTTACTTGTGGGACATGGCGGCGGCGGCGGCGGCAGCCCAGACTTCCCTTCCGGGCGGGGCGGACGAAGAGGGGCGCCGCCGGACCCTGTTCCTAGGGGGGGGGGGGCTTGTTAGAAGGCTCTTTCAGCCCGAAGCCAAGCCGCCCCCGCCGCCCTCGCCGGGCTCCGGGTTTTGCACGGCGACACCCGCCGCCTCCTCCTCCTCCTGCTCCAGGCGCTGCTTAGCAACGGGGCGCCAGGCCCAGCCAGGCCCGCGGCGGAGGCGCCCCGGGAGGTTGCTATGGGAACACCCGAAGGCGGGGGGGGGGGCCAGGGCGGCCCGCGGGGCAGCAGCGCAGGGCCACGTGGTGCCGGGGGGGGGGAGAAAGGGAGGCTGTCTCCGCCCCCCCTCCCGCCGGGCTGCCTACCTGCCCTGCTGCTGCTGCTGCTGCTACGCGCCCCCCCCCCCAAACACTAAGGCAGAAGAGCAAGGAGGTGATGGGTTGGCCATGCTGCCTCCTCGCCTTTATTAAGCATTTTGTATTTTTATTTTGTGTTTCTATGCTGTGCATGTGTACATATGTCATAACTAAACAACATTTATGATGATGATTAATTAAATTTGTATACCGCCGAGGGGTATACATCCGTAGATCTCACAGCATGAAAATACAAGATAAAAACACAAAAGTACGTAATAAAAACAAGAATAATAAAAAACTAACTAACCAATAACTCCTCTCCCCCCCCACTCCCACAACCAAATTTAAAAGGGTATAAAGGTAAAGGGACCCCTGAGCGTTAGGTCCAGGCACAGACGACTCTGAGGTTGCGTGCTCATCTCTATAGACCGAGGGAGCTGGCATTTGTCCGCAGACAGTTTCTGGGTCATGTGGCCAGCATGATGAAGCCGCTTCTGGCGAACCAGAGCAGCGCACGGAAACGCCGTTTACCTTCCCACCAGAGTGGTACCTATTTATCTACTTGCACTTTGTGCTTTCGCACTGCTAGGTTGGCAGGAGCAGGGACCGAACAACGGGAGCTCACCCCGTCACGGGGATTCGAACCACCGACCTTTTGATCGGCAAGCCCAAGAGGCTCTGTGGTTTAGACCACAGCGCCACCCGCGTCCCTTAAAAGGGTATAGGACGTTAATAAAAGACAGGGTGGTGCTGGATGTGGGGGGGGCAGCATGTGTCCCCCAAACAAGGAGCTTGCCCCCCAACACCCACCCCTCCTAATTGCTGTACTCCTGTTATTTCAGAGATTGTGTAGGGCACAACTCTGTCAGCTAGAAATATATGTTGCTCTTTCTGTGACCCCCCCCCCAAAAAAAACTTTCTTCTTCTTTTGGTGCCACCACCATCCTGCCCCCAAACACTTTGCAGCACAGAGGTCCCCATACAGTCCTAACCCATAGCCAGAAGTAAGCCTGCTGAATTCAATAGGATTTACTCTGAGTAGATGTGGTTAGACTTGGGGGGGGGGGGGATAATTCCCTTGACATTTACTTTCCAGCTACCCATAGATGTGATTTACTACCTTCTCACTTCTCTTCACTTCTCCCTCTTCAGTCCACATCAGTCCACTTCCCCACCTGCATCCACTTCCAGGACGTATCCTTAAACTCATTTAATACTACTTTATTGACCATCACCCTGAAACCCTTTGTTGAACTCACAAGTGAACAAAATAATAATCTCCACTCTCTGAATACAATCCATTTTATGTTGCACTGCAAAGGACAAGTGCAGTTATACTTTTGGAATCATAGGATTGGCACTTAGGTCTGTTTTTCAGCATGAGTGGTAGTTTTAATTTCAGGTTCCTAACTGTCCTCAGGCCATATAACCTTCCCTAATAAGCTTTCCTGGCTACTTCATTTTGTCTTGTAATGAAGTCTGTGGGCAGCATTGAGGGTGTGGGGAACAGCTGCTGGCTACAAGGACCTACTGCTGCAGTGATGCTCAATTCAAGGCAAGATGGTCAGTACGGTACTGTAGTTTGTTTTGTTTGACTTTGATACAGTAGCAGCATGTTCCTCAGGGCTGCACATAGTGCATGGACCTAAAGGTTTTGGAGGAAAGTTGAAAGACATAAAGTTCAAATTTAATTGGAAGAATCCCACTCCATACTTACAGGGGAAGTAACCCCATGGTGACAAATATAAAATGTCATGAATAATAAAAATGGAGTTGGCCAGATATTAAATATTATGCCATATGCCACATTTTTTACTGCAGAGTAAAAAACCTAAATCATGGTTTTTTGTGCAAATTAAGGTAGATTTTAAAATAATAATAAACAAATCTAGGTCAAACTACACTTTATTATGAAATATTTTCATGGGAAAACAGGGTGGGGGTTTTTTCGTTTTTTTCACCAGTATGTTCATATAGGATGCCACTCTAAAACAGATAATGTTGCAAATCTTACACACAATACAAATTGCACTTAACATATACCAGATGTTTGGGCAAGAAAGGAATACTAAACCTCTGGCTATTAGCCAAGTAATTTATTAGCAGATAGTTTAGAAAACTATTTGGCTTAACATTTTGCAAGGGTCAATGTATATATTCACAATACATCAACACCAGAACAGTGTCAAAGTTTAACCAGTTAGGAGGTTAGAGGTCATTTTTGTAGTATAGTAAAAAGTAAATATCAGGAAATTAGAAACTAAACAGTGATGGCCAGAACATGTGCAATGTTTAATATTTTCTGCAACCTGCAATCTGTCAAGTTTTAATGTTTTTAATATGAATGGAAATAGAACTGCCTCTGTACCATATGCACCTTAAAACATGGCTGAAGGATATTATCCCACGACATTTTCTTGCTGAATACAGCTGGTTAAGGACCCTTTCTACATATAGCTGTTGCTTCAAAACTACACCTGCATGGAAATATGATGAAACCGAAATTGATGTTAGGGCCCTCCAGGTCTTCCCCTGGTGCCCATCAAGCCTCTGAACCCCCTTTCCGTCATCAGGTGAGGGTACTTAGCTCCCTTCTCCTTGAGAAGTACATAAAGCTGAGAGGAAGTTGGAAGAGCTATCCTCTTACTCATTTCCTCTTTCAGCTCAAAGTACTTTTCAAGTGTGGCAGCTAATCAGAAAGTAGGAAGGAAAGAGGAGAAGAGAGGAAGTGAACAGGGAGACTGGGCAGGGGGAAGAAAAATGGGCTGACCAGAAAGCAGAAAGTGGGGTGCTGCATGAATCAGGAGAGGGAGAATAGAGCATCAGAGAGAAGGCCATGTGAAATCCATGCCCTGAACCCCAGTGAAACTGATCCTCTGGAAACTGCATATTTAATGGGTCCCTGCACTCCCCAACCACAATCACATGATAGGTTATATTTGTCTGAACTGTAATACTGTACAATAATGGAGGCATCTTAGTTTATATATTTCCCAGTGATCTTATACGTGCGCGTAACAAAATGAGTAGAAGATGGAATCGCAACTGTCTACCATTTTCCAGCTCAACATAAGTGCAGTAGCTTCCGATGGGTGGGAAAACAATTGGAGGCATGGTTTTCAACAGAAAATGGCTGGAGGGAATAGGTTAAACATCCCCTTCAGTGTTCCTCCACACCTAGACCTAGACAGTGTCAGTTTATTGGTTTTCATCCATTACCACACCTGGGCACTGATTTAAAATGCCCACTGCCTCTTCTGGTTTTCATGAAAGATGAAGATAGAACTTGTTGTCATTTACCTCTTGACACTTCTCTTCCTTTATCCATATTACCTCACCCAGGAGTTTCTTCATGTAGAAGTTTAACAGCATGGGGGATAAGAGAGAACCTTGCAGAACGCCAAAGCACAATCGCCAGAGGATTGAGCAGAAGTCCCTCAGCACCACCTTCTGGAATTGGCCAGCCAAGTAGGAGCAGGACCATTCCAAAGCTGTGCCTCCAACACCTGACTCAGACAGCCTGTCTAGGAGGATACCAGGGTCAGTGGTCTCAAAAGTCACTGAGAGGTCCACAAGAATTAAAGAGCTGTACTCCTCCTGTCTCTTTTGTCTCAACAGAAGTCATCCTGCAGGTGACCAAGATGGTGTGTGCTAAATTTGGTCTTTGGTGTTCACAAAATAGTACAGTTGTATTTCCCCTTTGCTGAAAAGGGACGTTCTTCTCTTTGGTTTGTAAATCTAGCTGTGGTTTTTTGTTTTTGCGTGTTACATGCTAAGTTGGCAAATATGGTAAAACATAAGTCGGCCAAAATTAAGTTTGAAAGCTCCTTTGGTTTCAAAGGGAGACAGTGAAGTGCATGCTTAATATTTCACAAGTGTGTCTACTTTGCACTGGATTGTTTTCCCAAATATCCCAAAGCATCTCCAAAGGGTTAACAATCTGGTTTGAGCGGACAAGAGAAGGGAAAACAGACTGGTCAAGAGAAGGACTTCCCTTCATTTGCTTCTGCATCACTTCCCCATGGAAGCGAGGATCGTTTCCCCCTCTTTCCAGGCAGGTATGCTTTTATTGACAGGCTATAAATAAACCTTCCAGTGTGTGAGAAAAAAGGGGGGAAGAATAGCAACTCTCAGTGTGACTGTGTGTGTTCTAGTGGCAGGATGTTTTTTATGATCCTGTTTCTTGTAAACACTGATGCAGCTTTTGTAGCACAGATGTGAAGGAGGCGGCTACTCATTGTTCTAACACCTGCTGTCCTTTAAAATGGACACTATTTCCATAAGCCATTGAGAAAACACAGGCTAAGAAATATACTTTGCAGGCCAAACCTTGTGGATAATTTGGTAAAACCATTGAGAAACTAGCACCTGCCCAGTTTTCATTATATTTTATTGGGAGAGGAAAGAGATTTCCTCCATCATAATAATTATACAGAACAATGGTTTCAATATCCAAGGTGTCAGTGTGAGAAAAATCCTAACAGCATTTTTTAAAAAATCGGCTGCATTTATAAATGAAAGTCGAAGCTGTAATTTGCATAGCACTGTGAATGTTTGAGGTGACTAGAATTGCATTGCAAATCGCTAACAAGATGTTTATAACCATGTAACAGTATATTAATAGTGCTTTAACTCAGAAGGTAGCATTCTCAGTTCTTTCACAGAGAAACTTCCAGAACCCTCTTGAATTAAGGAGAATAGGAAAGATCTCTACACATCAGATCAATACTTTCTGCACTAAGAAATGCAAACTGACAGTGACCCATGAGCCAACAGTTAGAAGACATGTGAAGGCAGCCCTGTAATGGGAAGTTTTTTAAAGTTTAACGTTTTGTTATGTTGTTAAATACATATGTTGGAAGCCGCCCAGGGTGGCTGGGGCAACCCAGTCAGATGGGTGGGGTATAAATAGTAATATTATTATTAAGGAATAGTATTTCTCCCTATTTTGATTGGAGAAATGTTGGAGGGTATGTATTGTGTGACTTGTAGACTCCTGAAAAGGGAAGTTGAAAACAAATTGTGTGTTCAGCAACACTTCAGATAACTTCAATTAAAGAAGCATGTGAATTCTATCTAATCTTCCCATCTAGTTCTTTCTTTCTTTCTTTTCCTCTGCTCCCCCTGCTGCCAATAGGCTCATCACAGACTTCCTCAACTGGAATGAACAGGATATTGTATGTGTCATACCTGACAGGGATCCAGACCTTACTGTACTTTGAACCAGGGCTCACAACAGAATCTATTGGGGTTCTTCTTCACAATCTGTGAAGCAAAAATGACCAAGAGGGTATTTTGAACATGTGCACAGTTCATTTGTCTCACTAATCCCAAATTGGGGACATGCGATTCAAAGTCCAAAGGAATACCTTCCAGATAGGTTTGTGCCACATTTTAGAAATTAATCACTTATACTGAGTCCTTGGAAGTCTGGCTTTCACAATGGAAGATTGTTGTAGCCCCCCTTCAAGAGGAAAAATGACTGGCCTGTAATATATGCAGTTTGATTCTATGAGAACATATACATCCGTAATTTGTTCACACATTTAGCCACCCTGGCACTTCCTGCGAACTGCGGCTGCCCCAGTTTATCAAATACACTGTGGTGATTGTTGTCTCCATACTTTTCAAACTGCTGCTGTGTGTTGAAGTGTTACTGCCTCCTGAGCCATAAGACTAATGAAAAAAACATTCTGTTTTCACTTAACGCGCGGCCATTCCTAAGCCTTTCAGCGGAGCCAAAAGGAAACCCACAAGCCAGACATTTTGAAGGTTGTGTGTGGAAGAAATAAGACAAAAGAACTAATTCAAGTGTATGCATTTATGAAAAATGTAATTTTTGAAATAAAGTTTAGTATAAAAAGTTTAGTTTTTATACCGCAGGAAAGGGCAGTGATTGAGACTGCTCCTTAAGGACCTCGTGCTGAACTGTATTGAGGCCAGCATGATTTATAGCTCTCATGGGGTGCGTACATACTGCACAATAATGAGCCTTCAGTGCTGGATGCAGGCACTTTTTGGGGGCGCTGGGTGCATGTCATCCTCGTGTCATCCCTGCCCCACACTACTTGTCAATTCAATAATGCACATTCTGCTGTTATACAGTACAATCTCGTCTTGCACACATTTAATTTGTGCAATTTCAACCATACATGATTGAAGGCAGACCGGTTGAAATTGTGCAAGTTAAATTCAAGCAGAGAGCTTGAAAGCTCTTTTTGTGCTGGGTCCACTTGGCTTACCTGGTGTAAAAAGATATTTTAATATCCCCACCTTGTTTGCTGAGCAAAACCTGCTCAACTTGTAGGCTCTGGGAGCACTGGGGATTCTGTCTCTCTCTCCCTCACTATCACCCACTAGCCGCCGAGCAACTCCAAGGCTTTGGGTATATTGTGGTACCTCAGGTTAAGCACTTAATTTGTTCCGGAGGTCCATTCTTAACCTGAAACTGTTCTTAACCTGAAGCACCACTTTAGCTAATGGGGCCTCCTGCTGCTGCCGTGCCGCTGGAGCACAATTTCTGTTCTCATCCTGAAGCAAAGGTACTATTTCTGGGTTAGCGGAGTCTGTAACCTGAAGCGTATGTAACCCGAGGTACCACTGTACATGATTTTTGTGTATACACAGAACCATTGGAACCAAACCCCTGAGTAAGATGCGATTGTAAAGTAATCCATTTTGTGTCAAGAACGCACTTCTCAAGAGCTTACTCCCTATGTGTGTACACAGAGAGCGTTTTCTGAGGGTGCCTCCTTTTGGGGCAGGGCTGTGACACTCCACAACACCATGTTGATAACTTGTCTATGAATGAAACAGGCACACAGGAAGCTGTACAGTAATTTGCCAACCCCTCTCTCTTTAAAAGGATGGTGGAAGCACTAATTGAAGGGACAAAAACAGAGAACAGTGTTGTGCACTCATTTTAAAACTGTTATGTACTGAAGTTCTCCCCTGGGCCAGCAGGGGGATACTGTAGATAGTTTTCACTCAGGTCCACATATGCAAATAAGGGATTGAAAGTGACATTCAGTGATTGGATAGTTACAGAAACTTGTTACAGTTGCATTGTAGTGGAGCTCTATATAAGCAGGCTGGCTGAACCCTTCAGTTCAGTTCTGTTCTGGCCTGTGAATAAGCAAGAGCTGTTTGAAGAATCGCTGTGTCGTCTGATATGTTCACCCGCAACCTAACAAAAACATGCCCCCCTTTGTGTACAGACAACACAGCTTGCAGCTGCCACTTCAGATGTGATCGCATGATGATGGTGTGTACAAATGCAAATTGCTATGTCCAAAAGTGTGCTGTGAGTAGGTGACCCAAGGCTATCACAGGGACAAGCCAAGCTGCTCTGGTACCCAGACCAAAGGTCCTGATCCTGAACACGGTACAAGTATTTTATACATTTCCACAACAGGTGACACAGCCATTGCTCCTCTGTCATTTAAATAGAATAAAAACACCAGATGCCGGTGTGTGTGTGTTAAAGGAGCTCAGCACATGGAGCAGAGCACACTTCCCCTACCTTCAACAAAGGGATCCATTGGGAGGCCTGCCCCACTCACCCTGAGAAAATGTGAGGCAGCTGCTTCAGGAGCTGGTTGCTGGGATCTGGGGAGGGGCTGTGGTGATAATCTGGCTGCTGTTCCTCTTGAGCCTCCTGCCATCCCTGCTGACCTGTTGGAGGGCAAAGCTGTGGGCGCCATGCAGTCAGCTCTGTACACTCCCTCCCCAGCCCCCTGTACCATGGAGGATACAGTCCCCTCTCAAGTGTGGAACTAAAATTCAGCTGCCCATCAGTTTGGCTTCTGTCCATAGAATAGGGCAGATGGCAGGAGGGCCAACTTGAATAAAATATTGGGGGGGGGGCAGGTAAGCTTCACCCTGCATAATTAATCACATGACAGGGCACATTTAAATGGCAATGTCCATCAATTGGGGGGGGGGGCTCAGCCCCCTCAAATATTTGGGGGGGGGCATGAAGGGACATTGGCCCTCAGGAGTTGACTCCTGTGGCTGAAGGAGACATAAAAATGTCCTTTGCCTCAGGTAGCAAAACACCCTGGGCTGGCTCAGGTTAGAAAGAGTTATGTGCTCACTGTTAAATTGGATCTGCCATAGTGAGAGATTTAAAGGGCTGGCAGGGCCCATGTTTTGGCCCCGAACCTGTTTTTTAAAGTTATTTCACTCCCAATGAGACTTCACATTAGCTCTGCCAAGAGAGAGATAAAATGTTAGAAAAATCAAGATGGAATGAAAAAGTATGAGCTAGGGAGCATTCAGATTCCCTCTTCCACATCCATCCATACTGAACTTTAAATTGCCCCCAGACCTACTTCTTCTTAGGACTTGGCAGGCCTGCGTCCTGCTGCCATGTCTCCTTGTGCCTCAGTTTGTGCTGAGTTCTCCTGCCTGCACAGGAACAATAGCAGAGGCATCAGACGTGGCACTGTCTACCAAGACTGACACAAAATTCTCCCATGCCACACTGTACATTAATTGGCAGTTTTCCTGGACTTCTTGTTTAACGCTAAAACACTGTACTGGGAGAAACTCCCATGCAGACCTGCCTTCCAGGAACTTACTAACTCACCCTAAAACTTGCAAATGCCCTGGTCCGAGAACACAGCTGGAATTCTGTACAGAAAACTACAGGACAAAGGAGTTAGTTTCTTAAGTGCACTGAAATTCTAGTTGGTGTGTGTTTAACCTCAAAGCATCCTTGGGTTTTAATGCCAAATTGCACAAGCAGTTAACCTTCCCTAGAGGTGCAAGGCTGCTTGGTGCAGTGGATTCCTTTCTTGGCAGCTTCTCTTGGAAAGTGAAAATTTAAAACAGGCGTGTGTGTGTGCGCGCGTGCACTTGTGGGGGCATTTAGTTATTTATACAAATGATGCAAAAGAAGGCCTTGGGACTTTAGTGGAAACATTTGGGTTATGGTTATTGGCTGCATGACTCATTCCACAACTGGAATACAGCAGTGGGAGTGATTAATATGAAGCAGTACAAAAGGGAGCTCCTTTCGCACTTGTAATGTTTCAGTGTTAAAAGGCTAATGTTCCATCAAGGGATAACTTGGTTAGAAGTGATGGAGGGCTGCCCACAAACCAAGAAACTGCCGATTAGAGAGTGATGTACATTTCAGATAATTCACTAGCATTCAGGGATCCGTTATTCAGGGGTCCTGGATATACAGTCACCTGGCACCTTCTTTAGGAGGATTTAAGCGAAGATGTATTACACTGGAGTTCTTTGTATTGAGCTATGTGTAGCTAGGACTATAGAAGACTGAAAGAGCAATTTACTAATCACCAATACAAATGCAAGGCATGTGATGGAATGAGTAGGAATCCAATTAAAGGTTCAGGGAATAAGAATAGTCTCCTATAAACTGGGAATTTGTTGTGTAAAACTTGAGTAACGGCGGGGTGCCCAGAAGACAAATCAATATGTGAAAAGGCCAAAGGATCTAGGAAGGCTTACCTTGTGGGACTGGGGTGGGGGTGGTGCAAAGCAATCTGAAGCAGGAACAAGATGACAGGATACCAGGCTGCGGCAGAATCATCTTTCATTTTCTTGCCCTTAATAGGGATGTGGGAGTAGTAGCAGTTTTCAATAGTGGAAAGTGATATTACGCTCAAAGAATGAGAAAATATTCCTTGCTACAAAAGCAGCCTGTTGGTGGGCAAAGCTGAACAGGAAGGTGTGGAAAGGCCTCCATTTAGCAGCCTGCGGGGCTGGAGAGGCATCTCTCAAGGAAGCTTTCAGCCTAAGATTTCCTGCTTTGGGATACGGATTAGATTAGAGGATCCATATGCTCTACTCCATATGATTCGAAATAGTTCCATAGGTTTTTTTTAAATAAAAAATGAAGAGAAAATATCTGTTCTTGTCCTTACTTTTTATTCTCTTTTATCCAGTTTTTTTAAGGCAAATTTAGCAACACTGGAAAACAAATAATAGAATCAGAGTTGTAGAGTTGGAAGGGACCTCAAGGGCCATCTGTGAACTGCCCTGAAACCTGTAGATATAGGGCAGTATATAAATTTAATTAAACATCATCATCATCATCTAGTCCACCTTCCTGCAAGGCAGGACTATTTGACTAGCATACATATTATCACATACGGACTGTTCTATTATCATGTAGTTCAAGAAGACAAGAAGGACATGTTTTTGACCACTGCTACAATGGCCAACTTTCTCAGTCAATACAATCCCAATTCCAGTACTCCACGGTTAGATAACAGGCACATCACAGGAATGTGCTGTCACAGAAAACAGCTCCAAGTAACGCAGGAAAGTGGACAAATCTCTGTGAATTAAATGTAATTCAGGAAGACTGTTAGTTATTGGCTGTGTTGTTTATTTCTTAAATTTACATTATATTTTACTATCTATTTGTCAACTATACCATCTCTCTCTCTCTCTCTCTCTCTCTCTCTCTCTCTCTCTCTCTCTCTCTCTCTCTCTCTCTCTCTCCCTCTCTCTCTCTCTCTCTCTCTCTCTCTCTCACACACACACACACACAGAGAGAGAATGGCTGCTTGTCTGGTCCGGAGGTGGGCAGTGGTTGTGACCCTGAGTGGCAGCCCCTCACCCACCCAGGGGGGAAAGGACTTTGCCATGATGAGTGGCCGTTGGAACTCCTCCCCAGCTGACTGCCATCCTGAAGTTCAAAACTGCCCTATCAGGGGCAAGCTGAGGGGTGGGGCCTGGATGGCGGGCCGGAGTGGAGAAGTCTTCACTCTGGTCCACCACCTGGAAATAAAGGCTGACTGCTCCCGAGTGAAGCACTGCAGTCAGCTGAAAAGCAGCGCAGAGCAGAAGAAGGATGACGTGGAGACCAGGAGTGATGAGGCATCATGGAAGCAAAGCGGGCAGGACGGGATCAGTGTCATCATTGGAGTGATGTGTTGGCATAACTAAAATTAACCAGATTGTGTGAGAAGCTACTTGCTACAGTTTTTCTGTGCCTCTATGCAGTAAGAGCTGTTGGACAGTGGAAAGGTCTTCCTCAGGAGGTGGTGGACTCTCCTTCCTTGGAGGTTTCTAAGCAGAGGTCATCTGTCAGGGATGCTTTACCTGAGATTCCTGCATTGCAGGGGGTTGGACTAGATGGCCCTTGGGTCCCTTCCAGCTCTAAGATTCTATGATTCTATGAAGTGTTATGCCAGAACCAGGGCTTATTCTTCCAACATTCAGCTCAAGAGCTAAGTAGCCAGCAGGCCTGCAGTTTGGGGTTACTCCTGGATTTAGTCCCACCTCAGGCTGCCTAGGCAGCAGTGGGGTAATGGATAGGAGTGGCCAGAATTACCAACTTTGCTTTGTACACCTGATCCTTTTTCTTAGAGACACCAGACCTGGTCTTGATCATGCATCCTGTGGTCTCTTCTGGATTAGATTATTGTAAAGTCCTCTGTGTAGGACTGCATTGAAGACTGTCTGGAAACTGCAATTGATCCAGAAGGCCAGGTTTATTTTGATGGGAGTTGGTAGATCAGATCACATTAAACCGGTTCTTTCTCATCTTCATTTGCTTCGGGGCACAATTCAATGCGCTGTCCTGAATGGCTTGAGGAAGTATCTCAAGAATCATCCCTCCGCCCCGATATGAGCCTGCCTCCAAACCTAAGTCCACTATTGTGGGTCCTCCTGCTTCATGGCAGGGCTCTTGATGGGGCCTTTCATTGTTAGGGCAGGCAGCATTTGGAAGCTGGAACCATCTGCTAAGAGACCCATGACTTGCCCTTGTGGGTGAGCGGAAAAGACAGTGTTCATAGAATCATAAAGGTAAAGGGTAAAGGGACCCCTGACTGTTAGGTCCAGTCGTGGCCGACTCTGGGGTTGCGGCGCTCATCTCGCTTTACTGGCTGAGGGAGCCGGCGTACAGCTTCCGGGTCATGTGGCCAGCATGACTAAGCCGCTTCTGGCGAACCAGAGCAGCACACGGAAACGCCGTTTACCTTCCCAGCGAAGCGGTACCTATTTATCTACTTGCACTTTGACGTGCTTTCGAACTGCTAGGTGGGCAGGAGCAGGGACCGAGCAACGGGAGCTCACCCCGTCGCGGGGATTCGAACCGCCGACCTTCTGATCGGCAAGTCCTAGGCTCTGTAGTTTAACCCACAGCGCCACCCGCATCCTCATAGAATCATAGAATGGCAGAATTAGAAGGACTTCCGTGGAGGATGAAGGCAGCCAAACATGGCTTAAAGTGACCAATATTACTTCCAAATGCTTGCCTCGTCTAAGCAAAAGCCTCCCAGAAGCTACGGACATTATCACAAGCAAAGTGAATCCATTAACTCACCCTCTGTGGATCATTCATATAAACAATGTAATTTATTGCACCAAATAAAATCCATGCAGTAAAATCTACACAGACATTTAGTCTAAGGCCACACCAGTCTAAAACATAGCAGATTGAGAAATATTAACAAAACTATTTTCCCACTTTTTCTCTCTAAAAATGCTAGCACATTTTTTTAATGTTACCCTTACCCCTCCAACATTGCTCCATTGAAAATAGGGATGCTCTATTCCATAATCATAATCATAATAATATTATTATTTATACCCTGCCCATCTGGCCTGGTTGCCCCAGCCACTCTGGGCACCTTCTAACATATTAAAAAAATATAATAAAACATTAAAATTTTAAAAAACTTCCCTATGCAGGGCTGTCTTCAGATGTCTTCTAAATGTTGTATAGTTACTTATCTTCTTGGTTTGGTGGTCACATAACTCCATACTCTCCAATATTTATCCAATAAAAATAGGGACATCATATCATACCCTCCAACATTTCTCTGATAAAAATAGGGATGTCTTAAGGTAAAGTGGGACATTCCGGGAACACATCAGAAACTGGAACGGCTTCTGTAAATTCAGGATTATCCTTGGAAAACAGGGACTCTTGGAGGGTCTGCCCTTGCATTTTAACAAAAATGTTTAAAACAAAACAATGGAACAATAATAAAAATCCCAGAACAAATTAATACACGCATACAGAGTCAGAACTAAGATCAATAAAACGCTTTGCAGCATTAAGAAGTCTTCAGGGACTGCTTAGACTGGGACCACTTTAAGGACAACAGATGAAGCAGCCAGGTGGGGTTTTTAGTGGGGAAGAGGGCCCACCACAGAAAGGGCCCTGTCCCTGGACAGGCCAGAGAGCAGGTACCTGGAGCAGATGCTAAGCTCCAAGCAGCTTCATAGAACTGGAGGCTGCCCTTTAAATAACTAGGTTCCAAACCATTCACAGTGAGGCTGCATAGCCATTTGCCTGGGATGCTGTAGTACTTGTGTCCCGCCTTTTGGATGCAGCATTGATCAGGCAATTGGACTTGATGGCCTGAAAAACACCATCTCTATTAATCTACATTTTTGTGTGTTTCTGCTGCCTACCCTAAGCATTTGAGTGCTGTTGTAAAACAGATTTGGGGCCTGGACTGGCTGCTGCAGACAGAGAGGGAGTAGACAATTTCATCTGGAAGTGGTAAAACAATTTTGTATATATTCCTGCTAATCTTCACATCAATGTGATTTAAACACTAGCTGAGAAAAAGATGTCACCAATAATTAAACAAAAGCATCTGGCTCCAGACAGTAGGTCTTAATTTATGTCCTTGTACTGTGATTGCACCAGCTGGGGCCAAGCGCTGCATTCTTGTATCTAAAGCCTCAAAGGGTGACAACTTCATCCAATTTGAGAATGAAAGAGCTGAGAATTCGGAGCCTCCTCAGAATGCATTCTTCCTGAGCCCCACCTAAGTTCTCTTCATGACCTACAGCTCAAACACTGCATAGTTTTGCATTTCTGAGTTTGCTTTTTCTCATCCTCCACTTTTGCTCCCACAGCTTCCCTACATGCATTCCTGAAAAGACTGCCTTTTGTACAAACAACCGCCAAGCTGTCTATATAAGATCTTATTTTTTCCACATCAGTTTGGCTGCAATTTCAATGTCAGGGCTAACTACAGTCAGCAATAAATATTTCATAAGAGGTGCACAACCTGAACCACAGCGTGGTAAATTACGAGAATTTAAGCCCATTTGTATCTTTACTTCGGTGGGAATTTGACTGTGATTCTAAGCACACTTACGCCTGAGTCCAAGGGCTCCTCTTTAAGCAAAAGCGAGAGAGAAACAAGATGGTGATGATGATAAAGATTCGCTCAGAACTGATTTCCAAAAGGCTTACTTCAAAGGAAATCAGAGCACTTTGGCATAAGAGAAAAAAGGGATCAAATTGAGAAAAAGGAAACAGTGAGACTATCCAAAGAATGTTCGTAGTCTCTGGAGCCGTTGGCGATATTAAGCCCCCATTTGGAAGGCTATCTTGTGGTGCATTTGCGGCAGAACTCTGCAGTTAAGATGGAACTGGGTTTTAGCATTCTAACATTGCACAGCATAAAAGTTCCATTCCTTATAAAGATAAGTTTTGTTCCTTATAAAATTAGGACATCATTTATTTTGATAAGCAGAAGGCTACCAGAGGCTGGATGTTACCCCATCCACACTTTGCTGTGAAGTTTGTAAATCACAGGTATTTCCACAGCGGCTTGAGTTTTACCCTGGAACTTTATGTTTCACATCTGAGGGCCTAAGAAGGAAGTTAACAAGTACCCTTTGATATTGCTGCTGCAAAGCCTGGCTGCTAGAGAATGGCTGGGAGCACACTTAGGTCACCCATTCTGCGGCTCGTAGTTGCGAGTCCAGGTACGCCATTGTGTGCCATACAATGTAATGGAAGAGCAAAAGCAGAGGGCTGGAAGAATGGAGCAGGGCTGCTGCAGGCAACTGAAGTTTCCAGCAGCTTTGTGCATTACCTCTGGCTTATTTTTACTCAGTTGAGAGAAAGGACGGTGTTTTCTTGATATACTGATTTTAAAAAATACATCGTTAGTACATACTTCTCAATTCATCTAGTTTTGGGGTAAATATGGAATAAAATGTTGATTAAAAGATCTGATTGTTCATTCCAAGAATTAGCATAAAAAATCTAGCAGTGGGAAAGGAATCCCTTAGTTGTCCCACCAGTCTGTTTCCATGGTAACCATCCTGATTGCATTAGTTCATAAATCAGTTTCTGTGAACTTTTAGCATTTGTCCTCTCTGATGTCATCAGGATTTGAACCTGCGACCTGGTCTCACATAGGCCATATCTCATTACTTGGTGCCTTTCAGCTACAAAGCCATTTCCTTTTCGCAACGAAAATAAATGCGGAATTAAGCATTTCGCATTGACTTACAGTTTAAAAAACCCCGAACCACTCCATTGCTGCAAAACATATGCAAAACATAAAATACATATTACATGGGATCGACTTGCGAGCTGACTCACAGGCTGCAGCCCTTTGTTAGGATTGCTACATCCACATGCCCACAAACAAAAGAAACCTGTTAAGTATATGACTCTAATATACATTTGTGCACATTAGTGGCTATTGATGGAGGATGCAGTGATCATGCTCTGGAAGGATACCCCCAGAAAATCAGCTTTTATCTACAGCGTATCCCACTTAAAACTGTTAATATTATTACAAACTGGAAGGAAATAATAGCTGCTTTGATGTGTCTACTAAGACTTTCCTTTAGTCAGGAACCACATATTGATAATTAAATTAAATTTAAAATGCCGAAACATGTAGTAAGTGCACCAAGTTTAACACACTTATATTATCATCCTATGGTAAATAAACTCCATACATGCTCAGGGGGACTGCTATTTTCTCTCTGGCTCCAAAGCCCAAATTGTTCCAGTGGCACCATGTAATTGCTAGCTATTGAAGCAGACAGCTATTTTCTGTGCAGGCACTTTAGTCCTGGTGTTGCTCCCCAAAATCTATGGGAAACTCCAACTTATTCTGCACACTGCGGTCCAGCTCTCAGCCAGAGCAGGCTGCAGAGAAAGAATCTAATTC